TACACTCCTTGTCTGCCTTTTCCCTCAACACAGTTCGCCCACTTACCGAACAACGCGGGGCCAGAGGGCGATCGTTTCAGACCCTGACATGCAGGTGGTGATTTGGTCGGGTGAAGGGGGGCGAGCCGTGGCCTTGCCACCTGATGATCTTGTTTAAGCCACTCATAGGGGAATCAACAAGTTGGCTACCAACAACCTGATTCATAGAATGCCTAATGGCTACGCTGCCCGCTCCTGGTGGCACTAACGGTCGATCCTGCGATGATCGACCCTAGATTGCGTTGCTACTGTACTGCATTTTGCGAGTAATGCCGGCAATTGTTTCTTCCCGGCGAACGAGATTTGCCTCTTTTGCAGGGATCGCTGTGGGTTTGCGTTGGCTTCCTGTCGGATGATTCGATACTTCGTCTACTAGGAGGGAAGCTGAGAGGAGAAGGAGGGGGTGGCATCGGGAAAGTAAAACCGATCGAGCAAGGTGCGTTGTCCTGTCTCATAGCAGGTTGATCTTGTTGCTGTTGGTACTTCCCATCTCGTGGTACAGGAGATCATCCTACGGGTGCATTCCATTCATGGTCGAGTGTGGTGCAAGCCTGAGGCCTTGGTTGGTAGTTAGGATTCGGTCGGTGCAGGTTTCTTGCGAATATTGCAAAGACCTAATATGAGATACCATAATTCGTCGTATTATTTGCTACGGATACAAGTCAAACATTGTAAAATTTTCTAGTCAAGTAGGTATTCAACTCGTCACTTTGATAGTACGTTTGCCATGCGCCGGCGCTTCCTAACTCCCTGCACTGTCAGCCCAAAGCGCAATTCGAGACGGCTGGTGACTTCCGTATTCCCCTGGAAGATCATCCAAAAGTAAACCAAAGGTGTAGGGATGTGGGCTGTTCGCTTAGAGTGAGTTGTCATCTGGTCCCGTCCAGATCTGAACCCAGTTTCCAGCTTACAGGGTCTTGCGACACGTCGTGCGACGCTGGGATCGGAACGCGCTCCTAAAAGAGGGAAGGAAAATGAAATCTGCTGTGGAACGTCGGGTGTGTGCGCTCTGTCTGTGTCTAATCTGACTGGGGTTGTTGATGGGAAGGGTGCATTTCTCCGACCACGTTATTGGACTTGAGGGCCGTTGCGGATGGATGCATTAAGCTCCGGTTGTGGTGGAGCTAGGAGATTAGTATCTTTTGACTAGACTGAGTATGGTAGGAGTGGTAAAGCAGTCTACGATAGAGCACACTCTTTCATTGAGAGACGGTTAGCCAAGAATACACTTTATCATATGCTTGACTATCTTGAGTATTATGTATCATGATTATCAGTACGATTAATTACTTTCGAGGTTGTCGAGTGATAGTACTTGCTCACCACCGTCCTTCTAGCGGTCTGTGCCTTCATCTGCCTTCTATCTTTGGATCGGACTTATGTAGGTACTTACTCGACGATGAGATGCGAGCACCACAAAGATTATCATCTCGTGTTCCAAGCGCCGTGCCATTCCTTTGCTCTGCACATCGTATCACAGGGTCAATGTGGTCAACCACTCACGGATCAAGCATGGCTAGATTCATACCCACACACACTCGCCGCTCGGTGGGTACACCCTGGGGAAACTAGGAGCAGCTCTATAATGCTTCGGGGCTACGGATACAGACAAGCCACCAGCAAAGGGCTCCCTTTCAACAGACCGAGCGCAATGACGGCCCCGGGGAAGTGAGGGGAGACGGCTGGCTAGGATTGTCAACTTTTGGAACAAGGGAACCGGCGCCACGGAGATCCGTCCGCGCGTCCCATCTGACTCGGGACGGGGCTGGGGATATTTGTCTGCAGCGAACTTCTCGAGTCTGGCTATGCTTGGATCATGGAAATCCCCGAGGCACGAGGAGTTTGGGGGTTTGGCCAAATGCATCATACTTCGTGGGGGTACGGCGTATACTTTTGTGGCCGTGTGGACTCGAACTCTAGGACCGTTCTACAGTGTACACACTGTGTGGTGCTGGCTCCGGCTGTCTCTCACCAACCAAAGATGAGCGGTGAACAAGAGGGGAAGGAAGTGGCCTCGTACACATCATAGAAGGGAGACGGCTGCGTCGTACTGCAGAGTTGACTTTGCAGTTGGAATGGGCCCGGAGAGAAGCACCTCAAGCTCACCGTTGTCGTCAAAGCGTTCGGCACTTTGTACACTGGCGTTTCATACTGTAGTCTACTCGTCAGTCATCCAGTTCTTGCGACGCGGGACGCCCCAAGTAAGATCTGGTCCATGCGCCGGTGTGGGATGACGGGTCAGTCTTGGATGCAACGTGTGAGAGGCTAAGAGCCCGGCCGCGATCTCTCATGCGGAAAGCGAGATGATGTTCAGGATCGCGAGCGGAGAATGACATTCTAGCGATCTGACTGGCTGTGCTGAGGATTATTATCTCCGAGAGAATCGTGAATTCGAGGACCAATCATCCCAGCCATCTCCACCGCAGATGAGGCGCAGTGTCGATCGATCAAGGTGTGTATATAGACAACTCTTTGAGTTCTGCGATGGGAGGAGGTCTAGAACGATACTTTCAACGCCAGTAGGTGCCACGGCTGGAGCGTTGAATAGATTAATGCCCCCTCATTCCTCTTTGTACGAACCAACAGGACTTCGTCCGGATAGGAGACTCGACTCCCGCGAATGATGACCGAAGAGGGGGAGGCAAATCTCACAACGGGCGCCTTCAAACTCTCCCCCAAGGGATCAAGCCGCTTTAGAGTTGGCCGTAAAGAGAGGGGGATGCCCAACGTCGCCCAACGATTGGCATGCAAAACCTCCGAGAATGGAGCCTGTGATCGGCGGCGGAAACGCCCGGTGGTCGATCTGCATGACACGAGTCCATACTGGTATAGTAGTGCTCCTGTGTAGCCTTGTCGCTCGCAACTAGCACGAGGATCATCTGCCCTAGCCGATGTCCATCGCATATGTTGCTAATCCTAATCAATCAAAATGCCGATGTCCAGAGTACATGGTGCGTCACAAGCGAAGTGTGCAAGTGGTAAGGGGCGGAGTCACAGAGATTCAATGAGGGTAACTCTTTTGCGTAATGAGGCCGAAAGTATGGAGTCACAATGGGTGATGTTAATCTTAGAGTCATCAGAGTACGGGCGCCCCTCCAGGCTTGACTCTTTCCGTCATCTCGCCAGACATAATCTTGTACTCGGCATTAAGGAAGGATACTACATTTTGTCCAAGTCTTGGCCAAGAACATTCGCCGCTAGGCATCGGCATTCGCATTATTTGACTTTGACCGAGACTTTACTTCAAAGTTAGAAGCAAAGGCAATCAATGATTATGAATCATCCAGGACAATCACTTCCGTTCTCTGTGCGGACATGGACTATCTGATCGACGCTCTTTACTCCTTCGAGTAGGTGAATAGTGAATACACTTTAGCGCTTGTTCTACCGTAAGAACGCATACTTTTTGAATCATAGATTTATGCACGAGGCATTTGCACCAGGCAGGCCACAGGAGCAGGCCCAGCGATCAACGAAATATACAACTTAGAATAGCCCCAGATCGCCACCCTCTAGGACTATCCAGAGTACACAGGATTTTGGACTCCCAAGAACAAGATAATGATCACCGATGTAACGCCTCACCTGTTGATGCAGCCTCGTCACAATGCAAAGCTCGCAGATGGCCCCCAAAATTGGTCGTCAAGCATGCTTCCTGTGCTCTGCATGCTGGACTGCGTACACAAAGCAAGACTAGCGAGCTGCTAGCTGTGCTGGCCCCACATTCTCCCCGGGATTCTGGCTTGGATATTGCTAGGAACATCTCCCTCTTCTCTCCTCTTAATCTCCGATCATGATAATGGTTGGCTACCTTCCTGCAATTATATGTGTGCACATACAGGATTGGTACATACTGCGTGCTTGCCCCTTCATGGCGAATGGACTGTGGACTCCATCAATCACTAGGGCGTCTCCCGTCTACCGGAGCGACGGGGCCTGCTGGGTCAAGGGTCGAGGGGGTCAACTGGAGAGGATTGGTAGACAGGGACGGGGTGGACACAGCACGGACACGGGGTGGCCGACACTGCATGGAGCCAGAAAGGAAGAAGAAGTTGGTCCGGAGGCTCGCTGCGGGTTGGCGCTCCACTAGAATATTCCGTGGTACGGTAAATAAAGCCATTAATCTACAGTCTGTACCGTCGGTATTGCCCGGTCGGGCAGGTCCTAACTGGTTACAGTACATAGTTTGCTTCGTCCAGCCCGTCCGAAGGTCTGATTATTGGGGTAAATAACTGTACTGTACCCCCCCGTTCACGCTATCCCACATTCTCCCTAGTCCTCCGTCGAATAGTAGACGGGTCCATGCAGCCAGTTGATCGCAGCGCATTGGTAAAAATGAGCCATGACGATGCGGACGATGCGAGCTATGCCTATTCGGTCTAGAGCTCCGATCATGCCGTTGATGATCATCGCGTCCCTGGGATGGGAGTACGATACTATCAGTTTGAGGCGTCAATAGACAGTGAAACTGATATATGAAGTCGGAGATTGTTGCAATTGAGTCGGATTCCGGTCATCTTTGGGATTAAGAATAGAGTAGGCAATAAAATACTTCAAGCTTTCGGCATACTGTTCGTTTTAGGGTTGCGGCCGGGTAGAATTCAATGGCTGGTTATCGACCGCGTCATCCTATCTTGGCGGGAAGGGAAGCAACATACAGCAATACCCTAGAACTGCGTGCCTCGGGTCTGTTGCCTTAGGTCAGTGAATAGGAATATATCCAATAACTCACAATCAGATTGGAGATACAGGGGTGGAATTGGTGAGATAAAGTACAAACAATCATTGGTGTACACTTTTCAATGCGTAGGATTCCAAGATATATATTGGTGGAAGTGTTGGTATATCCACCTATATTCAATCGATTAGAAGCCAAGGGCCTCCACTGTTTGTCAAAGTCACTGGATTCCATAGATCCCTAAGGTATATATCCCTAGGCGCACAAGTCAGACTGCCAAGGGGTTCCAAAATAGGGCTCTAAGGTGATAGATCAGGTACGTTCAAGTTGATAACGGAACATCATACAATACTGTCTGCCTTGGAAGCATTCAAGAGTGATGGAATTTGGGGTATCTGTAAATCGATCATAGACACCTCTCTGCCTTGACATACAATAAGATGTAAGAAAGAACATAAAATCGCTAATAATACCATCCAAGCTGCGATCCGCTCAAGACTCCAAAAGATCCAAAAACACACGAAGAGAGAGGGAAAACCGCCTGCACGAAGTAACTAGAAGGTCGGCGCAACTACCTACTAGAGCATGATGGAGCCGTTGCAATCACCAGAATCCCGAAGAGGTTCTCGACAGTGCTGCTCATCAGCCGTAGACGTTGACTTGAGACCCATTCGTGATCCCCCGAGACTCGCCCATAGCAATCTGATTCTTCTCGTTGATGGCCCTCATCTTGCGGACGGCTCTGCCAAAGTCCAACTTGGCATATTCCTCCGGCATATGCTCGCCGCTGTAGATACAAAGCACCCGCATGCCTGGCTTGTAAGACAGCCCGCTCAGAAGCTTGGGGGTGATCAAGAAGTATTGACCACCGCCGCCGCCGCCGACAGGGTTACCGTCCTCGTCGGTAGCTCCGTCATCGTCAGAGTCGCAGGCGATATCCACCAAGCGGCCGTGTACCATGCGCTCGTTTCGAGGGTCCATACCCTGGTTGATCTCGTCGACGACGCGGAAGGGTGACGCGGACAGCGACTGCAAGGCCATGAGGTAGAAGATCGTGCTGACGGCACGTTCACCTCCGGACTGGCGATGAGAATCAAGGATCGAGAGTTGCTCATTTTCGCGGAATTTGACGTGAATTTGAATAGACCACTGGTCAAACTCGCTGCCTCCAGGTTCGCCGTTCGGACCAGGTTCGGCTTCTACCTTGTCCAGACTGACCTGGCCAGCACAGCCAATGCGCGCGAACGAGTCTCCAAAGGCATCGCTAATCTTGGCGATGAGTGCATCAAGTCTTGGCTCCCAACGCTCCCGGACTTCCTTGATCGCATTATCATACTCAGCCAAATCACGTCGGTAATCGCTGAGTTTGGCCTCGAGTCTTTCAATTTGTTTCTCCCGATCCTCGAAGATCTTGATGACGTTGCTATTACCCCCAACAAACAACCGAACCTGAGCTTGTTGGGATTCGATATCGGCATTGAGATTGTCGACAGTATATGCCATATCTTGAATCGTTTGCAGGACCTCGTCACTGTTTGGTCGCTGCTGGGCCTCTTTGTTGGTTTTCTTGGCCGCTCTTAACAATGTGCGACCCTTCTCACGACCTTCTATGAACTCCTCACCGACTTTCCTCACCTCTAGGGCCTTTTGGTCAAGCAGCCTTGTGCAGTCTGCAAATTTGTCCTGGAGGGTCTTGAGATCCGAACTGGCTTCTAGGTGCCAGACCTCAACCTTGATGAACTCCTCAGAAGCAAGTCGAAGCGCTTCGGCAGCGTCCTAAGCGCCGCATTAGTATCGACGAGGAAATTCATGAAGCAACAAGGAACTTACTGCATAAGCGATTGCCGCCTCCGCCTTTTGCATAGCAATCTTGTCCTGCTGGTCACGATACGCAGCCACTTGTTCTCTCACCTCCGCGAACAGCTCGTGGAGATTCTTCATTTTGGCTTCTTCTTGACCTAGAAGAAAGTTAGTATACAATGACCAGCAACGTCAATATATAGCGATGTGTCATACTGATAAGTGCAGGGATAGCTAGCCACTTTGTGTGAGCACTTTGCTGTGCGGCCTTTTCTTCTTCAATTGCTTCCTACAATAATTGGTTAGTAAAAGCGAAAAGCCTGTCAAGTTCCAGACCTCAAAACATACAATTGCGCGTTCCGTCTCCTTGTAAGACTTTACAGCTGCCGCGAATTGATCCTTGAAGACCTGAATTTCCGCTTCGACGTCTTCTATCTTCCCCTTCCACTCCTCAATGTTTTGAAGAAGTGTTTCTTTGATAGATGTGTCGATAGGCTGTGTGGTCCAGAATCTGGCAGGCCGAACCGCCTTGATGCTAGTTGAAGAAGCGTTATACTCTGCACGATAATTGGTTTGGTACAACTGAGTCCCGGCCACGAATGTGGTGACTTTCCTCCTGCGCAGCTCGTCGATCTCAGCTTGTTCACCCCTAAATTGACTGAGCCCGATGGCAGTTTGGCTAAATCGATTCTCCATGCAAAGGGAGGCAATGACAGGATCGGGTCCGCTAATAAAATCCTTTGCCCAGCCGTCAAAGCCCAGCTGCCGGAGTTCTTGGCCCGACATTGGGGTTTCTCGATTATCCCGCAGAGGACTCGTCTTGATAGTGATATCATGAAGTTTCATTTGTCCCATCAGCTGTTGTTGCAGTGTACGGAAGTCCTTCCTGGTCTGGACCGTAAATGCCAGCAAGTCGTTTTTACTGAGAAGGGCCTCAATGGAATCCGCATACTTGGGATCTGTGATCGAGCAAGTCACGATCGGAGGCCCGATGACTGGCTTCTCGAACCTGGCCTGATTATTTTGAACCCATTGATAGGCTTCGAGGGTCTCCGTAGACAACTGCTGTAGCCTAATCTCCTGCTGTCCCATCTGGGAATCCAGATTTTTCAATTGCGCCTCGGCCGCTTCGATCTGTTTCGATAGCTCTTTGTGTTTGTCATGGGATGGAACTCGTTGAACCTTAATGTCACCGAGTTTTGTCCCAAAATCACGCAGAGCAAGCCTTTTCTCCCTCTAAAAACATATATGAGCAACAATCGTAGGCTATATTGCCCCACCAAAAGAAGGAAGGTAGGGGGGGTGGGGGCAACTTACCAGCTGTTCATTGTAGTGAGAAGCATCAAACTCTACAGCTTCCTCCTCCAATTGCCGCTTCAACTTGTTCACCTTCTGCTGCGCCTGAGTCGCCTCAACTTTGTGCTTCTGCGAGCTTTTCTTCTGGGCCCCGATTTGACTATCCAGATCGTCCATCGAACTTGTTAGATCTTTCAGTTTTTGCTCACAAGATGAAGCCACAGTGGATAATTGCTGAAAACGCTGCCTGCGGTGGTTTCGAAGGAGAACAATCTTGTCCACATAGCTTTGTTTGGCCGTGACTGCCTGCAGGGTAGGCTCGAGTTCGGCTTTGAGTTGCTCCTCCTCTTGCTCGACTCGGGCTTTCAACTCTTTGATCTTCTCGAACTTTTTATGGTACTCTCTGTACTCCACCAGCGGGCGACAGAATTCCAAAAGCTCCATTTTCTCTTGGGCCACGGCCATCTGCCGCATGTTCTCGACCTCTCCTCTTTGCTGTTCCTGCCGATCTTTCAGGTTTGCCAAGGTTTCGTTGTCACCTCTGTTCTCTATCTCGAGTTGTTTCTGCTTTTGTCGGAGATCTTTGAGATTATTATGCCACCTAGTCATCTCCGGCTCAGCTGCAGCTCTCTGGGTAGAATGGAGAAGTTCGACGGGTGAAAGGGCCGCAAATTCGGCAACTTTGTCCTGGGGAAGAAACTGGCAAAGATTGTCCACTTGAATCGCGAAGGATTGCACAAAGTTCGCCACTTGCTTCGGAGTGGCATTCCGTCCGTTGATAGTAAATGAGCTTTTATTTCCATCGCGTTTGATAGTTCGACAGATGACGGGATTGGAAGTCAGCTTCGGTGGGCCCGCGAGTTCGATTTCGATGATGGCTTCCGCACAGCCGTGTTTGACGAATTCCCCAAGATCCTTTGCTCTTCCGAGATGCTATTGATCCAGGAAAAAAATCTCTTGCGTTAGCCAACTATGAAGACATTCAACTAGGGTAGATCGCCCATACCTGTGGACCCCAACCAAGACCCAAACAGATGGCGCAAACCAAGGTACTCTTTCCTGTGCCATTTGGACCGATGACCATGTTCAACTTCGGGCCTGGATGGAATTCGGCGGACGTATAAGTCACGAAATTCGTGACTTTGATTCGAACGATCGCCCCGGGTTTGTAGCCACCCGGTCCAATTCCACGGTGGGCTGTTGAGCGCCTCGCAGGGGGCTGACTTGAGTCTTGACTTGCGGACGCGTCACCTTGATCATCCTCATCATCCTCGTTCTCTCCCTCTTCGGTGCCAGGCTCTTCTTCAGTAGAATCAAACCGAGGACGTTTAGGGTTCGGTGCGGGAATCGCGTTGCTGGAATCGATATGATCACTGTCGTCGCCAAGGTCATTTCGAGATCGTCGACGAGGTACCGTGCTAGGTCCTGCGCTGAGAGAGGGCATTTTGATCAGTGTGGTGGAGGAGGGGCCATCAAGGCGCAAGGCGCAAGTCCACTGATATAGAGAAATCTCACACGCGAGAGGGGGCAAGACGCGTCTTTGTGGTAGATCAATACTAAGGCCCATCCGGGTAGGCGGTGAACCCGGGGATTTCATTGTTGCAGCTACGAGACAAAGCTAAGAACGATGACCACCTTTCACATCGCATGGAAAGATGCCCTCACCTCAAAATGTACGCCGGCTGGTCTGGACAGCCGCCATAACGTCGATTACGATTGTCAGTTCGCTATATGGAGCAGGATTGAAGACGAAAGAGGAGATTGCGGAGGTAAGTTCGAAGACCGGTGCTTCCGCACCCACCCCGTGTCTAGCAACAGGCATATCCGCCGAATGAACGGTTATAAGCCCAGATGCACAACAATTGTGTCAGATTTTAATCTTTTTCTTTCATTGCCTGTCTAGACCACGCGAAAACGCCAAGAATCCACCTTCGATGAGCAACTTACAGCTCTCCAGAACATGCGCTCCAACCTGACTGCCCGTAAAGGCATACTCGAGAATCAGATCCGGGACTTGGATGCCAAAATGGAAGAAAAGAAACAGAGGGCCGCATCAGGCAAAGATAAAGAGCAACCGGAAGTACGGCGGTGATAGTCACAACGCTTGGTTGTCACTTGAACCAAGCGCAACGATCACGAACATTGAAGCCAGAAGGCCTCAACCCGCCATTGAGGTCTTTCGTTGTCATAGTACCATGACGGCGTTTCCGAACACAATCGAAGGTCGTGGGACTGTTCAAGTCTGCGCTCATCGCAGATTTTCCCAAGGGACCCCACTACAGCCTAACGGAGATGTTGGTTACGACACCCGTCGAGGGTAATTGAACCATCAACCCGTCATGGATCGAAAGGAAACTTTCCAAATGGCCTGTGGTATATAGTGGTCATGAGCAACTATCTATCGACTTTGCATGTGCCAAGTCCATCGAGCCAGGGTCTCGACATACATTGGATCTTCCTGCAAAATCATGCCGCAGGTTTCATCTACGTGTGCAAAATGTGCTGGTCACTGCCCGCGGTTCATGACACAAAAATGCAACCGACATGTATATCTAGATTTTGTCTGTCTTGTATGTAAATGAAATGTATATGCAAAACTCACATTGCCTCTAATGCCAAGTGTTTAAAATCAAGGTCGTAAGATCGTAGCGCAGATGCAGCTGAATCTGCATTGCCGGGCTTTGGTCGATCAGAAGATCACCCTGCACATAGAACTTACGCGTCCAAATTCAATCTCTCCAAGAGAGCATCCAGCTTTTCCAACAGAATTTGGTAGTTCATCGCGTCCTCGTCGAATTCGTCCTCGACGAGCGCACCGTCCAGTGTTCGAATCTCTCGGGTATAACCATACGGTTGCTGACTAGTCGCCTCTGGTACGATCACCGGTGTCGAATTGGCCACATTTATCGCCTCAACTCCTTCTATGATTTTTTCCATGTCGTCACCTTGAGCGGTGCCATCGCCATTTGCAGGTGGTGGCTGCTCTTCCATCAACTCATCAAGACCGGCATCGTCGAACCGCAGTCTGAAACGCTCATTGAGGTAGAAGCGAATATCGTCCAGCAATTCAATCGAGTCAGTTTCCTGGCGCGCCTGAATCCGAGCCGCAGACTCTTGAATTAACTCCGCAAATTCGGGCGAATCGATATGAGCCTCTAGTCTATATGCGAGGAAACGAGCAGCAAACTCTTCCAGACGCTGGACGCGTGTCAACCAAGCGGCTCGAATAATCGCATAAATATCGATGTCATCTTCATCCTTGGTACCACGAGTCCGAGCTGCCTCGGATTGAGATACTCCACTGCCCAAAGTACTGATGACAACGGCCGCCTTGGTCTTCAACTTCTCGATAAAGAGCATGTCCGCGGCGAACAACACGTCGACGGCAATTTCCAGAGGGAAATCTGCCCGTTCGGTGTATAAGAAGGTCAGGATAATCTCCAAAACGTCAGGCGAACAGTCCACATCGATGATGTGGAGATCATTCGTGACATGCGCTTCTCTGAACGAGGAGGTGAACATAGCCTGGAAGAACTCTGATCGCAGAAGCATTGCCCGGTGGCAGGGGAATAGGGTTGATTTCGGTATCTCGTCTGCAGCGCTATCATCCTCGTCCGCGAGCTCATCTGCTCGCAGGAGCACATCTGCAAAGATTGCATTATTGCGATCCCACTTGACATCATTCACTTTCGATGTCTCCACGACCACCCTATGACCCAGGACATTCTGGCGGAACCACTCTTCTAATTGTTCACGGCCCTTGGCAAGCTCCGTGGTTCTGCGTTGCCGTGCGCGCCGTCTATCCCCGCTATCCAGCAGGCTATCCATGAGACTTTCAATTTCGAGGTATTTCGAGATCTTATCGATGCCCGTGAAGACCTCGGATTCTGTGAATCCGGTCCCCGGTCCACTCCGTAGTTCGCGAGGAGCTTCACCCAAGTATAGATATCGGATTGCAGCGGCAAATGCCTCCGGTGGAGTTGCACTGGGAAGCTTCCATGTCGTGGTTTCTGGAGCAGCGGCAAGCTTGGTGCGGAAGTATGGAGAGCGGGCGGCCAATATGAACTTGTGGAGGCCGATGTCTCGGTCGCCGACGGCCACAGTGATATCGGTTGTCACGGGGGTTTCGCGAGTAAGCAATGAAGCGGTATGCGCAGCAAGGGGCTGGAGTGGGTCCGTGGACTTGGAATAATCGTACTCGAGGAGCAGGTTTCGAATCCGATCGTTCAAGGCATTGTATAGACATCTACCCGAGTCTATTGTTTAGCTTTTGAATATTCCAATAGCAGCGTGGAGCTGGGATTACCTTTCTCCTTGAAATGTATCTCTTTCGCACAGCGCGCCTGATTCAAGTAAAAGTTGCGCAACTTCATAGTGTCCACATAGGCTGGCCTGTCCAAGATATATGTTGGTTACTGATGTGGTTCGAGTGATGGAGCCGACTGGTGGATGGTACAGTGGCTGCCACCGTACTTACCAAGATCAATGGCGTGTAATCATATAAATCGCGTGCGTTCACATTGACGCCCTCGGTGATTTTCTCCTGGCAGGCTTTCAGATCACCTCTCCGGCAAGCACTGCAAAGTTCACGGAACGGCTCACTGAGGTCTAGTGGGTTGTCATCCTTGATGGTGCCTTCTTTGATTAGTCTTTTCTCGTTGTGCAAGCTAATTTCCAGCTGATCCTTGCGCAATACGGTCCTCTCTTCCGTATTCTCCATGTTCTCCATGATGCTCGATCCCAGCTTGCCACCTCGAAGTGGGAGGAGAATCGATGAGATGCGGGACCAGTTGCCGGGCTTATCGATAAGATCATGTGACGTCAGTTAGGGCTATCAGGGAGTCTGTTTGTATGTTGCAGCGAGAGACACCAAGTACGAAAATACGGAAGTGCTGCATCAAAGTTCTAAATGTCTATTGGTGGTCATTCGGTATATTAGGTCCATGCATGAAATTATTGTGCCTGACCGACCCTTGAGATGTAGATATATTTCCTCAATTGGCCGAGGCAATGAAAGGAGATGGTCCCACTCTGGGTCGCCAATCTGTTTGCAGTGACCGCCTGCCGTTGGGGGGGCAAGCGCCATGATTCCCGTTGCTGCGCAACGCAGCAGCACCCAAACACTGAGGATCGCCGAACCTCTAAACCCCATATCGTCTTCAACTTTTCCCTCTACCAATTCTTCAATTCGCCTTACTAACAACACAGGAACCTTGTCAACCCTCCTCTTCCATGATATTTTTCTTATCCTTCCTCCCTTCTCATATCCTTTCGACACCTGTGATTCCGACTGTCTGGTACAGTCATCGATAGCCATGGCAATTGCTTTGGCTGAGGCGGACAAGTATGAGATCTTGGAGAAGATCGGTAAGTTGTACAATACTCGGTGATGGTGGCTTATACAATGGCCTTTCTGACGGTTCATGTATCTTGCAGGCTGCGGCTCTTTCGGCATCATCCGTAAAGTCAAGCGGAAGTCTGACGGATTCGTAAGTGTTCCCATGCCGGCGCAGGTACCTGGAGCAGGTCATACCTAACTGGTCGCAGATACTATGTCGGAAGGAAATCAATTACATCAAGATGTCTCAGAAGGAGCGCGAACAGCTCACGGCGGAATTCAATATCCTAAGCTCCCTCCGACATCCGAACATTGTCGCCTACTACCACCGCGAACATCTCAAAGCCAGCCAGGATCTTTACCTATACATGGAATACTGCGGTGGTGGAGACTTGAGCATGGTTATTAAGAACCTCAAGAAGGCAAACAAGCTGGCCGAGGAAGAGTTCGTCTGGCGCATTCTGTCCCAGCTGGTCACTGCCTTGTACCGATGTCACTACGGAGGCGACCCCGCGGAAGTTGGATCGAACATCCTTGGTGCAGCACCAAAACCATCTGGACTAAAGGGAAAGCAGGGCCAAGTGACTATCCTGCACCGTGATCTCAAGCCCGAGAACATCTTCCTTGGTAGCGACAACACTGTGAAGCTGGGCGACTTCGGTCTGTCGAAGCAGATGCAGTCCCATGATTTTGCCTCCACATATGTCGGCACCCCCTTCTACATGTCCCCCGAAATTTGCGCAGCTGAAAAGTACACTCTCCGATCGGACATTTGGGCAGTGGGATGTATCATGTATGAGCTCTGCGCCAAGGAGCCCCCCTTCAATGCGCGCACCCACATTCAATTGGTGCAAAAGATTCGCGAAGGCAAATTCGCGCCTCTCCCAGACTACTACTCGCCCGAACTGAAGAATGTCATTGGCAGCTGTCTACGCGTTAACCCCGACAGCCGCCCTGACACGGCCGCTCTGATCAACCTCCCTGTTATTCGTCTGATGCGCAAGGAGAAGGAAGTAGTGGATCTTGGCAAGACCCTGCGCCGCCGGGAGGAGGTTGCCGTGCAGAAGGTCCGCGAGATGGAGCAGAAGCTGGCCAACGTGGAGAAGGAGAAACAGCAATTCAAGACCGAGATTGAGAATACCGTTCGTCGGGAATGGGAGGTGAAGGCGCGATTGGAGATTGATCGCCAGGTGCAGAGCGAACTGGACCGACTTCGTAAGCGATTCGAAGCGGAGGTCCAAGACCGTGTCTCTATCGAGCTGGAGAAGCAGAAGAGACACAGTAATCCTCGCGAAGAGCTCTTCCGCGCTAGCCTTCGTCGTTCTGATTCCAGTTCGCAAGGATCATCTCGGACTAGTGGTCGTGAATCGCGCTCTTCCGGCGCCACAACCGATGACTCGGATGTTCCGTCTAGCACAGACATCAGTCAGCTATCCCTCGAGTCTCCTTCCAACAACAACAGGAAGCCCAGGAAAGAGACTCGTACTCCCTTCTGTCGTTCCAAGACAGTAGTTGAATCACCCCAGGATGTCCAAATGGCCGAGCCATCCCCCATCTCAATTGCTTCACTTTCACTTTCGCCTCGTCGCACCTCTAATTCGGGTACCTCTCGCAATATTTTCGCCGAAGCTGAACGCCAAAAAGCTAAATGGGAACCTACTCTGGCTTACTCCGATGATGAGGACGATACCCCTGACCTTCCATCCCCTACTCGCCCTAAGGTCAAGCCTGACCCCTTCAAGGCGCCTCCTCGACCCCTTCTGCGCCAGAACACCGCTGCGCTCATGCAAAAACTCAGCACTCAGCCTCCTCTATTTCCTTGCAACGGATCGCGGCTTCCACAGGTGTCCGGAGGCCCGTCAGCCTCTCAATCTGATGCCCGTCCCAGCATGAATGAGGGCCGGGCCAAATCTCCCCACCGTCGCCTGTCCAAGATCCCTTCATCGGCCAACCTGGCTGCTGATGCTGGATCTCCTACGCGCAAAAACTCTACCAAGCAGCAACCCATCAAGGCCAACAATGCTGGCGGGGATGAAATGTTCAAAGCTGTTATGCAGCGCAACATGGGTGGTCGCACCCTAGTTGAGCTCGCTCAGGCCCGAGCCGGTGGTCGTCATGTGGATGAATTCAAGCGATGTGCCAGTGACTCTCGTGCCACTCCGAACGCCTCCAGCATGAAGTGCTCCGAACGCGAGCCACCTGCCATCTGGGATCCCGAGCGTGATGAGATGCCCAGCCCGTTCCTTGCCCGCGGCAAGAAGGTTATTCGCAATCTTCGGTGACCTGTCTGATTCTTTTTTCCTTTGTTAATTCTTCGCATCCCATTTTGGAGCGACTTGATTCTTTTCATCATGGTGTACTGGCGTTGTGGCTTCGTTTCCTTGGAGGAAAACTCCCTTTTCTACTGACCGACTGTCATTGTGACTTTCCATTCAATTCTTGCGCATACCTCTTTGTTCCCCATCACGGAGTTTGGCTTGCTATGTTGCGGGTTTGGCAACTTTCTTATGACCCCATACAGGCCGCGGTGTTTTTTGTGTGGTGTTTGTGGATTTGTCCCATTTTTGGCGACCACTGCCCACTCCCCCTGACTGACCGACTCTCTTCTACCTTTTTCCTTTGTGATGCCGTGATGCCCCTTTCGTTTAATTTTCTCTCGGAAAGGAGTTCGTTGTACATTTACTGGTGTTCATCACACATACGCTGGGGATGGTCTCCCTCTTATTACGCTTCAAATCTGAATGCCGATGTTGATGTTCCATACATCTGTTTCGCCAAATTCATTGTCCTATTTATTCAAGGCGACTCACTCGAGAGCGTAGACGACTTGCGATGAGATGATGGTAAGAATCTTGGTTTGTAGGAGCGAGTCGTCACCCCTGAATGTGACAGCAGGAGCGCCCGCCTGCGAAACTGGAAAGGCCAGAAGGGTCAAGGTAGCAGGGGCCATATTGATCCCTCTTGAGTATTTCACGACTGAATCAAGGCGCCCCGATATCAAATAGACGCATTGGTTTTGTAAAGCAGGGTCTGGTCTTTTTCTGTTCATGACAAGATCTCCCTCTCCCAGGTCGTCAAACGATGCTACTTGCATTCAAGCCTGCCTTCCACTATCTGCATGTCCTTCTGAACTTAATATCTCCTGAATTGTGTCATCTGAACCGAACAAGCTCCACAGGATACCTTCCAATAATAGCAGGCACTTGACCCTCTGCAAGATGATCTTCGCTCGTCCTAGCGTCCCCGGTGGACACATATTCGGTTCGTCCTCGGCGTCAGTGTGAATATACTAGAAAGCCTGATCTCCTCAGGGATTCATTCAACTATCACACGCGATCCAGAAAGCGACAACAGTACCCCTACCTTACCTTGCATCCGAGAAGTTTTGCAATACGAGCGCGGACTGCGACTTTGGCTGTTAATGCGGTAAAAGCGGAAGGTGTACACTGGTCTGCGATAGGGAGGCAGATTGCGTCCACAGGCATCATCATTGCGAGCAAGGACAGTGTTCGTGGCACAGCGGACGAAATGCTAACAGAAGAGAATTGGTGCTGGTATCATTGGAACTGTTGTATTTTTCCAAGGGGTATTGCGCCCGGCTACCTCGAGAATGTGTTCATCATTGAACGCATAGGAAGAGTTGGGTGGTCATCGTTCGCTGGAGATGTCTTTCTGTTCCCTTTGCTATTGTTTCAGAGCCTGAATTGAGTTTGAGTTATTTGTGGCTGCAGCAACGAAAATAGTTCGCGGTTGTTATTCGCTGAAGATCGCGGACAACGAGGCCCGTTGAATACTCGGTATAGGAGACAAAAGATGTACTTGACAAATGATCGGTTCGAATCGGATGGAATTTGGAATCAGATTTTCCTTAGAAGAGATGGCTAGGCAGTTATATACACTCAAAAGTTGAAATAGAGTGATGAGCGATCGACAATGCCTACGGACTATTTATCATTAGAGACAATGTATTTGTCGATCGGGAAGATATGGAGTCACACGAAGGGCCTTCATTTGGGTCCTGAAGAAAGTACCAAATTTGCCTTTCATCTCACTAGTTGTGCTGACGAAGGATCAAAATCAATAGTTCTGAAACGCTGGTCGAGTATGGGCGGTCGCACGGGGGAATCCATTAGCTTCACGGGTCACTTAACCCGAACCAGCAATGATAAGACAGACACATTGTGCCTCCCGATAGCGACTAGCGTGATGTGCACATAGGCATTTGGAACGTATCACATTCACATCGATCGGACAATCACGGTGACAGCGTAAAGTTTTGGGACCTGAAGATCATGGATTCGTCTCTTGAAGCCGCGCTAACCGGCCCTTGTTCAACGATCCTTGACGGGCGCTTTTCCTTCCGAAGACGTGATTTTCAGCGCCAGGTTTCGGGAAGGCTGCAAGTCACTTAAGTCGGCCATAGCGCCGGTGTCCGTTGTCGTAGTCCGTCTGTCTAATGCAGCCTCGATCCTACGTTGAAGAAAGTCCATTTCGGACCCCACTGCACGTGGAAGCTAGGAAATAGGCGCCCTTAACCCCCTCTCCACGATTGAGCGCTTCTCGTTGCGACCGAAGCCTTCAGTCAACGACATCTAACAAGGCGATTCAGGCGAGATCGCGATCATGGGATCAGAACTTGGAGTCGATGCTAACTCCAAGGCGGAGCTCAATCTGACTCCTGTCAGCATCTGGTGGGTGTGCTGGACATGCGTTTGGACGACTGTTATTGCCATAGGCATGGTTTATCTCATCATTCATCGAAATTCAACACCTCTTCGACTTCGAGGCATCGGTCTATCGCTATCGGCCATCATTCTCCTTCATTTATACTGGACATCCGTGCAATTGGGGCTATTGGTTGGCTCATTGATACCGGGGAACGCCGAATTCTGGATAATGGGCACTCTCTTGCCATGTGGCATCGCCCTTTTCCACACATCCAATAGTCGCTTCATCCATGTTGCGAATCTCCAGAAGAGATATACTCGCCCCAACAGTCGCTTGGTCGGACTACCTTATGGGAACACCGCTTTCGAACCCAAGGCAAGCAAGGGCCTGATCGATCGCTTCCGACGCCTTGACTATACCACCAAAAGTATCATCACTGTCGGCTTTGCAATGTTCTTACAAGTATGTCGGATACAACTGTGCAATATCGCCTCTATACTCCATCGCATCTTGATAAACCGTCGTTCTGACCGTGGATTAGATATTCCTTACCGCGTTGATGTATATCCTTTCCCGCAAATGGCATCGTTCCTGGGGCATCTCGGGCACTGAGGTTACTGGGACTGCTATGCAGCAAAGATTCGAGATGGGCCGAGGCTGGGAATGGTAAATACAATGGACACCCTAATGATGGGAACCAATTACTAGATGTACTGACATTCATAGGTGGCCTGGTGTGTTTTGGCAATTCTTCTGGTCTTGGATCGTTGCCCCCATTATTCTTTGGAAGTCTCGCGAGATCCATGATACCCAGGGCTGGCGAGTCCAAACCATTGGCTGTGCTCTTGCAAGGTAAGCTTGGTGAACGTGAAGTGAAAAGTGTCCCTGCTGATTATTCGGTCAGCCTCCACGCTACTCCACTTTGGCTCATAGCTCTCTATGTTCCTGCCATGGAAGTGGTCAACAAGTACTGGATACCCCCTCAGTGGTAAGCATGATTCTCTCAACCTCTATAACCAGACCAGGTACCAGGTTATCTGACTGCCATCTAGGATCTGCTTGTCGATCGTTTTCATCGAGATCTTTACCGTTTTACTGCCTTGCTGGGAGGTTTTCCGACATCAGTCCCTTCACCAAGAGACCCTTGATTTGATTGCCGATTGGGAGTCTAAGCAAAACGCTGCTCCCGAAACCAAGTCTTTGAAGTCTGCCACTGCAACCGTCGAGTCTATGATGTCGGGCTCGGTCAAAACAGACACATCCGATGAGAGTGTGATGACTATGCCTGCTCTCGAGTACGTCCTCGACCGCGATCCAGCTTCACTGCAAAACTTCTCAGCACTACACGACTTTTCTGGAGAAAATATTGCCTTTCTTACGAGCGTCGCCCAATGGAAGAGCTCCTTACAGGATGCTTCCGATGTCGAAGAAGAAGAGGATCTCAAAGAGATGCTACAAGAGCGATACAATGCCGCCCTGTCTATCTACGCCGAATTTGTCAGTCATCATGCCGAATTCCCAATCAACCTGTGCTTCCAGGACCTCTCGAAGCTCGAGAACATCTTCGAGGGAGCCGCGCGTATAATCTATGGCGATGAGCCCGAGATGAATCAGATTGCGCCCTTTGATATTCCCAGCTTCTCAAGGCTACCCTCGGCCATGTCGTCCGACGCCTCTGAGAAGGAGATTCATGTGAAGGCATCCGTGTTGCGAGACCATGTATGGTACTGGGGTGAAGTTCCCGAGGACTTCGTCAACTGCGGGCTCGGTGCGAATGTCTTTGATGATGCGGTAAAGGCAGTCAAGTACCTGGTCCTCACAAATACTTGGCCCAGATTTGTGAGGAGTCGAAGTACCACCTCACGATTACCAGGTACAACCGCTGGTGGTGGCTTTGATGTTGAGCTTGCACGAGCACGGCATGTGAAGTGAGGCAAATCTCTTCCCAAGAAGACATTGTTCACGATTATATTTGTAATGTACATAACATGTCCGGAGTTTCTTCAATTCTTATACCCTTTTGTTGGCTTTCATGACTTTGCTTGGCGGTTCTAATGAGAAGAGTGGCCGTACGTGTAGAGGTGCTGTGTCTAATGAACCCTTTCGGATTCTCTATCACGCATGTATCATCTCGCAATCACACCCTGATACTCACATTTCTCAATATTGTAGCCTAGCCCAAAACTTAGGTATTCTTCACTCCATTGTGGTATAAGATCAGCGCCCAAGTCTTCAATTGGGGCTTGGCACTATCGCTCCACCCACCAAGAATATGACGTCGACTACCATCGTGAGAACCATCTCCATGTGTTCTTACAACTACGGTCTGTATTCTCAAATGATTAGAGAGTGAACCCTTGCTAATATTTTCTCCCAAGCACCAAAAACTGAGAACGTGAGATCTCGCCGAATGTCTTAAAGTGTCATCTGTGGACAGGCTTGGGGGATATCTCCCCTTCATTAGACTTTGGCCCTTGTAGATCTCAAATCCCATCTAATATTTGGGTTCCGTTTATAGACCCACTTTGATCTGAAATTGAGAAAGAACCAAAAGAATAGTTCCCCAGGTTAATTCGGTACTGAATTTGGGCACAATCGCTATTAAAATAACAACCCACCACCTCGCGACCGTTAAAATGTCACTGCTAAGGTGTAAGCAGCAATCAACAAGATGAAAGTTGACCAGCAATTCTTGGATGGGCAGGAGGAGGTGTATCCCCTCCACAAGCTTGACGATATCAAAAGTTTTCGCAACAATGTGATATGGATGATGCGATTCAATGATGTCCTTGACGCCGAGAAATTGGCCGATGCATTGTCAAGACTGCTGGAGATTGGAGATTGGAAGAAACTTGGTGGGCGGTTCAGGTTCAAGGTAAGTACAGATTTGCGCATGCAATGATACAAGTCAATATCGAAGAAAATGCAGCTGACCTTGTCAAGGCGGATGGAAAATTGCAAGTTGTCTTTCAAAAGTCATCGGTAACTGGAGAACGGAATGTTTTCTTCACTCACGACTCTTACGAAATGCGAATCCAAGACCACAAGCTGGCCAGTCTTTTACCAAACGCGACAGATGGGCCGTCCACACATCTCGTGTCAGAGGACTTTCGACCCTTTATTGCTCGTCCGAATCATCCCACCTTCGTTCAGTCAGTAAAACGAAATGAACCTCCCATTGCACTTCATGTCTCCTCTTTCAAAGATGCGACACTTGTTGCTCTTTCATGGCCTCATGTATTGATTGATGCCTCGGCCGGAAAGGCCCTCCTGTCTGGCTGGTGTTCAGTGTTGGCGGGTCGCGAGCTCGATGTCCCTGTGGTAACAGGCGCACGAGAAGACATTCTCCTGCAAGCCGCGACGTCAGAAAAAGCGGAAAATATCGAAGAGTTCAAGCTTGAGAAACATCGTCTGACCGGAGTTAAATTGCTTTTCTTTTATTTGCGACGTCTGTGGGACAAGCTCCGGAATCAACCTCGACAACAGCGAGCGATTTATATACCCGAAGCCGTTCTCAATAGACTCAAAGCTGAGATAGGCCAGGATATCGAGAAGGAGAATCAGAGCAGCCAGGATGTGCCTTTTGCCAGTGAAGGGGACATGCTGATCGCATGGATATGTCAAGCAGTCGCATCTACCATGCCGAGGCCCAGCCCAATGGTGATCATGAGCTTCCTAGACATTCGACCTCGGATTCCTGAGATACGCAGGTCGACCGGTGTATTTTTGCAGAACATGATCCTTTCGACGTACGCGTTCCTATCAGCGAAGACCGCCACGGGTCCCATTGGTGTTGTGGCAGTGAGCCATCGTCGCCACTTTGCCGAGCAATCCACCGACAAGCAGACTCTCTGCTTTTTAAAGAGTGTATATCGAGATATTGACGCGGCTAAAAACCCCAGGCTCTGTTTCGGCGAGTCGAATGCAGTGCCAATTCTGATAAACAACGTGAGTAAGGCGGAATTGATCAAACTCGTCGACTTTGGTCCTGCGGTCTTGCATCAAGGCGAGAGCTCCGAGACACGGAGGAATCCAGTGGGAACCATGGTCGCTTACTGGAACGAGGGTCTCGACCGGGGCTGGCGCGATTTCAATGTTTGCTGGATGCAAGGAAGAGACCATCAAGGGGATTTCTGGATGATGGCAAATTTTTTACCTCAGGCATGGGCAAAATTGGAGGGCGATTTACGCCGATTATATGAGCAAGATGTCTTGGGAAAGTGAGAAATAATCTATTCTCCTCACTTGATCGTGTTCTTTTACTTGCTCAAGCCTTGGGTTGTTGTCAAATTTGCCAATTTTTCCATTTTTAGATAAGTATTTGGTCACAATTTTTCTGCTGATTGAAGATATCCAAGGACCTTTTCCACGAGGAACTGCCGTGGCTTAGCCTGGTCATCGTTGCTCAATGCATGAGATGCACCAGGGATAATAGCACTGTGCTCCTGATCCCAGATTTGGTATTTGCCATCATGATCCGTGATGCCCTTCCACTTCGATAGCAACTTCTCCTTATCAATCCATTCCGGAACAGCTTGATCCGCACCCGAAAACAAAACCATCAGTTTGTGCTTGAGCAGGCCCCGCTCATTAATCATACCAAAGGTGGTCTTTAAATGTTCGTCACTCAAGTCGGAGCTGAACAGATCATCCTCGCCAGGTGACTGAGGGCTGTCCGGGCTGATCAGACTCAAGAGCCTGCGACAGCTGATTGCGGTATTCGCCGGATAGATATGAGAAGTCATCCACAGGGGGAGCATCGTATCATGAGGTTCACCCTTGGCGACAGACTCCTTCGCCATTGCAACCATCTTCTCATACACTGGCCGAATCTCGTCGCCCGTCTTGCCACCGATTCCTTCGCTCAACACCCATTGCACTGCCTCTCGATCAGATACGGGGGCTTGCATAATCGCACCATCGAGTGGCATGCGAAGAATGTGCTCGAGATCCGGATCGAACGCTGGGGTGCTGGTGTGAGGGTTGGGCCGAGACAAGTAATGAATCACACACTGGCTGCCGGTTGAATGACCCATCAGGACGATCTTGCCGTTGCCAAACTTGGACGTTTTGTATTCTTTGATGTAATTCAAACATTGCGCGATCTCATCCGTGTCGCGGTCGAGGTGCCCGAGACCCCATGACTGGTAGGAGGATGTGAGGTTGAGCGTGAAGAGGGACCATTCTGTGGGCTGCAGTGTGCGGACAAGATCACTCATGTAGGAAGTCGTCGCAAGGCCATCGCCGAGACCTCCAACGAAGAGAACGCTGTGAGGTTGACGAGGGGCTGTGGAGGCATATTCGAATGTGACGAGAGTTTCGGTCTGTGGGGTTCATGCGTCAGTAAACCTGTCAATTGCCCTTAAATTCATTGCGCAAAAGACAGGAACCTACATAATGGTGCAAGATGCCAGGAAGGCCACCCTTTGGCCAAAATTTGGAGTACATATCGACGTAACGTGTTGATTGAGACTGGCAAAAGTGTGTATCCGCAAGATCGTTGGAGAAAGTTGCAATGACAGCTAAAAGAGAGCGTGCTGGGGACAAGCACGTGTGGCACGTGGTTGCTTACGAAACAATTCGTTATCAGATGGATCTTGTCTCACTCCGAAATCCGTTACAGATATCTTTACGTTAAATTGCGCGACACGAGCAAAGCAAAATCCTGGACCGGTAATTGTCGGGTGAAGAGGACCCGCTCGAAGTGACGTTGTTAGGCTCTCACTGAGATGAAATATTTCTGCTCAGCCGAGACGCCAAGACCCGGCCTTTACGAGACAATTTTGCTTCTAACAAAAGTCTGCCCCTCCTTTAGTGGGGGAGGATGGCGCAAATTATCAGATGAAAAATTTATCAATCAGCACGCGGAAGCTCGGGCAGTTCTGGCAACATCCGTTCCATGGAACGCCCTGAACGCAGGGTACGGTAAAAACAAACGAATACTGTAAGTACTGTAAGTACAATATTTACAGGGTGGATCTCGAGAGCAGCGTACAGTATGTATTTTGGGCAGACCCATCGAGATATTTTCTTTCCTTCGCTTCGCGCGGATCCATCCTTTCGGTGTCAAAATCACCTATTCAAGGTGGCGCACCGAGCTTACCACGCCTTACACGCCCTACTGGTGGCCCAAACAGTCACCGGATCTGATTAGATTTGTGGATGCTGTGTCCCAGGATCTGATTAGATGATGTCTCCCAAGGTCTACTCTGGCCTAGAATGATAAGTTGAAGAGACAGGGATCCGTAGCGGAGATTACTACTAAAGAATGAGGGTGTGCTGTTAGAACCTGCAAGGAACGCAGGTTGCTATACACCTTAGCCTATTGGAGCTCCAAATGGCGGCAACAGTCTGCTCGCTCCCCATTGGAGATGCTGCTACTGTACGGAGTAGAAGCGCTTGTCATCATTGTATATGGTGATATCCGTACTAGTCTGTTACTTCCCATTGTCAAGGGTAGGGGTTACGACAGAGAATATGCCTGGAAAGACTCAGTAATAATAAAATAGTTCAAGGTTGAATCCGAGACGTCGAGTGGATAGGTCTGTGTCCAATTTGGCAAGTCCTCCTCTCGGAGTACAGTAACGTATGTATCATACGTAATGTGATGTGAAATTCGGATTCGTTTGGTACATTACAAAGATACTGCAACCAAACGGTGAAATGCCTCGTATAACTAGTCCCAAACAGTCAGTCTCCACACCCCTTGGTTCTGTATTTATACAAAGTCAGTACTCGTTCTTGCTTCGCGGCAAGCTCGCCAGTGGAGACAATTTTTGGGTACAAAGTGTGGTGGGATCGGACCATCTCGGTTTCGGTCGGTTGCGATCTGCCATTCCCTCTTGACATTCAAGTGCGCCAGGTTTCAGCGACAACGCAAAGCACGTCGCGTCGTCAAGATGGGCTTCATACACATTGACGATATACGGAGCCAACATGAGCACTTGAACGGCAGTGCCGATGTATTGGCTAAGAACGAGCCAAATGGTACCAGCGCTAGATCCTTTAAGGTCGCCGGCCTTATCGCTGATCAGGTCTCCACGCCAACACGCATGAGGGAGGAGATTGTCCTTTTGTCCTGGCTCATAGTCCTTCTACGAACCAGAGAAGACGGACGTATTAGCTATGAATGGGCATATCAGAACCAAAGAGATTGGTCGAATGGCGAAGTCGCAAACAAGCTTTCTACCGAGGAAGTACTCCCAAGATTGCAAGATAGTGTGGGAGACAGCCTGGCTGCTGTTTCTCGTCACATCGAGAGTGTGAAAGCAAATTTGACGGCGGAGCCCAGCTCTACGTCACTTTTGTTGAGCACTGGATCTCTACTGGAGAGCTCTGATGGCGCTAAGAATGATGTGCGTAAACACTTAGCAAGTTTTGAGGAGTTTGTTGCTGACCATGTCGACTACAGGGCGTGCTCAAGCTCCAAGTTTCAATGGAGAATGGAGACCTCAATATTCACCTAGTATGGCACTCTGACAATATTCTGCCATATACAATTACCAGACACATTGAGTCCTTGGTGGATACCATCGAAATCTGTATCTCCAGTCCTGAAAAGGCCATCGGAGACTGTCTTCGTGCCACAAAGCACGATCTTGATACGGTTTGGAGCTGGAATCATGAGCTTCCTCCAACATACGACTTTTGCATGCACGAGATGATTTCTGAGCGTGCTCGGGAATTCCCCGACAAAGAGGCTATTCTGTCTTGGGATGGTGCTTTGACGTACGGCGAAATTGACCGCTTCTCAACAGTGCTCGCGTCTACGCTTCAAGAAGCGGGTGTCGTACTTCATGACTTTATCCCTGTGTGCTTTGAAAAGTCAAGGTGGACAATTGTCGCTGTACTTGCCGTAATGAAGGCAGGTGGCACTATTGTCCTTATGGATCCCACGCTACCCTTGGCCCGGCTTCAGAATATGGCAAAGCAAGTGAATGCGAAGACAATGGTGTCATCCGAACTTCAACGGGAACTAGCATCATCAATCCTACCGGACGGACAGAAATTTGTCGTGAACGAAGACATCTTTTCGCAAGTCTCGAAGACTCAAGTGTTGCCAGAGCTCCCAACAGTACCGGCCTCTGCTTTAATGTACATTATCTTCACATCTGGAAGCACGGGCACTCCCAAGGGTGTCAAAATCTCCCACCAAACATATACCAGCAGTGCTATTCCACGAGCGAAAGCCGTAGGCTATACGCCCACTTCCAGAGTTCTCGACTTTGCATCGTACGCTTTTGATGTCAGCATCGACAGTATGCTGCTCACTCTGGGGAATGGTGGCTGTCTTTGCATTCCCTCAGACGACGATCGGCTGAACGACATCAACGAAGTCATTCGGAAGATGAGAATCAACTACGCCGGTATTACCCCGTCGATGGCTCGAATCTTAGATGCCGATGTCATCCAATCGCTCGATATCCTCGGTCTAGGTGGAGAAGCTGCAGCTGCCACGGATGTGACAGTTTGGGGTCGAGATACCAGGATCGTCATTGGTTACGGCCCCTGCGAATGCACGATCGGATGCACCATCAACAGCAGTGCTGCAACAGGAAGAGACTACATCTCCATCGGACATGGCAACGGTGCGGCCATGTGGATTGTCGACCCCAACGATCATGAAGTTTTGATGCCGGTCGGAGCCGTTGGTGAGCTTCTTGTCGAAGGCCCCATCGTCGGACAAGGCTACTTGAACGACCCCGACAAGACTGCAGCTGCATTCATTCACGACCCATCATGGCTTGTGACTGGTCACAAGGGATATCCTGGCAGACAGGGTCGTCTATACAAAACTGGCGATCTCGGTGTCTATGATCCTGATGGCTCTGGAGGCATCGTATTCGTCGGTCGCAAGGATACTCAAGTCAAGTTACGCGGGCAGCGTGTGGAGCTTGGAGAGATTGAAAGTCAACTTAATGCCAGGCTGCCCTCGGAAGCAACGGTTATTGCTGAAGTCATTGTACCTCAGGGAGCCGGCGGCCAGTCAACACTCGTCGCGTTCGTTTCCTTCCAGTCAGCCAAGGGGCAAGAACAGCTGGAAATCCAATCAGCTGAGCTCGTTCCTGAACAGAGCCAACTCCTCTCTGATGCCAACGCAGAAATATCCAAGGTTCTGCCACGATACATGGTCCCCACATCTTACATCCCCGTCAATTATATCCCCACATTGATCTCTGGGAAGACCGACCGTAAGCGACTTCGGCAATTTGGTACCACTGTCGACTTGCGAGAGCTGGATCAACGTGCTGGAAACGCCATCTCGCGAGAGCTGACCGAACTTGAACAACGCCTTAGACAAGCATGGGGTGCAGCATTGAAGCTGGATGCAGAGGGTATTCGGCTGGAGGATAATTTCTTCGCCCTTGGTGGCGACTCCTTGGCTGCAATGCGTCTCGTTTCCATCTGCAGGGACGAAGGCCTCGACCTGTCCGTGACTAGCACCTTCGGCAACCCAACCCTTTCGGCAATGGCCGAGGTTGTTCAGCTTTGCGATACGCAAGTGCGGTCTGAGGTTGCTCCATTCTCAATGATCACACAAGCTGTCGAAAGTGCTTCCCTGGAGGCATCACAGGCTTGTGGAGTGGATCAGGGTGCGGTCGAGGACATCTATCCGTCTACGCCTACGCAAGAGTCCCTGTTCACCTTTTCGCTGAAGTCGGTCAAAGCATATGTGGCCCAAAGAGTTGCGTGCATCCCAGAACATATCAGCATCGATGCCTGGAAGCAAGCATGGGAGGGCGTTGTCGCCACAAGCCCAATTCTGCGCAGCCGCATGGTGCAACTACAAGACCCTGGCCTTCAACAAGTTGTGCTGAAAGTCAACGTTGACTGGAAGCACTCCTTCAATCTCGATCAGTACCTCGAAGATGATCGCAGTGAGAAGATGCATCTTGGACAAAGCCTTGCCCGATATGCTATTGTAGACAATTCCATTGATGGCAAGCGTTATATGGTTTGGACCGTGCATCACGTCCTCTACGACGGCTGGTCGGAGCCAGTCATTCTCGAAAAAGTTCGCAATGCGCTGGCGGGTCAAAGTGTTGAAATGCAGGCACATATGAAGGACTTCGTCAAGTTTATCCAGGATACCGATGAGGTCGCCATGAAAGACTTCTGGCGCCAGGAGTTGAACGGCGCCGTTGGACCTCAGTTCCCACGCCTTCCATACCGAGACTACTTGCCTACTGCAAACGGCATGGTCGAGCGTATCATTCCCTTCGAGGCTGGTGCCGGGTCGCCTTTCACGTTGGCAACATTCATTCGGGGTGCATGGGCTCTTGTCGCATCTCAGTACACGCGCAGTGACGATGTTGTGTTTGGCGAAACGCTTACTGGTCGTGACATTTCACTCCCAGGAGTCGAAGGAATCGTTGGCCCGCTCATTGCGACCGTACCAATTCGCATCCATGTCAGCCGGGATAGCACCGTCGAGTCTTACCTGCAGGGTGTGCAGCAGAGCATCCTTGCACGCACCCCTTACCAGCACATGGGAATGCAGAATATTCGAAAGGTTAGCCGCGATGCTCAACATGCATGCGAGGCCGGCACCGGTTTGGTAGTCCAGCCCGAGCCGGAGTACGAAGGCAACGATCTTGGTTTCAGCTATGGTGATGTTGTCCGCGAAGCTCTTCACTTCAATCCTTATCCCCTCATGCTTGGCTGTGGAATTCGGAAGGGAGGCTTCAGAGTCTGCGCAAGCTTCGATACTGGATTAGTCGGCGTGTCACAAATGGAGCGAGTTCTGGCTCAGCTTGAAGTGGCCTGCTCTCAACTAGCCAAGGATCTTTCGAGAAAGGTTGATCAAATCTCTTGCCTTCCCGAAGAAGAGTTGACACAAATCTGGCGACGGAACCAGATTGCTCCTCTATCCTGGGACGAGTCATCTGGAAAGCTCCGGGCCAATGAAGATATCAAGCAAGGATCGGCTTATCCTCCATCGGTGGTTCACTGGGTGTGTGATCCACGGAATCCTTCGTTGTTGTCACCCATCGGTTGTCCTGGTGAGCTTTGGTTGGAAGGCGCATTCCTTTCGGGCGAGACTACGCAGTCACCGGCTTGGCTCATAGCTGGAAGCTCAGAGATTTCCGGTCGATCAGGAAATGTACAGCCGACCGGTGATATTGTCCAGCAACAAGAGGATGGAAGCCTCATATTTGTTGGCCGCAAAGACAACATTGTCCCAGTGCAGGGACATGCAGTTGATATCGCAGATCTCGAGACGCATTTCCCGAGGTACCTCCCCCCTACGACCCGTGCGGCTGCGGCCGTCATCCAACCATCGCAGGACGAGTCAAGTCAGACGTCGGAACTGCAACTGGCCGTGTTTGTTGAGGGCCAGGCATCTGAGGGCGACACTATCAAGCTCATGTCGGAGAGCCATGAGGTCGTGTGGGACTTGTCCGACCCTCACAGTCTGAAGACCTCAGTTTGCGCCTCCGCACCCATCGCCCTTGTTGTAGCGCTGAAGCGTCTCGACAAATTCTTCCGAGATTCACTCCCAACTCATATGGTACCTTCTACGTACGTTGTGCTTGACAAATTGCCAACAAACCACAGTCTTGTGAACCAACTCGGCTCGAAGATTCCCTGCCGAGTACTTGACCAAGCTCACGAAGGGCTACAAGAGGCGTGGAAGAACATTCTTGCTCAAGCAAGCTTGACTGGACCTGAAAATATTTTGCGTTTCTCATGGGCAAAGATTCTTGGAATGCAGGCAAACCAAATTGATGTTGACGACAATTTCTTCCGCCTTGGTGGTGACTCCGTTCTAGCGATGAAGCTGGTCTCTAGTCTTCGTGCCCAGGGTCATTCGTTGACGGTTGCTGATATCTTCCAGCATATGCGCCTGGGAGATGCCGCGAAGAGACTCAAGGTTGGACAGTCACCACAGGACAAAGTCCAGCCTTACAAGCCCTTCTCCATTCTGGGGTCCATCGACATTCAGAAATTCCTGTCGGAAGTTGTCCAACCGAAGCTTGCTCATCCAAGTTGGTCAGTTCAAGATGTCTATCCCGTCACGGATACTCAAGCACTTGATATCCGAGGAACCATTCAAACCCCCCGGACCTCTATGCAATACAACATGTTGTATTTCGACACTGGCATCGATCGTCAGAGATTGTTCCAAGCCTGCAGAGATCTTGTCAAGACCCATGACATTCTGCGGACTGTATTTATCGAGGAGAATGGTACTTTCCTCCAAGTTATCCTGAATGAATTGGATGCTCCTTTGAGCACGCACCTGGCAGATAGAGATCTTGATTCATTTGTCAAGGACCTCTGCGCAGAGGATGTTGATTCCGACTTCCAGCTTAGCTCACCATTCTTCAAGTTCATCCATGTCGCGGGCGATGAAGGAAAGGAATGTCTCATCCTCGGCATATCTCATGCTCTTTATGACGGCATGTCGCTCCCCAAACTCCTTCAAGACTTGGAGGCGCTGTATATCGGAAAGGCAGCCGTTGACTTCGAGCCCTTCTCTTCCTACATGGCACGTATTCGTGACATCCGCTTCCAAACAAAGTCCCTTGGCTACTGGAGCACTTTGCTCGACGGCTCATCTTTATCTGTTCTGGACGGAACATCCTATCAGCCAGGAGATAAGGGCGTGTTCAAGTCCAAGCCAGTTGAATCATACCAGCCCTTGGAAGACATTACAACTGCAAACTTGCTGACTGCAGCGTGGGCTCTGCTTCTAGCTCGTCGTCTCAAAAAGTCGGACGTGACATTCGGAGGTGTTACCTCCGGCCGTATGATCGAGCTTGCGAACGTGGAGAATGTCGTCGGCCCATGCTACCAGCTCACTCCCATTAGAGTCCAGTTTGAGGCGGAGTGGACAGCTTCCAACCTCCTGCAATTCGTTCAGAAGCAGAGTGCCGAGTCTGCAGCCCACGATTTCCTTGGGTTCGACAAGATTGCCAAGCAGTGCACTTCATGGCCATTGGACACCCAGTCTTTTGACTCCATTGTCCATTATCAAGACTTTGATGACTTTGACACCATGCCTTTTGCTGAAGGGTCATGCAGAGTTGATATCTCAAATCCCCATGGCGATGCACCGTATCCATTCAAGGTTGTCTCGTTCGTGCGGGGTGGTAACGTGCACGTCGGAGCCGTCGGGTCCGAAAGGGACTCGGCCGTCGTGGTCGAAATCCTCGATGATCTTGCTACAACTGTTGTGGAGCTTTCAAAATGCTCTTCAGATGTTTTGCTTGATGGGGAGTTGTTCTAGTTTGACTTATATGCAGTAGACATGTTCATCCTCACGAGCAGGGGCAGAATTGACTCTGCCGAGGTTTTCATTTTTTCATAATATTTTTAGCTTTCTACTTGGTATATAGCGTCAGGAAACTTTTTAGAATGCAAGCTTTTGCCTTCGATTTCTCACCTTTACCAAACGTAATACTCCTGGGCCTCTGAACCATAGCCCCGTCCACGGGGTACTAGGTAATGTTAACAATAAAGAAGAATTCATAATACGAAGCTATCATCGCACACGTTTAATCGATATGATTAATTAGTTAGTACTAGATCATCTTTACCAAGTAGATGATCTTTGTGAAATGCCTCGTTAAAGCTTGAGATAAAGGACTGGTGGTCAAAACATTCGTATGGCCACCTAACAATCTTGAAATTTGGATGTTTAGTGTGGGAAAGATTTAACTAATACATTTCGCTAGGTGAACTTCCAAATCAATGTGATATTTATGATTTAATGCAACTGAACTCTTCGGGAAAGGGTCTGCGGTTCTCAAGCTAATCGAAAAGTAAATCCGAGAACATACCGAGTAATTGAACCATGAGCACCCCTTCAATTGTTTGCGGCGACTGTCAGGGAGTAATCCATGCCATATTCCAGGATACGAAAAAAGTTTAGATGCCACAAAAACAACTCATAATCAAGCTCCAAAGACAGTAGGCCACTGATCCCGCACGTGGGCCAAAACCTTCCTCAGGTCCCTCGCACCACCCGAAGACTTAGTCGTATCCGATGTGTGTTCGTTCCACTTGATACCGAAATCCAACAATTGGGCATTGAATTCGGTTTGATTGTACGAAGCAGGCGGTGTCGACTTCAAGTACTCAACGAACATCTCCCAGCGGGGAACGTAGTAAGTGGAGACTAAACCTGCCCACGACTTAGAGGCATAGTCGCTGATTTCACCCCGTGGGCCCCAGAGTGTGATTTGGTTGCGGGCATTGTACTCAAGATAAGAGGAGTAGCTTGCATTACCTCCGGACCAGGACCGAGCAGCGTCAATCCAGGTTGAGAGGCAGAAGTGAACGTTGGTGAAGAGGACTTTGTCCAAGTCGTTCAGGAGATTGATGAGCTTGGTGCCTTCATCTGTAATGGCGTCTGAAGATGAGTTACCGCTGTTGTAGATTGAAACGAGGTTCGAGTACAGGGGGATGAAAGCGTTAGCTAGGACTTGGCGCGTTACGTCGACCATATCGTATTCGAATGATGGGTTTCCCCAGAGGGAATTTTCGGCATTGGCAGCTTGATACATCAGTTGCCATGCTTTAACCAGAGTGGATGGGTTGTAGTTCAGAGTTGTGGGGTGGTGGCCTGTTCTACCAAGGAGACCCTTGATGTTGGGTTGGAGCTCGAAGATGGACTTAGTCACGGCAATCGCAGATGTCAGGTTGGTGTTGTTATACACTGTTGTGCGCATGATGTCCCATGCTTCGTAGAGCTCGCTGGGGATCGACTTTGCGGGTGTGTAGCGGCTAGTCACCCAATCATGGAAGTACACATCTGTGTCGATCGGGGTAGATGACCAGGCCTGGTCTAGCATCAGGTCGTAGACAACCTCGTTGCCCTCCTGGCCTTCCATACTCAGACCGTAACCGACCATCGACTTGGACTGGAGACGCGCGTTGGTCGCGTCCTGGGTGATATTCATAATCTGCCCATACAAGCCCATATTGCCTCCAAAGTTGTGTAGCTGGCACCAAATCCACGGCTTGCCATAGTACGAATTTGTGCGTTGCCATTCCGGGGTTGACTCCGAGTAAAGGTCAATAATCAGCATATCCTCGTTGTTCTCAACACCGGAAAGATAGGCCTCGACGCGCTCGTTAGTCCAGAACCCGGAGCTAGAGTAGAAGAGCCAGCCCTGCATCATCCAGGTCGCCTGGGGATCGGCTTCCTTCATACTAAGCCAGGTATTCCGTGTGATGCTACTCAGGTAAGTAAGGTTGCCTGAGTAAGGGTTGTTCTCGTTATATTGATCCAAAGTATAGATGTGGGTCACGTTTCCATACGCAGCTTTTTGCTTGTGGATAAAGCTGCTCTGAAGCTGCGTATAGTGGTTGTCGAATGGTTCAAGAAATGAGTCGTTCGTGTACTGTTCAGCAAACCCAGCCCATTCAGAGCCTCGAACCACGCTGGCATTAGGCATAACGCGGGTAATATTGTCAGGGACGAAGCCGGTGAAGGCGGGAAGCACCGGGGTTATACCCAGCTCCACCATGCGTTGCACGATCTGCTTCTGCATGACAAACTGGTCGTCAATCCATTGCATTGGCAAGTCTCCGCCCCAGGACCCCTGCATGTTGCCGAATCTGTTCCAGGCCTGAAAGGCCGGGCCACTCAAGAAAGTTGCGATCTCAGCGTCTGTGAGGCCAATCTCACGGAACACTTCGACCATGATCTTCTCCGCACCCACCCAGGCGAGGGCAAGGTTCACGCCGCGGAGGGCGAGCCAGTCTAGCTGTAACTCCCAGTCTTCCCAGGACCAGAAAGCACTGGTATAGGAGAAGGTCACTGATGAATATTAGCTAAAGAACACCGGACCATCATTGTACGAGGAGCCAGACCAGTGTTAAAGTGGTACCGCCACGGCACCGTGCTGGAACCGGTGATGGGGCGCGCAAGCCGTGGTAGTTGGGCAGGTGCAAGGTCCAGCTGACTACCAATATACCAATAGATGTCAACTTTGGCGACATCTGTAAGATAGCGGTGGAGACTGTTGATCATTTAGCTTCAAGGCCAGGTCGACGTTAGCGATAATACGTACCCCGAGGACAATGCACTCAACGAGCTTCCCTGTACAAGAACCTTGCCATTGGCAGTGGTGCTCACGACGTACTCGTCGGAGGTGTTGGTAGCTTGAGTGGCATTCACCAAAGTAAACTGGAAGCTGTCGGCATGCTTCGGCAGTCGACGTTGTACAAGACTGAAGATGCCCTCAGTAGACTGAGCGACTACCGAGGAAGCAGCACATAGCCAGAGCAGCGATTTAAACCACTGCATTGTTGCGTCAGAGAGACCAAGGCGGCTGAAAAAGTGAATGAAAGAATGAAAAGGAGCGACGATCGAATTTCGATAATTGGACGAGGCTCAGATCATGTAGTATTGGGCTCGTTGTTTGAGAAACGCCCTGGGAGACCAGAGCTTAATATACTGCCGATTCAAGCTTTTTCTGACATTCCAGATTGTACTATTTAACAATTTTAGCTTCTTTAATGTCGACAAGGGCAACTCGGGATGCACGTGTTCGATCGAGTGGGGCAACGGACCCCTTGCCAGTTTCCACTTTGGACGATCAGGACACGCTGAGATCAAAACAAGAAGGTCTTCAGTTTTCTGAGTTTGACCCAGAACTTGGCTAATCCATGGAGCCAGGGAACCCGATCTAAACAGCGAAGTGATCGGCAGTCATTAATGACCACCTAGACCCGAAATAACTCCGTGGGCCTGGAGAGTGCCCTTTACCGTTTACTATCGTCACTCCACTCGGCACTTTCAGGGTCAAGAGTCCCAAGGGGAAAGACGGCCACTTGTGGCACCAGGACCCGTCACTTCCGGTGTCGATCTTCTAGTTGTAAATCAATGTAGACATGACGTGGCCGATCGAATGCAAACAATTCTATTAAAAAGCTAAATAGGATATACAATGGTGGAAAATCTATTGCAAATATTCTCGTCATGTTGCCACTGTTTGGTGCATGACGTTTGCCCGGTAACTCTCCGACCGTTCAAGCAATTCCTCATGGGTACCATGATCGATGCACTGCCCAGCTTCAATCAAGAAGATGGTATCTGCTTTGCGGATAGTGTGCAGACGATGGGCAATCGCGATGACCGTGATTCCCCTCGCGGCCTTCTCGAGGCCATCTTGCAGGAGCTTCTCCGATTCAGCATCCAAAGCACTGGTTGACTCGTCGAGAATCAGCAGCTTAGGCTTCCGAACGAGCGCTCGGGCAATAGAAAGTCGTTGCTTCTGTCCTCCGGAAAACTGGTTTCCATTCGGTCCACAGAGGGTCTCGTAGCCATCAGGCAATCCCATGATAACTTCATGAATGTTTGCCAGTTTGCATGCATCTGCAATCTCTTCCATAGTGGCTTCGTGGCCAGGTCTAGCGCCGAGACCGATATTGAACTTGATGCTTCCCTCAAAGAGAACACTTTCTTGTGGAACCAGAGCGATTGACTCACGGAAAGCCACGTCGTGGTGCTTAGTCACATCAACACCATCAATGATGATACCGCCCGATGCAGGCTTGTAAAGCCTTTCGACGAGCGAAATGATGGTGGATTTACCAGCACCACTGGGTCCAACAAGGGCGCAGAATGTGCCAGGTCGAATGTCAAGGCTCAAACCATCCAGCACCGTAATGTCTGGCCGAGCGGGATATGCGAAGTGAACATCGCGGAATTTCACGCTTGAAGCGCCGCCAGAAATAGTAGGCTTGGGCTCTCCTGTGGCCTCGGGGTCTTTTTCTGCGGACTCGGTGAGAGAAGGGGCACGGATGCGTCCTTGCATTCCGTCCTTGCCAATTTCAATCAGACTCAAGATTCTTGCCATTGCAGCCCGGGCGTTGGAAAGCTCGGGCGCGAGAGCAAACATTTGACTCCAGAGAAGTGCACTGACAAGAAGCGAAAACACCACAATCAAGAACTGTGTCTGGGTATAGGTTCCTGAGATGATCTGTTTGGCACCCCACCAATATGCGAGGGCATTCACGCAGTTGCCAAGGAAGTAGGTAATAGCCTGCCAGAGACTTGCGAGCACGGTAACCTTGAAAGTCTCCTGGCGAGGTCCCTTCAACGATCGTCGGTAAGTCCTCAAAGTCTCCTCCTCGAGAGACAAGGAAGCGATCGTCTTGATCGACGTAATTGCCTCCGTACCAATATCCACAGACTTCGTGTAGGCGTTTTCGTGGCGTTCCTCGAACTTCCCAAGCACATGAAGCTCCATTAAGCCAGCTCCAAGGAGGAGCGGCACCAAGGAGAGACAGACCAAGGCAATCTTCCAGGCGATGATGTGAGTGAGGATAATTGCGGCGATGAGGTTGATTGTGATGGAGAACAACGAGCCAATAACAGAGCCGCTCAGGCCAGCCAGAGCGTTGCCATCTCGAGTAATGTAGGATAACAGCATGGCGGGTGTCCGGCCATTGGACTGATGCCACTGCAAGTCTTGCTCAAACAACGACCGGAATGACAGAACCCTGACCGAGTATACAACCTTTTCAGCAACCCAGCCAAATCCAGCCCAGCTAGCAAAGTTGGCGAAAAATTCAATAATGGCCAGAACGAAGAACATCAGGCCGTAGAAGCTACCTTGAGACCGAATGCTAGCCGCTCCATTGCAAGGATTCAGACTGCCAACTGTATTTCCGAAAATGACTGCTTCTCCAGAGAAAGCTCCACCCACGATGCTTGCGCCGAGAAGAGCTACGAAGATTACCAGGAGATGCGGTCTCACGGCGGGTCCGTAACCCTTCAACAATGCCCACAATGATTTACTAGGAGTCTCTGGCTCGGGTTCCTCTTCGTTTGAGTCCGGTGCGGGGGTTTCAGTTGTCAAAATCTGTGTCGCCTCTTGCTTTTCAAGTTCCTGCGATAAGCCGTTCTTCTCATTCTCTGTGTCGGTCAAAGAGACTTCATCCGACTTGCTGGCAGTGTCTTTGCTAGATGCAGTATCCCTTGAAGACGAAGACCCGAGGGTTTGAAGATTGACGAGTTCGGCGTAGGTTCCATTCAGAGCCATCAAGGTCGCATGGTTGCCCTGCTCCACAAGGTTACCCTTGTGCATGACAATGATGTTGTCGGCGTTGGTAATTGTTGAGAGACGATGGGCAATTGTAATTACAGTCCGACCGGTAGAGATGTTGTTGATTGCCTTTTGAATACGTTGCTCACTTCGCGAATCAAGAGAGGCTGTCGCTTCATCCAGGATGAGGACTGCAGGGTCTTTCACCAAAGCTCGAGCAAGTGACACACGTTGCTTCTGCCCACCACTGATGAGGCGTCCGCTTGAACCGACAGATGTACCGTATCCGTATTGCAACTTCGAGATGAATCCATCCGCATCAGCTAGGACCGCCGCTTTTTGAACGAGGTCCACGATTTCGATAACCTCCTGGCCCCGAGCCTGTGCTGCTGCCATGAGATCCTTGCCTTCCCTGACTTCCGACGCTAGGTCAGCAAGGGAAGAGCTAAGGAGTGTATCCTTCAAGTGTTCGTGACTGGGGTTACTCGAATTGATAAGGCCATGTGCAATATTCTCTAGCAGGGAGCGGTCGAGAAGAGAAGGCTCTTGCTGAACGAGACTGCAGAAGCCGCGCAAGTCGCGCAGGTTGACATCACGTAATTCGTTGCCATCGAAAAAGATTTGACCTTCCGTTGGATCATACAGCCTAGTGACGAGGCCGGCAATAGTGGACTTGCCACTTCCAGAAAGACCAACAAGAGCAGTGTGCTTCTTGGCAGGCAGGGAGATGGAAATATTATCCAGGACCTTGATCTCAGGCCGGGATGGGTAAATGAAAGAGACTTCCTTGAGCTCGAAGCCACCCTCCGCCTGTGAAATACGGAGCCCTGAAGTTGTAGTGCCATCAATCAGGGGCTGACGATCAAGATCTTCACGCAGCTTTGCGTAGGAGGCAACAGCTTGGACAAATAGATGGAGGAATGGCGCAACTTGACTCAACATCAAAGTGGCTATTGGGTACGTCAGACGCGAATATCAGCACAAATGATTTATCTGACTTACCTTCAATCAAAATGAAAATCACAGTAAATGTGGAGCCAACAGTAACTCCCGCAGAGTCGCCACTCACTGCATCAGCAATTCGCTGAGCACCTTGCCAGAATGCCAAACCATTGGCGCCATAGGCGATGAAATACAAGACACCGGACTGAGTGCCAACGGCCGCAGCCTTTTTCAAGCCTTCGTGTTCCGCTAGCTTGAGAGCTCGCGAGAACTTTTCCTCAAGTCGTGTATTCGCGCCAAAGGCCTGCACCACGACAATGTTGGAAAGTGCCTCAGAGGCAATGGTTGCGGCGGAGGCAGCGTAATCCGACATCAGTCCGGTGTACTTCTCGATGTAGTGACTACCAACGAAAGACATCAAGAGATAGGCGGGAATCAACGAGAGGAGAATTGCTGCAAGTTCCCAATATTTGATGAAAGCGACGATATAGGCTGTCACAAAGAATGAAAAAGCAGCGATAACTATGCCCACTTTCTCTGATGTGCCTGAACGAATAGTTTGAATATCGCTACTGAGCCGAGAAGCAACTTCGCCTGGCGGCAAGTCGTCAAAGTGCGATGGCTCTTGTCGAAGCAAGTTTTGCAGATAATCCTCTCGAAGTCTTTGAGACAGACGGGCACCATACATGGTCCAGCATGTGAGATGGGCATAAATCAAGACAAATTGGGCAATAGCCAGGTAAAAAATCAACAAGATCTTGCTGTTGATGGAGCTTTGGTAGCTGGCATTGGACTCTGAAGTGCTTGTGCCGCTACTTTCATCACAGCTCACAGAGTTGAAGTCATCTAGCAGCTCACCAAAAATAATACCAATGATAGGGAAAGGCACACCAGATGCTATCGCACTGGCCAGACCAGTCAAGAGCGTGCCTATGTCGAGTGGCGATGGTTTTCCTGCCATAAGCAAGCGGGGATAGCCCGCCAGCTTCTGAAAGAACATCATTTCGATCTGAGACTGATGCGCTTATCTCCTGCTATAATCGCCATATTCGTCAGATGGTTAAGTCGCAAAAAATTCTAGCTCCTCATTTAACTTACCCCTCAGTGAGCTAGCTAGCTCTCGGTGGCGGTGTGCTTGAGATAAAGCAGACGTGCGACCCCAGGATACGTCCACGACCTGGTGAAGCTTGCTTTTATTATGACCCCGCGCGGTAACAGATCTGTCGGCAGCTATGAGGGCTTCGTTGTCGACGCTTGCTTGACGAGCATGTCAAGTTTGCAAATTTTCAGAAGGGAAAAGCTTTGGAGACAACCCAAAAGAGTTTAGAAGATTTGCCGACATCGGTATGGACCGGCAGCTTTGGCTTCCGGATCAGATAACTTAACCCACTGGGCCCCCTGAAGAAAAAGACTCAGTTGATGGAGAATTTTAGTCACTACGGGGTGGATGGGGCCCTCCAAAACCCGCAGCACCGATTGTAATTACGTTTGTAATTACCGTATTGTTTTATTCCTGATACCAAGTGGTATGGTATCGTACTATATACATGGATGCTTGGCTTCGAGCCACTTCAAGCACTAAGGCAAATGGAGCAACTTAGTCGACGCTCATTCGGAATTTTGATGTCACACGATTTTCTCCGATCATCTCTTCAGTAAAAATAAACGCTGCAAGCAGGCAAAATTCCATCCCCGATAGTGCCCTGTCGTTGAGGATGACCAGCTTATTTCCGCCAAGCTCTTTGGATCAACAGTTTGTTAGGCTAGGCTAACTTAGCCGGCCGACATCGCTCAACAATTTTGCTATTCTGAGGGCTAGTCTTGCAAAAGAGGGGACTTGGATGTGTGCTCCACATTTCGGTAACGTTTAGCCATGGCCTACATGAAGAACAAGCAAGCTTAAACGGAAGTTTCCGTAATCTGACCGAGGCTGATGAAGAATACACGTCACTGTATCTTTTGAATTACATTACACCGTGCTCATGTCCGAAGGCCCACTTCTTCAGAGTTCCACGGGGTTCAATTATACGTCAGCTTCCGAGGGATCAGGTGCCTCTAGGGAGCAGGTCGTCTCACGAGAAACCCTGCATAGGAGAGCCCCCACTCATCCGATAAAGCATTCAAATGAACCTACAGCTTCATGGGGCAGAGAAGGATACTAAGAACGCAGCTTCAAGTTTCAGGCTCCGAAGCTAGCTAACGCAATATCGTACATTTCCCAGCCCTACAGTTTGGCATTCCACGCAGCACGGTCAGCGGATTCAAGGGGCCTTTCACGCCCGTCCCAAAACAAGGGACACAGCTGGAACCATTTCTCTCGGCTGGCGATACTGTGAACTGAACGTTTATGGCCGAGGTCGACGTATTTGCCGATGGTAAGACCCTGGGCATTCTCATACGACAAGATGGTTGCGCCAGTGGCCTTTGGCTCACCAACAACATTGGCAGTTCGTGGGTCATCCAAGAAGCAGTAGTGAATGCAGCTTGAATACCAGGCGTTCACACGGTGAGCACCACGGAACGATGCGTCGCCGACAAGGGAGTGGCGTCCACGATCGTAGTCACCAGCGTCGTAATGGGCACCGTAGTGATCCTCCTGTAGATTCATTGTAAGTATACAGGGCTGGAAACTCAGGCGTATGGTAGATCAAGGCTTACCTTGGCCCAATACAACTCATAATAAGAGAAGCGGGTGTTATCGAAACGTCCGAACAAGCAAAGAACGTGAGGATCGAAGTGCAGCTTGCGAAGGTAGTTCCGGTGTTCGTCCAAAGTTCCAGTCTCGTTCCAACCACTTGCAACGCGGGGATCGTTCTGCCAGGTGTTGAAGAGCTTGAGATGTTCGAGGTTCTCCCAATCGACCACCTCGAGGGAAAAGTGTTGGTCAACCTCAGGGATGTATCGGCTGTAAGCAATGGATCCAGGATGCGGCTTTGGACGACGGGTCGGATGGCGGGTGTATACAGCCTCCTCTGGGAACTTCATAGTGATCTGATAGTTCTCGGGCATGATAGGGAACTGATCCAAAGGCTTACGAAGAGGGCCATCCGTTCCATCTCCCACCACCCAGATTGGCCGAGAGCCTGTTGGAGAAGCTGCACCTTGCCAGAAAGCACTTCTGAGAATCAACAAGTCATCAGATTGCCAAGTCGCCTTATCCTGGGGCCGATGCCACGGTTTCGGGTGCTGGATCGCTAGTCCGGTTGTAAGAAGTTCCTTTCGAATAATATCGCCGTCCCGACCGGCCAAAGTCAGCCGGAAATATTCGTATGTAGGATTGGCGAGGTAGATTGCATGAATAGCGTTCCAGATTTGACCAAGCGAAGGGCAATCTGATGTCCATTCGAAGGTAGTGGTTGAACTGCGACAAGCCCGTGCCCAAGCGCTGTTATCTGAGACGGGAGGAGATTGATCCTTAGGAGGGAATGACAAGTCAGTCCATGAAAGCGAGTCGAGATGCAATGGCTCTGTCAGAGGGCGTCCATCGGTCGGCTGGCTTTCCAGAACCAACTTGCGCTTCGTCGGTGTCGACCCGGTAATTGTTTGCACTTGGTATGTAGTGAGAAAGGGGTGCGGCAGCTTCACCGGAGGGTATTTGGGCGGATTCGCTGCGCTGGATGCCATTGTGAAGAAATGCGTTCGGAGAAATCCGTTGAACGTCAGCTTTATCAATTAGCAAAGACAAAGAGCTATTCAGATCGAAGTTGAGATCCAAGAGAATTGACCGCCACTAAAGAAACCATTTTTTTTTTCAAGCAGAAGACGGCATACGAGATCATACAATATTTTCAGTGGCGTTACTGTATTTAACAAGATCCACAAGATAAGAATTATCAATCAGTTGTATCATGTCGGTATTTCCGTTCGAGATTTGGCTGTAATCGACACGAACCATGGTCTTCTGTCCGAGGGTGTTCAAAGACCTCTGCCGTGTGATTATGTGGAGTGACCGTTGCCGGTTATCGTTTCTCTTTTGTTCAACAATATGTATTCCACAATCTTCAGAGTGGAGATCAGATTGCGAGACACTCTGTAAGCGAACTTTGTGGAGAAGATTAAAGTGGGTCATAGGGATACATGGTTACAGTACCTGTAGCTGTATTGAATCAATGAATGTATACTTCGATTTACACGGACCAAGTATTTTGTGACCGCCGAGGGTACGAAGCTCAGACAGCTTTGATCGGCTGAGCAGATTATAAAGTGAAGCATCATACATAATCTTGTTATGCGAGTGATCATATCGATTTGTACTTTTTCGACTCTGGCTCACTAGGAAGTCATGTCGTTGCGGTCAAGGCCAGCGGAGTATCAGCACTTTAATGTGACGTTTCCCCATGAGCGGGTGGTGCAAGTCACATTGAACAGACCTGAAAAACTGAACTCCATCACACAATCTACCAGTCGGGAGATTCAGGAGATCTGGGAGCTGTTTGATCAAGATGAGAGTTTATGGGTCGGCATCATAACCGGCTCCGGCAGGGCATTTTGTACTGGTGCAGACCTTCACGGTACGATCATATCTATCTATTAGAATCCGAGTTGCCCGTATTGCAATGGCTAATCTCAATCGACATAGAGTGGAACGAAATGAACAGATCCGGTGTGGTCAACAAAATGACCGCGCCCGGCCTCGCAGGGCTGCCCCGAAGAAGCGGCAAGAAGCCTATTATTGCAGCCGTGAATGGCATATGTATGGGAGGTGGTTTCGAGATGGTAGCAAATTGCGATCTCGTTATTGCCTCCTCCTCTGCGACCTTTGCTCTACCAGAAGTCAAACGAGGTATCGTCGCGGTCGCAGGATGTCTACCGCGATTGACCCGGACATTGGGGTTGCAACGTACGATGGATCTCGCTCTCACAGGGAGAAATGTCAGCGCGAAGACTCTTTACGATTGGGGCCTGATCTCTCGACTTGTGGAAGAGGGAGAGGACCTTGCTCAAGCTGCGCTCTCACTCGCGAAAGAAATGTGCGCAAATAGTCCTGATGCGCTAATTGTCGGTCGCCAAGGAATTCGACTTAGCTGGGAATCGGGAGATGTGGAGGAGGCCGTGACCACTCTGGAGAATGACTGGTACCCTCAACTCATGGCAGGCCAAAACTTTGGCGAGGGTATACAGGCATTCGTGGAGAAGCGACCGCCGAAGTGGGTGAATTCGAAGCTATAGAGGTCGTCATTTGAATAATGCACGAGAGTTGAGAGTGTAACCGATCTAATCAGATCATCAGATATGATCCCAATGCATTTGTTGTCAGAAAATCAACGACCAATAGATCAGTATCCGGGTCACCCTTCCTGAACTCCCAATTGTAGAGTTCGCAGCAGGAAATACTGTTCTTCGGAAAATAACAGACACCGAGCTCGGATTACCTCGGAGAATGAAAGCCACTAGTGCTTGTATTTTAGAAGTAATACGGACGCGTCCGCCAACCCGAACACGGAGCGCCACCGACGAGGCTAATCTAATCAGATGTTTTGTACCAAGGGTCAATTTGATTAAATTTTCGCCAAGAAAACAGCGGGAAAAGGAATGATCCAATAAACATCTGCCCAGACCCGGCAAGAATGCAGCAAGTTCTCGGCATCCAAGTACCATGAGCGTCGAAGTCTTCTTTTTCACACAGGTTTCGCTTAGGAGCCCCTTGAAAAAGACAGCTTCTGGACAGTGGATGCAATAGTAGCCACATGAGCCACACTAATGTCTGAAACCAGACCCAAGCGACTTGGTTCCGACTTTGACTTTGCGGCCTGACAGAGGTGAGACTTGTTGACGTTATCAGATCCTTATAAGAATTGTGAGGACGAAAATGTGGCGGCACCACCCGCAATTACAGAAAATACTTGTAATACAGCGCAAAATACCTCCAGTATATTACCAGATACAGTAATACCAGATCGTACAGAGCAGAGCAGCCCAGTTTTCGACACGACGCTACAGGGGAACAGGCCAACAGGTGATTGATAGGGAGAAAATTCTTTCTTAGTGCCTTGGATCTCTTGGTCGGAATCTATTTCTCCAATGACGCAAGCTGCCTTGTGACCCCACCTAAGAGGGAATTCACAACAAAACCTGTGCTCGTATGTCGAAATCGTCCATGAGTAGTGGCAGGATAGCCCATATGTTCATTATTATGCACAGGCACAGTAGCAACGTACGACGCACGGAAAGACCGCCGCCTCAAGAAAGACTGTTTTATTTTCTCGGCTGATTTGGGTCATCTTTAGGTGGAAATTATCGCCGACATACGACATAGCTCTGTTGTTTTCTAGTAGACGAGATGCTTTAGCTTGGACTCTTTTTAACCTTCTGGAAAGAATCCTGAGTCTTTATCCTGCCTGTATAATGAAGAAACTGTCTTGTAGTCTGTTTGTAGTGGCACCCATTCTCTTTTGTGTCCAAAGTCGAGAGCTCTGAATGCAGCTTGGCGGCTCTTTCTGTCTCGTTGTGGATCCAGATTTCCTCAGGAGCGCGACTCCTGGGCCTTATTTTCTTAACGGTTCCATTACGATCGCACCTAGCTTTGTCATACCCCAAGAACCAACAGATCTTGTCCTTCCGCTTGCTTAGATGCCAAATTCAATAGAGACGTACTACGGCCATGTTCGCACATGTTCAGACGCCATACTCATCATCCAGGCTTGTGAGGATGGGGTCTTGCCACGGCTTCAAAACCGCTTATCTGAAAGAGAACGACAATCAATCCGATCTGGTTCGGTCTTCGTATGGGATGAAGACGAAGGGGGTATACGAAGGTGGACGGATGGCAGATCATGGAGCTCGAGTAGGGTCAATGGCAGATTTTTAGCCTACCGGGAAATGGAAAAGGAACCTCATCAACCGGATAGGCTTCAGAATGAAGACCATAGTCTCCGCTTCAAGGCCGATGGTCTGATAAAGCAGTCTTTTGGCATCACTGCCACGACAGGACGGCGGCTGCATTTAATCAGCTATCATTCCCTCAACTACACGAACAGTCTTCGAATTCCGTCTTCCGACCCTGCACTGCAGAGCATCTGTCCGCGGAAACTTTTCTTCCCAAGGTCCCTAGTCAACGACCTACAGAATTTCTCTGTCTTTGCTCGAGAGCAGGCCGAGGCTACAACATCAAAATCTCGTTCCGAGCTCTGTGCGATGCCTTTGCTCATGAGTGTGTCCAAATCATCACTCCCGTCAAGAGATTCTGTTCCGACCCCAAGTGCAACGCCAACAGAAAAAGCACTTTGTTCACCCCACTCTATCAATAGCCCATTTCAGCTTGACAATCCGTCAAATCCTTCGCATGAAATACAAGACAGTCCTCCAAATCTATTATCGGGACAACATAAGATTACCGACACTTGCAAAGAATGTCATGCACGCAACTCCATGTCTCATCCTGTTCTGCCATCAGCTCCAGGGATGATAACAATATCGCCATTATCCTCAAGCGTGAGGGAATCACCACGCAGCTCACGAGAAACGCAATCTACGCACAATAAAGACCCTCTGTTGTCACTTATACTTTCGTGATGAACCCAATGATCTCACTTCAGAAGCTTCAATCTTGATTCTCGAAATGATTGGAGAATCCTTGCTTCTTCCATGGAGCGGCTCGAGCCTAATTCTCCAGGCGGGCTACGTGGATAGACGAGCTTTCTTTGTTCGTTAAGCACAGACAGGACAAATCATATTTATGAAGCTGATAAAGATGAAATGCATTGAGCTCCATAAGTCAGAGCGTCCTTTGTCAAGCATGAATGAAATCTAGCAATGGGGTTCCTAGCCCCTTGTTTTCTTTGAACACAATAATATGTAATGGGACATTCCACATTATTTCATCTTATTTTGAGTCTCAGGCAAAGCAATTGTGCGCTTTGACATTGATAATGCACTGCGCATGTTCAAAACTCTACTCTATACATGACGCAAAAGTAGTCTGTTCCCCGTGCAATCTCGTCTTTCACGTCTTCGCCATATTCAACATAAAACATCAGCACTCTGCCTACCACCCAGCAGAGTACTCAAGGACTTTACCATCACAGTATACAACCAATTCAATCATAATGCCTCCACTACGAGAATCAAGCCCCCTCGAATGTACCTCCACCATCATGCCTCTTCAATTTTTTCAAGAAACCCGTAACCAGATAGTCAGTCGCCTAACCACAGTGTACCACCGTCTTCAATATCAGCAACTCTCCTTGTTCACTGTGGGCGAGTATCTCCTCGAAATCATCGGTGAAATTGACATGCTCAAGCATATACCCTACACAGAAGTCGACCTACCCGATGAGAGAGCGCACAACTGCTGTGTCTACCGCTTAACTCGCGTCCAAGTCCAGCTCCGCGAGCAAGCCCTCCTCATCCGGGGTCATCCACAGGGTGAGAGCTATCAGAAATGCCCGGCTATCTTCTCCCTAGCGATTGAGATGATCGCTGTTCAAATTGGGCGCTGTGCTATTAAGAGTCATGCGGATCGGGATGCGGCTCACATGGAATTGAAGGCTTGTTCTATTGATGCTAATTTGCTTTGTGATACTGTTGGGGTTGGTGAAATGGAGAAACGGACGCTTAAGGATCTCTGGCGGACGCTGAATGCGGGCGTGCCGAACTGTAGATGTCATAATTGCCTTCGGCGGCGGGTTCAGATTTAAGTTAGGTCATATATTTTAGGGCTGTTCATACTGATTTCACAGCCATTAATCATGATAGCGATTTTCATTCCCTCAATATGATATTCACGTGTCCTAGCTTCGTTGTCTCTAGTAATCTGTATAGTAGTATCGATACTGTGTGGTCAATAATCCTTTACTCCCTACCCCATTCAGGCCCACCACCAATCTCTCCTGGTAGAGCATCATTTGTATCCAGGCCAAACTCTACTTTATCAAGCAATTGTAGCTCAGAAGCCTGTGCCAGACTATCCGCATACCCATCCGTAGTAAAACAAATTCTCGTTCCCAGAGCCACCCCTTCATCCTCCCGCACGAGCGTGCAATCTGGGCGGGGAGCCCCCCGGCCAAGCCTGCAAAGAGTCGCTATAGTTCTCAGAAAGTCCTTAGTGTATCCCTGGTCAGACTGATCCTCCAGTACCTGAACATTGTCTATGAAACCATACACCACCCTCGGGCCTAGACTCCGTATATCAAGTATCAGCTGGAGCGCCTCGGGAACGCTCAACGTGCCCTGAGCAAGGGCCGAAAAACGCGAAGGCGCTAGACTGGCTTCAGTATAGCCATTATCCGGTATCAATTGGACAAGTTGGGTAATGATTGATGCCAGGAGAGAATCTAGATCAGAGGCCCTGGACATTCCCGGTTCATGACGCTCTGCGAAGCTGCAGAAATAGATTATGCACGGGATGTTGTTCTTGCGTGCCAGTGCAGCCAAAGAAACGGCAGTCATTGAATTCTGACTCGGCTGAGACACATCATGCGGACCTTGGATCCAAAAATTAGTGCAGCTGGGAGCTCGTAGCCATGTAACCAAGCGGTTGTGCACCTCTCTATCGACCTGCAAGATGGTTGCCTGGTTTGTGACTTGGATCAAGCGATCGACTCGACTCTTCCACTGATCTGTGAAGTTTTTGATCTCCACCAGGATCTCCGTTCGGCTGAACTGATAATGTGTCTGTGATACTGGGAATTCCTCGACTTTGAGAGCTTCCGTTTCGGGCTCATTACTGGTAGAAGCAGATGGTAATATTTTCCCAGTTGTATCTTCCTGTATGCTTGTGATCTCGGTCAGTCGGGGTATTTCTGGACGGAAGTATTGTTGTTGATCTAAGAGCCTTTGAAGCGATTCGCCAACCAATAATCTTTGTTCGCAGAGCTGGTTGATCTGATCCGGTAAGATCTGGCTGAACCTTTCCTGATTTTGGTATAGCAGATATTGTTGTTGGATCATAATTTCCAGACTTCGGGTGGTGCGATGATGGAAATCAAGGCTGATATGGCTGTTCATACGGGATTGGATGGCCAACATTCGGTTTTTCTTGGATGTGAACAACTCATTGAAGGCACTCTCATCAAAGCTGGTAAGGAAGCGTTTCCAGCTCGACTTGGACCATTTGTTGAAGATCTCGGTGAAAAATTCGAAGATGACGACGTACAGTTCTTGAATATATCGACGAAGAGCTGGGATGTCACCATGTTCCTTCATCTGCCGGTTCCAGATATCAATATCGTGGCTGAGATCTTCGAGGGTATCAGCCACCCCTTCGGCAATCTTTTGGTGATTGATCGTCGCCTGGGCGATGGCTGACAGAGATCCCGTTAATAAGGTGACATACTTGTCATCTTTGGGAATGAAGGAAAGCAAGGTACTGTGAGACGTGAAGGTCTTGCAGAGACCTTGAAATTTGGATTTCAACTTGCCCAGCTTGCTATCATCGCGATCCGACTGCCATGATGCTGAGGCTTTGGACACTGTGGCTACCAAGAATTTGATATCAGGTCTGTTCCGGTCCCCAAGCTCTAATTGCTGGTCTCTAGGCAGATTGGCCCGAAACTTGCTCCACGCGGCATAAAGTCGCTGGCTCTGTTGAAGGAGAAACGGCTTCGTCATCTGGGACAGACTCTTCGGCCAGTTCCCGACCTTCTAACAGCAGCTGATCCCATTCAGACCTTAGCGAAATTGAGCGTTCTTGATTTCGGTCTACCGCGACCTTGGCTGCCAGAGCCCGACCAAGGGGCTCTGCTGGAGATGATTCCGATATGTCATCGCTGAATCGGCGGATGAGCCCATCGCTGGGCTCCACCGGTCGACTGAAGGTCATATGCTGGGTGAGATGTAGACACGGTTGAAAAGAGTCTGGTTCTCTTCATGGGAAGAGAAATTTCAAATTTGTGCCTATGTCAGTCTGGCTTGAATATCCTGGTGAGCCGCATTCATAGGCAGAGCAGCCACGGTAGATCTGCAATTCCTTCGCCGGTCACGCCTTGCTCTTGAGCGGAGAGCAGTACGACTCGTGAAATGGATTCTCGACGATTCACTGTCACGAAATAATGCTGACGTGGCCTCCAATGAGAACCCTGCTTGATGTGCCCAGCCTTGCATAATAGGCGTAGCTGAGAGCAACGTGGGAGGGGGAATGCGGCTCGGGGCTACCACGGGCTCCAGAGACCCTAGAGACTTGATGATCCCAACTCTCCTAGCACAAAAAGATCCACATTTCCTTCTGTCTGACTGATAACTTGGATCGCTCTGTTCCCAGTAATCATTTTAATTGGTCATGGATACTAAACAATACTCTCGAGAATCTGAGCGGCCAGAATATGTCCTGCGACGCGCAGAATTTGAGGAAAGCGAGGACGGCACTTCGTCAGCCTCGGACTCTGAATACGCAATCCATACGCAGCGTGCCCAGCGGAAATCCTATTCGAGCAGATCACGGGTGGTTCGAGGGAGTCATTTAGTTCAGAAACAAGTTGATCTTGCGGAGCTCCGAAGACGCCAGAATGGAGAAATGGAGCACCTCTCTCATGAGCCGAGTATTAAATGGCGCGCTAAGCTCTTTCACAGAGAGGACGTACAAGATGTTGATGATCTGAAGCATCCGATTTTCGTATTATTGGATGATCGACCGCTTGACCTTTCCGTTGACACGACTCCAAGCCAGCCGCACCCCGACGCAGTGGCGTGGAAGGGTGGGCCTGTCATAACAATTGAGGTCTTTGTGGAGACTGATCTCATGCCACACGAAATACCGGAGATTACGAATGATCCGCAGACTGATCAGTTGGCCCTGAGAACTGTGTCCAGGAGACATCTGGTGGTTAACTCTCCGTTTCTAGCTAAGGGACTTCGGGAAGTTGTCCAGTACTACCCATCGTTCCACTCCCCGACGAAGACACCGGGTATTCCAGAGCCTTATGCCGTTCTGCTCCATCACTTTGACGCTATCGAAGCCATGGCGGGTTCCCCCGTCTCTGGAACGAAGTGCATGAGCCCCCACGATGACAACCAAGAAGAGAGTGACCTGATTGAGAAACACATGCAAATTTTGCTCGAATTCCTGAGACCCATCCACGAAGAGCGCATAGTGAAATGTGAAGATTATCTGTCCGAATCTACTCCCCGGGTGGCTTTTGACATGATTTGGTATCTTCTGAAACCGGGGATAGATGTCTATATTCATATCGACGGATCGCCACAGGCCGCCGTGATCAGAGATGTGAAGCGCAGTGGAGGTCCTTTATCGATAGTCTGGGGGCCTGAGACTTCAGATATGTGGGTGATCAGCTTGTGGCGATTGGGAACTGATGGCTCGAGAATCCGGCGAAGCCCAATCACGGCATTTGTTAGCTTTTATACTGGTCTACGGGAGGTAAAATCTCTTGCAGTCTGTCCATGTGCTATCTGGGATGCCCATGACAGCGGTGAACGACGCAAGGATATCTTACGCCGCAGTGAAACCCTGTTCAGATCGCTGCGTCAGGGAAATCTCCTCGTGGACTATAATGGGCCCATCGAAGGAAGCAACGAATGGGTATGTCCCCCGCTTGCTAAGGGCTGATATATACCCTATGGCTCACATTTCCATAGTATACTGGGAAACTAGTGATTGACCACCGGAAAGGGCAGGAGGAGCATGGCCACGATCGGGAACAGGTCCACGACTATTCTGATCGTTTCAGAGACTATGATAGTATTCTAGTCAACAACGATAGGTCTTTCAAGATCAGGCAAGACGATCAAGGATGGATTTTCCTTCAGGAATCTAGAGTACATGTTCCTAAGCGCCCCAGTAATGAGGCTGTCACGCATTATAGATACGAGAGGGAACGATTGCGGCCAGCTCCTGCAGTTGAGGTCAATGACCCAAATACTGATGAGATCAATGCTTCTGTTGTGGACGAACTTACCGAACATCAATTGCTATTGTTATGTCCCCAAGCGCTGGCATTTGCGCTAAAACACAAACAATGGAGTCAGTCTTATTGCTTTTATCCGATAACAAATTTCTCTCTAACTCCTGCCTATAGTTCAGATCTCATTGGATCACGTTCAAGAATCTGTGCCGTCAAATGAGAGTATCTCCAACCTTGTGATCGGAGAAGCCGAGTTGAAAACCATTCAGGCTCTTTCAAACCGCCAAAATAGTAAGGTCAAACACTGGTCAGCGGACTTTATTGAGGGAAAGGGATCGGGGCAAATCATATTACTGCACGGTATGTAGGCCATTTCATCTGTTTTTTCACTGTTGACACTCACCGACAATCTCGTCGCAGGACCTCCCGGTGTAGGCAAGACCTACACAGTCGGTACGTTAACACCCATCCCTCCATATTGGTAGACGCACTTGACTAAAGAGTGATAGAGGCCATTTCTGAGTGGCTACATCGGCCGCTTCTTGCACTAACAGTCGCTGACATCGGCACGGTCGAAACTCTTGTCGAAAGCGAACTTTTAAAGTGGTTTAACCTCGCAGAAGCCTGGAATGCCGTACTTCTCGTCGATGAAGCCGATATCTTCCTTGAACGACGACAAAATCGAGATCTGGCCCGAAATGGCTTGGTATCAGGTAAGATTCTATTTACCTCATCACATTGTCCACAAGTAACCGACGATTGCTACGCAGCCTTCCTTCGTCGAATGGAGTACTTCAAAGGCTTCCTCTTCCTGACCACCAATCGCGTGGGCCAAATCGACGACGCTTTTATATCCCGTGTCCACATTGCAATTGGATACCCATCCCTCAACGAAGATGCACGTCGCCAGGTCTGGAACGGCTTTTTCAAGAAACTCGTTCGCGATCGAGCGGGCAAGATCCAGATCGCCCCCGATGCAAAGGCATGGGTTCTGGAGACTGCGGGCGAGACGCAGCTCAATGGGCGGGATATCCGTAATGCCTTGCAAACGGCGATCACACTGGCAGAGTTTGAGAGTGAAGAGGACCCTGATTATGATGAGAACTTGGTGACGATTGTCACTAAAGCCCATTTCCAGAAGGTACTGGATATGTGTAATCGGTTCCGTACCTACGTGACGAGTATTCGGCGAGAAGACGAGAGAAAGAGGGCCCAGGGACGCGGTGATCGGAATGATTATGGCCGTGGAACTGCCAATGAGATGGAAGGGCTCTTGGACCTTTCTAACACGATTGCCCGGTAAGAAGAAGTCGGGGCTGTCCAATAGAGGCAAATGGACTCCAGTCACTTGGCAGTGGAAATTAGAATGATGGATGCATATGTGACTTCCCAAGACGACTGAGCCTCAAGCCTACTGTGTAGAACCCCAAATACACATGCAAATGATCAATTGGCGGGGTCTGAGGCATGGTTGGTCATCCCCTCGCCTGACGCAAAGGAGATAATGTTGCATGCATGCTGTGACATGTGATCGGTACAATATCAGCACCGGGGATACTCGACAGTCTAGATTGTGTCTATTGTAGGTGGCAAACAATTAAAGATGAGAGCGGTGGCTTTGTCTAATCCGGTATAGTAGATATTCTGGTCAACTCTATTTAGGAATAGTATACATTTCAACTAGGAAGAATTCTTGCAGATGGTATCTTGGGTTCATATTGCGTATTCATGTTGCTTGAGACTTAAAAGTCTTTAAGCATCCTCATCTTCAACCTCTTCCACGTGAGCATGCTTCTTCATTTCTTGGTTGAATCGTTTCTCCTCTTCTTCCAATAACCGCAACTCCTCGGCAGTGGATTCTTGTTCTGTCGTAGTGCTCGGTTTGACCCCGGCTGGCCCGGCAGTATACCCAGCCTTCTCGAGCTTATCCATCTCCTCCGGCTCCAGCAATTTGCCCGTTCCTCTAATGGAATCCTGCTTCATTCGGACCACCGCGGGGACAAATTTGTTTACAGCTTCCTTTCGCAAGTCACGAATCTCCGGCTTCGCCTCGTAGACCGTCTTGGCCTCGACCGCTGGCGGCCTGGACGGAAGCGCGTGGGGTCCCCGACGCTCTGGGTCCTGCTCCTGCGCGGGTCCACGCCTCCGCTGGTGCTCGCGGGGGATGGGCGGTGGCGTATCTCGCGGCATAGGTATTCTCCGTACATCCTCGTCTGTCTCGCTTCCATCGCTCTCTTCTTGCCGTCGCCCGAAAGTATTGTCTCGCCTCCGCTTGCCCAGTACATTGTCCCCTCCTTCTCTGTGGGAGCCGTGAGGACCGTCACGCCCGCCTTGGCTGAACTTGGGTGCCTTATCGCCCAACGCTTCCCGCGCTTTCAAAACTGCCCGTAAATCCCGCTCGAGTGCTTCCAAGACTTCCTTGTCCCGCGGCCGTAGTTTTTGGCCCGACTCTTCCATCGATTTGAAATCATTGATCTGTCGCTGGATTCGATCTGGGTTGCGGCGAGCCAATTTCTCGTTCCGGCGAGCCAATTGCTCCGCCTTGCCTTTCTTCAGGCTTTTCTGCTTATCCTGCTTGCGCTGCGCAGCCGCAGGGTTGATCGCTCGCTCCTTGTCCTTTGCCATGTTGATGGTCTAAGTGTGCCGTAATGGGTATGGTATTGTTCGCTCGTGTCGTAGGAGCGGGGATGGGAAGGTAATTTCCGCGAGTCGTCAATTCCAGGAATCTTGGTCGGCTCGATGAGATGATGTTGACGGTACGAATCGATGCGATTTCAGCGGTAAGCAAAGACCCTAGACTCGGACTGGGTCCTCAATCGGCTTCGTAGGGCAGGACCCGCGCTCCACGGGTTGCTCAGGTGAGAAGTAGCGCGAAGGAAGCGTGCAGATAGTGGCGGTATCGTGAGCTATGAGAGGTAGGCTAGAGCCCCGTCAATGCAAGAGGCTTTGGTCGTACGTGATCAAAGCGTCAGTTTCCCCGACGGCACGAAGATCGGGTCCAGTCAGGCCGTTGAGTCGGGACCTAGCTGCAGGAGGAGCTGGAGATCGGAAAAAAATAAATGGACGCAGCTCAGAGGCTGACAGGCCAGATGCGCTTTTCCAGCTGTGTGGATACCGGATGAGAGCGCCTGTCTGTGAGTCGACTGCAAGCCCCGCGGTCGCAATGTCTGTGCCAATGGACTGGCGAGGTCGGGACGTTACTTCAGCCTCACGAGTTAGGCAGCGGGCCGGGCTTCGCGTGTGATTGGGAGAGGAGGGAAAGGACGGTCGCGTTTGGTGGGCAAGAACGAGGCGAGGAGGTGCAGGCAGGAGTGGTGGGAGGTGATTCGAGAAGAAGAGGCGAAGAAGCTAAGAAAGTAAAGGCGGAGTGGGCGGAGAGCTTTCCATGGTTCGGAATGGATCCTCCTCTCGATCGTCGGTGACAGATATTGACTATCCTACTAACTATTGGCTACATTTGTCTTGTGTAGTTCGTAGTTCTGATTAGCGCGGGATATAACTACCGTTGCGTTTGTAGTGTAGAGCCTATAGAGCGATTCCTGTATGGACCTAACTACCTACTAGAGAGTCTACAAGCTGAGAAAGATACAACCTCGTCGAGATATACGAGGCCTACGAGTCGAAGGCGAGGGCCGTTGCCACCCTCCGGATTTCCTGCACGTCCCCCTTGGGGCCTGAGATTTCTGGCTGGCATCATAATAACAGAGTACTCTCTCTGATAGCCAACACCATCTAACGGGCACGCTACTATGTAAGACGGAGATCTTAGGTCCCAGGGATTGCGCGCGGGAAATCCAGAGGGTAGCAGCTACCTTGCGCCAAGTCTATACCCTGGACACTCAGTCAGGTGCTCTCGGTATTGGCGCGAAGTCTTTCGGTCCATATGAAATTATCTACAGGCCTCTCCACATATGCAGCGTCTCTTTAGCTCCATCGCCCGACTCCGAGGCACCATAAGATCCAAGCCATGAATGTCCAGAGCCGCTCTACCATGATCCTTTCGTCTCTGGTCTCCCTTCGGTCATCCATCGTTTCTGTTGTATATTGCTTTTTTGCAGACTTTCTTTTGTTTCTTCTTGTAGTTTTCAACACCTATAGGCTAGCCTATCGACATCAAGGCTTCCCCTCTCCGTCTTTCCTTTCCCCCTCCTTTTCCCATTCTCCGCCAACGGGCTCTCCGAGGTATCAGATTTCCCCGAAAACCTACGCCTGTGCTTCCCACTCCCACCAATTCCATCAGTTCCACCTCTCCCCTTTCGGATCCGCGATATAATATTCGCGGCATCCCACTGGCTCGCTCTCCTGTTTCGGTGTAACGGATACTCACGAGCCGCGCCTCAGTTGCCGCCCAGCACACCACCTTTTCGCGTCTTGTCACCTTTCCCTTCATCTCCCTACTCTCTCTCTCTTTCTGCTCCAAGCTATTCCCCGAGAGTCTTTCCATTCTGAACTCTACGGGTCCTTCTTATTTCGCACCCCCCGTCACCTCCATCCTCCGTCCTCCTTGACCTCCCCGCATCCACATCCACTTCTTTCCACCGCTTCACCACAGACCTCCAGCAGCGCCGGCCCCTCCCCACACACACACCGACTTGTCGCGTCCACCATGACCTACGGTCCGTTCGGTCTCACCTTGAGTTTGATCGGCGCTTCGTAGACTGGCGGTCGGAGCATGTCTGTGCCGGGTCCAAATGTCCGTCTCAGCAGCTTCGATTCCCGACACCTCGCTTGGCCTTACCTCCTCCGAGATTCAGATCCTCCGACAGCAACAGCAGATTGCCCTGCAGGGCAGCCATGCTGGCAATGGAGTCTCCAGGGGCCGCGGTACTGGTCGAACCAGCAACTCCAGCTCTCGCGCAACCAGCGCCGCCAGCAGCCAGGGCCGCCTGCTGCTAGATCCTATGAGCCTTCGCGCCCTGTCGCACCAGCTAGATGGTCTGCAGGCTCAGATCCGCGGCCGCATCGAATATGTACGTGTTGACCATCTCCCCCGCACGGCTCCCGGTGACTCGGTGTCTCGCAGCCAAATTTCTCCAACTTGTCCCCATGTTCAAGAGAATAGACTTGGTACCAATTTTCCCTGACATTTGAAATCTTCTTCGCTTGAATTTAGTTGGAGGATCAGATGCAACTCTCTATTCAAAATAGCTACGACCGCGCCGGGAACGTGATCCGAAACGCGGACGCGGAGATCGCCCGCACTCGCTCCATCCTCGCCAGCATCGACGAGCTGGACAATGAGCTAGCCAAAATCTCTCACATTCGCGATATCGTTAAGTCCTTTCGTGGTCGAATCGAAACTCTGGATCATCGCATGGACCAGAGTTCCCGCCGGCGACGCTGATGCAATGCCTACAACCCCCCTCCACCCTACTCGATAGCCCACCTCCACATACTTCTTCTCACACGAATCACATATTTTCTCCCTCCAAACTGACGGACACTGTGGAGCTGTCCCATGATGATGAGAAAGTCCTTCCATCTTTCCTTACCTGATACAAGTGGGCAGACCTTCCGTCGGCACTCCTCCTGCACACCTTATCTGTCCATACTCCACCTACACTTCCTCAAGACCTCGGTGCAAACCAAACGCTCAACCCGCCCAAAATGGTAGGGTCAAAAAAACAAATGAAAACAAACCGATATATGAGTACGGTCCTCGCGGACACCCTTTTCGTTTTGACCCAGTCGATTTTCCCACGTGTCTTTGTCTTATATTTGCTTCTTGGGTCTGTTCGGCATCTTTTGACTTATTGACTGTTGATTTGAAAGAACTGCATGCCTCGCGGCACCTTCGGTCCGGCACTCAACTCGTGAGTCTGCCGGGGCCGTGATAGGATTTGCAGTGTTTTGGTGGCGCTCGGATTTTGAGGTCATTTCTTTTTTATTTAACTTCTATCAATGCTCCGTGGGACTCTTTACGCGTTCGTTTCCCTTCCCTGGCTACGGGCCTTGTCCGAATCTGACGACTACCATGACAATGGAATTTTAATGTTTGTTTCTTTTTCGTTTCTTGGGTCTTTCTTTTCAGCGCATAAACGTGATGTTGCTTGCTGTCTGACTCGATGTGTGCTACCACCTCCACTTCTTTCGATTCCCCTCTCTGCGAGTTTTATATATTGGTTCAGGCTTTCGGCTTCGTCTGGGCCACCGCCCAACACAAAGATGATCACAGATTATTTTCTGAGTTGTTCCTGTGCACTTGTATTCGGAAGCACCCGTTCCCCGAGGCTTCGGGGTGTTCTCAATGAGGCCGTCCTCGGAAGGAAGTCCTGACTGATGGCAATGGGCCCGTTTGATCGGTAGTCACCCCCCAAAACACCGTATCCAGAGCGGACAGAGTGCCGTCATATAGACCGTGTAAGCCGAGCAGAAAGCGTGAACAGTGAGGGCCGCCAGAGGTTTCCGCTCAGGGCTATAGGTAAATGATCATAGGCATGCAAAGACGCTTCTCCCGCATCCTGACTGATAATCGTGCCCACGCGCCATAAAAACCCATCGAGTGGCACGCTTTGTCTTCCCAAATCTGATAATTTTGAACTGGAAGATATGCTGGTAGCAGTATAAAGTGCATGGTGTGGTGCTGTGTCAGATCGCATCGTCTGTTAGACCCTCGTAGAGCTTTGAGTGACAAACCAGCGTAGGCAAATTCAGGCTATAACATTGTGTTCCTGATGCTCTGATATTTCCTGCTGGGTCGACTCCTTTAGACGCTCGGAGAGTTTCTTGCTACGCTTTTCTGCCTGAGGAAAACGCTTCTCGGTACTGCAGACGAGGCAGCGGATCACCAGCACGTCGGCCCATGGCTTCTTGCGCCCACGGCTATCATTCCGAATCTCCTGCGTGCAGTTGACCTCTGGGATGAAAGCGGTGTCGCAGCGCTTGCAGAAAGATCTCTTCACTGGCACTGAAAGCCGGGTCTGTGTCTTTAAAGATACGCCACGCATGTGGGAGGTATAGACTCGGGAGATATTGGTCAAGGATTTCTTTGTTGCCTTTTGACTAGCACAAACTTGACTCATGTTCACATTCTTGCTCAAAGCAGAGTTTGAAGTTGCTCGTTGGGCTGAATTTTCATTTTTGGCTAATGTCGTTTGGGGGTTGACTGTGTTGCTCCCCGCGGCAGCTCGGCCTTGTAGATGGATGCCCTGGAGATATCTCGCAGCCTGCTGCAAGTAATCCATCCGGGCTTTTAGATGGCTTTTGGCATTTTTAGCCTCCTTCTGAACTCGCGCCTTGGCCATCGTCGGCTCCACTGCGAAGGACAGCTGAATGGAGGCGCTGAAAGAGCTGAAACACTTGACTCGTCGAGAGTAAAATCGCCCGATGGAACTAGTCCCGATGCGGCATTTGGGAGCCTAGTCATGTGACCCTGACCGCGCTCTCTTCCACTTCGCCGCATCCCTCGCAGCCGCAATCCCCTCTTTGTCATCTCTTTCCTGGTCAACCTCGTCCCCTTTGTGCTGCTCAATCTCAAGGGACTTTCACCAGTCACTGCTTTCATCTTCCTTCTCATCCTCTTCCATCCCTTTTTTCCACTCCCTCCCCCCTTATTCACAAGCTTCTCTCCCCCGAGAAGACGCGACACGACAACCTCTCATCTTTCAGTCTCACCCATCATCGCCACCATGTCTCACGAAGAGGATCTCATCGACTACTCCGACGAGGAGTTGGGCACCACCGCGGCCCCCGCGACTACTGCTGCCCCCGCTGCTGCCAACGGCGATGCGGAGAAGAAGGGCGACCTGACCGTGTCCGGTGGCCGCCCCGACAAGAAGGGCAGCTATGTCGGCATTCACTCCACCGGTTTCCGCGACTTCCTGTTGAAGAACGAACTCTTGCGCGCCATCACTGACTGCGGCTTCGAACATCCATCGGAGGGTTAGTCTAACATTTCTCCCACATGCCTTCCTCCATTACTCCAAACTCCAACGTCCGTCCATCTCCACGGGAATTCGGTACATCTATTTGGGGATTCGGTCCTCCCCAAATCTGCAGGCGACATGAGAGGCCACATTTTCCTTGAGCGATGGCCCATATACACTTGGTTGATCGGCTTTGCGATTAAGCGCTCTGCCGGGGGTCTCTCTTTTGGTGTGGCCTAGAGCTACGGCCATGACTGTCATTTGCTTCCACATGTGCTCTGCTTTTGGCAGGCCATGCCTGTTTTCTTGCTGGAAAACAAAGCGATCGATTCTATTCGAGACGCCGGTGATAGGCGTTCCCCTCATGTCGTCTGCAAATGACAGATCCCCGGAAAGACACTTTTCTGTCAATATGGCTTTCCTTCGCTCCATGGCGGTTGATGGCGCCATGTATGACGAAAGAAGTGACCGGGGATCATAAAGTTCGAGCATCAGTCATGTAGTTGTTTTTTGATGCGGCGGTTTTCGAGAGATGGACGGACGAACGGACGTTTACCTTGCGACACGATTGTTTTTTTGCTGCTTCACCTTGATTCGAAATCAAATCTAACCACCGCTTCGCCTCCCCACAGTCCAGCAGCACTGCATCCCCACCGCAGTCCTCAACGTCGATGTTCTCTGCCAGGCCAAGTCCGGTCTCGGAAAGACCGCGGTCTTCGTTCTGACCACTCTTCACCAGCTGGAGCCCGTCCCCGGCGAGTGCTCCATCCTTGTTATGTGCCACACTCGTGAGCTGGCCTACCAGATCAAGAACGAGTACGCTCGCTTCTCCAAGTACCTTCCCGATGTCAAGACTGCCGTGTTCTACGGTGGTACTCCCATCGCCAAGGATATCGAGGTCCTCTCCAACAAGGAGACCTACCCCAACATCGTGGTTGCGACCCCTGGTCGCTTGAACGCTTTGGTCCGCGATAAGAAGCTGTCTCTGCGCAACATCAAGTCTTTCGTTCTTGACGAGTGTGACAAGATGCTTGACCAGATTGGTAGGTGATGATCAGCTTATGAACAACTGAATCTTGCTTGCTGACATTTTTCTTTTCGCCTATTAGACATGCGCCGTGACGTCCAGGAGATCTTCCGTGCCACCCCCGCCGACAAGCAGGTCATGATGTTCAGTGCCACCCTCTCTCAGGAGATTCGCCCCATCTGCAAGAAGTTCATGCGCAACCCTCTCGAGGTCTACGTCGATGACGACACCAAGCTCACCCTGCACGGTCTGCAGCAGTACTACATCAAGCTCAGCGAGAACGAGAAGAACCGCAAGCTTAACGAGCTTCTGGATAACCTCGAGTTCAATCAGGTTATCATCTTCGTCAAGAGCACCCTGCGTGCTAACGAGCTGGACAAGCTGCTGCGCGAGTGCAACTTCCCCAGTATCGCTGTCCATTCTGGTGTCAGCCAGGAGGAGCGGTAAGTCGTTCATGATATTGAGCCTCTCATGCACCCTACTAATACCTAGCAGCATCAAGCGTTACAAGGAGTTCAAGGAGTTCAACAAGCGTATCTGTGTTGCCACTGATGTCTTCGGTCGTGGTATCGATATCGAGCGTATCAACTTGGCCATCAACTACGATCTTCCCGCCGATGCCGACTCCTACCTGCACCGTGTCGGTCGTGCCGGTCGTTTCGGAACCAAGGGTCTCTCCATCTCCTTTGTCAGCAGCGAGGATGACGAGAAGGTTCTCAAGGAGATTGAGAAGCGCTTCGAAGTTGCTCTTCCGTACGTACCTACCTACCACAGCCACCTACTGAGTTTCCAACATTCAGAACATGACTAACACAATAACAGGGAGTACCCCGAGGACGGTGTCGACTCTTCGACCTACATGGCTTAAACCTTTTCTGATGCCTGTGGCTGTACGCCAGCTGTGGGTTGGCATTTGCATTTGCATTCGCTATGCTAGCTGGTGGTAGTGACACTTTGTTAAATTCCTCTCCCTTTTCGTTTTATCTCTTTTTTTGAAGTTCAATATGGCGCAATAGCTCGGCTATGGGTTGTCTTTTTCGCTTAGGGCCCGCGTGGCGGATCCAGGCATGTATGTCAACATAAGAATGGAAACAAAATGCACTTAAATTTCCAACATACACTTTGATGTATTTCCTTTTTCCATTCGGGCTTGCTAAATAGAGCTCAGGCTTGAGGTCCTCCATAGAAGGTTCTCCATAGAGTGGAAGTTGCAGGTGACTTTCCAGATGGCTCTATGAGTCCAAAGGTGCAGAGTGATGGTAGAAAATCCAACATAGCTCATTCAAACCATTGTCAACATCGTATATATCGGAACGAGATTATCATGTTCAGTCATCCACAACTAGGTCCACTCGAACAATCTCGCAGTAGTGAGTTGATAATCCTGCTCTTGTCAGAAATGGAATGTACAGCTCACTGAACGCTAGAAATGTTATCTCTGATGCATATGTGAAGTCGTCAAGTCAATTTCCGAAGCCGCATCAAAATCAGTTTCGTTCTAGAGACTACAAGATATATCTTCGATATGTACCGCTCTCCCAGGTTAGAAACCTGGAGGCACGATCGAAGTAGACCTAAACCCAGCTAGTCAACGACGTCTAAAGGTACTTCCGCCATTTAAACAATCTTTACTTCATCTACGAATGATTTTGCAAGGCCTACGAAAGTAACATGGGGTCTCCCTCCATCGTCGATCTCCCTGACCATGCATGAAGGCAACTGAGACTTTTTCTCAACTAGCGCCCGCCAGTCTCCGGTCATCAGCCACTTAGTCCAGGGTCCAGACGAGGGCGACGGGCGGAAAGGCCTGATTGGACAACTTGAGTGCAACAAAAGGGCCTTAACCTAATGCTTTATGTCCAGGGTTGGTACAACCTGAACAATGACAGAAACACCTCGGTCGATAGAACTGACTCCGTTGTCGAATGAAAAGTCTCTTCATCATTATCCTTCTGAACCAAGATTTCACCAAGTTAGGTACCCCCCTTTTTTTTTCTTGGACGAACTACTCTTTCCCCCTTTTTCCTCGTGCAGCGTGCAGAAGTGACAGCTGTCAAGGCCCTAATGACAAAAAAACAAGGCAGGGAAATTGTGATGGTTTGCGCCCACCAGTCACACTTGGACCGTGCTGGGGTTAATTGTTAACGAATGTGGGTTTTGATTTGGCATCAAAGGTTGGTGTTAAGGTTTGGGATTGGGGAATTAACTTGAGGGATCGGCGTGGATTGGTATAGGTCAACGTCTGATCGTAGTGTCGACTGGTGAACTCGGAGGGACTCTCCATGGAGACCTTTTCACGAGCTTCCAATAGTCGGGTACTTTGTTTTTTTCAAGACCGAGAAAGGCAATTGTGCAGTTGAAGTATGCATCGTGAAGTAATTGTACTTTATCCTGGTTCGTTGTGTTTGCGATCGCGTTAAGCCCGTTGGGATCTATGTACCTGGCGGATATATACGGAATACATAAGCTTATTCTCCCTGGTAAAGTGAAATACAAGTATACATGTCGATATATATCAACCAAACCATGACAACTCATCGAATGGTCAATTTCCGGAAAATGGGTCCCACCGCTCACTCATCTCCCATGCAGAAAAAAAAAACAATGCAACGGGCCAATCCCAAACTACTTCACGAATTAGGTGGTGTAGTAGCGAAGCGCATACCAAAAAAAACAAGGCAGCAGACACGGACTAACGACCACCCTAGCTACTTAGCCCAGCCCAACCCAGAAAAAAGCTGTAGGGAAATAACCACTAAACCCGCCTCGTCGTACTAAACTGCTTCCAGCAGTGACCTCGACGGCTTGACCAAGGTCCGACATTTCTGCGCTGATTCTCCCGCGCTAAACCCTGTCTCGGACCTTCGCACCACCGGGCCCTGGTGTCCACCCACAGGGGAACGGAGCGCCCTTTTGTCGTGCTCTAGCGTCGATGAGACTGAGCGCTGGTGTTGTCTCGCCGCAGTCGCTTTTCTCGAATTGATCATTCGTAGAGGAGCTTTGGGCAGTCGTATTCTGTAACTACCGTATCCTGTACCTATACCTGTACCTGTACCCAATGCTAATGCAGGCCCATTCAGTGTCCGCCATCTTTCGTTCTCGAACACCATCAAAGACTGGACGACTCGAGGAGGACCCGGCGTTCTCCGCATCTGCTCTGGAGCTCCCACTGGGCGTTCATTGGCAGCCGCCACTGACTCAATTGCAAAAGCCGATCCTCGTGAGGTAATGTGTGAGACGGGGCCAATTCTATTCCAACCAATGGGATTGGTACCCGCCAACTTTGGATGTTCCTCCCTCTTCTTTCTCTCTCGTCGGTCGGGTACTACTGTCTACCAAACGGAAATCCTGGACAATCCGGTGTGACAATCGCGATCACTGGGAATCGAAAGAGTCGAACTTGACTGGAAACTTGTGATATCTGCCGCGTGAACCGTTTCAAGCCATTCACACAAAGGGAGGTAGTTTGTTTCGCAGCTCCTCCAAAATCAAGAACGATCCGAATCCGAGCTATCCAGATTGTCTACCTACAATTCTTTGGTGGGCAATCTTAGTGCTGTACCTGTGGTAGACCATGGTTTCGGTGGGACCCCCGATCGACTTTTTTCGACCGATGGAAGAGCCAGGGAAGGAGTTTCCATGGCACGGCCCCAAGTTTTTTTTTTTCTCATACACGAATACGGAATACCGAATAGATTAAAATCGCGTCCTTGTGTGCTCCGGTCTTAATACCGAGATACGTTGAGTGGCTTGTGGCAGGCTAACCCCGGCAAAGGTAATGAGCGCGTGTGTGGCGCGCTGCTCGAGGACTATGATGATGAAAATCGTGTAAATCGTGAAATCATCGATCGTCAGGACCCGGCCGTTAGGGGCTAGCCTCGACCTCTTAGGCCAAGGCCGAAGATCGTGGCTGAGCAATTAACGTGCCTGAGTAGTACTGTAAAATGCTAGGATACACTGCAGTAGTAGAGTTGTTCTCTGCGTGATGGTCACAGGCCCACAACCTACTTCGCAGCAGTGACTCCCGCACTACAATGTCTACAGTATTCCCTATGTATGGTCAAGTCGGATTCGCATAGTTCCTAGGAGCCAACCAGTCGTACATGAAGATTATTCAATGGATAAACAACTCCGAAATATCCAGCTCGCCTATCGAAAGCGTAAACAAAAACAAAAAAAATACACAAACATCAGCTCCCGTGCTCTGCAAACGTGGTTCACTCGATTCTTTCCCCTGCCACCCAGCGGTATGGCCGCGTACGTCCGGTGGTGTCTACCCCTCACGAATAACCCGGCCGCGACCACCATGCGCGGTCGGAGAAAAAAAAAGGGATTCGATTGGGATTATTAAGCGGGAGGCTGATGTGAATGTGGAGATCCATCGTGACCGCGACGCGCTAGATGCTGATTGATCTGGTTGTTTGGCTGCTGGCCGGAATTGATCCAGTTGGTTCTCCACTGTGATGGTCCAGTCGCTGCGATCGTAGTCTGGCCTGGTGAACTTAGTAGACACCTAGTACGGAGTACAGAGTATACTCCGTACATTTATATACTCCATATCTATTGAATGGTAGATATTGAGAGTGCTCAGTGAGTGAGGGAATAACCGCTCAACTAGTATGACAGATCGTTCGACAGTCCAGGAGAGTCCACAGGCCAGAGTCTGGACTGAGTCAAGTCATACATACGACGGGGGAGAAAGGGTGCGATGTGAAACACCCCAAGTATGCAGGACGATCATCCGAAGGGAGCCGAGATGCGAGAAAGGATTTATCAGATTCCTCGGAATCATTTCGCGTCTCATAAAAAAACCCCCGAAGGCAGAGCAGCCGCAGCAGGTGAGATCTAGAAGCAGAAACAATCGATCCCTTGGAACTTCCGCAAACGGGGGGGTGTTGTCGATCCCTCTGGTTGATCCCGATTGGGCTGTGTGGTATGCTGCGCCTGCCTATCAACCTCCAGCAAACATTGCCTCCTCCCCCCTTCTTCCTGTGCAGGATGAAGTATCCCTGGAACTAGGCCGGATGAAGGAAGTAGTCTATGAAGCTATATGCTTTTTGTCTATAGTCCGGAGTGTAATGGTCGATGTTGTGTTGCCCATGTCGTGAGAGGCTTTTGAATGATTAGGGTGCTGAGACATAATTCAGATGATTAAACTATTCCGAATGCCAGCCCAATGTGGGGTCACATGCAAAATGCAGTTGCTCGAAGTATGTACTTCCTCATACGATGCTTTGATCCTTGTACTCCTTTTCCTCGCAACAGGGTCCTTTGCTTGTTTGTTTTCGTCGTGGTACCTAGTTGAGTTGCCAATCGCCGTCGATGAAGCATATGCACTAGCTTCGTACTCAGGATCGTAGTCGTACATGACTTGGACTCCACACAAACCAGGGAGACCATCCAGGTGGAAACACTACAGGATAAGTATGTTGTATATAGGTACCATGTATAACCATGTGACCAAGATCTATCCGATGGTTATACTAATTGTACTAATTGCCCACTGTGCTGCTAAGACTGAGCTTGCCTCCCCACCACTCCTCTCGTGGCGCAGGTATGCGCCCAATACCACGCTGGCCGTGGAGCGAGATCGGAAGCCAACCTTGTCTTCAGTATCTCCATGTTTTGTTTGAGAAGCGAGGATGCTCGGGCCACATGAAATATGAGATCGAATTCAAATTCTGGTCCAGTGATCGAGCGTCCCTGGTGTAGCGGACTGTACGGCAAGTCGGAGCTTGGAGAGAGTCTACGGTCATGGCAGCTTATTCATACCTACCTACTCCGTCCTGAGGGTACTTTGTATATGTACCTCGAGGTCCGTCCTCCTGCACCTTCTTCTTCTTCGGAACCTCTTTCTATTCACCCAATCATGCCGACACTGGCTGACAGTAGCTAGTTGACTGTGGATTGGCGAAAGTGGAGGGGGAACGCGGCCGATGTACGCGTCGCAGACCATGAACTACGTGTTTGAGCTTTTTTCTCCCCTCCGTTCTCCCCGGGGGAAAACGACATGACAGGTACGCAACAAGCTCCAAGACTACAACAAGCAAAACAAGGTCCCGTCTTCCGATCCTCTATAGGCTCCTCACCGTGGGTGAAAAGCCGTGCCGATCAACCATAGACGTTCTGGTTTCTAGAGTGGAGCCCCCATTAACCTGTAGGTGGATTCCCTCTAGCTCGTTTAGGGCCCAGAGGGAAAAAAAAGGAAAAAATAAAATACAAAAAAATAAAAATACAAAAAACCAAGATCAAGGTCCCAAGAAAAATTATCAGAGCGTAGGTTTAATTATAGCAGCAGCCAGTTTCCCAACCCACCCTGCACTACTATGCTGCTGGCGCATACCAGAGAATAATAAAAAGAGAGAGAGAGAGATGGACTGGGACGGACAATTATACTAGGACGCAGAGACGGTGTATGTCAGATAGTACTGGTCATAATTGGAGAGATAGCGAATGGACTCGAAACGAAGATATGCATTTCTCAACTCTTTTCACAGCTCACAAATTGTGCAGGGCCTCGACCAATGGAAGTGTGCATGCACCACCGGCGGGTTGATTGCGTGGAGGGCCACGAAACGGCTTTGGCGCGGGAAGTCCAGCCCCAAGTGCATAGGTGGTGTTCTACGACAGCTCGATTATACAGTAAATAGCAAGCAATTAACTAGTGAACGATCGACCTGGTCCTAAGTCATCCGAGTTGACGCAGCCGTCTATCGCTCGAGCTCCTCAGCAGGTCCGTTCCTGACCTTCCGTTGGCAGATTTCTTATCGCCTCCCTGGCCTCCGTTTCCGGATCGAGCCTGGCGGGGGATCCACGACCGTTAGACCGTGAATTTCTGCCTAGGATTCAAGTTCTCCCTTGAAACGACGGGACCTGGATTTTGAACTATTCGATAGAGAGAGAGAGAGGCAACTTAGAAGAATAAACGAAGAAGCAAGAAAAGAGGCAAAGAACGAAAGAAACGGAATATTGAGGCTGATCACGAACCTATTCCTCCATTTGCATGTTCTGTTCTTCGATCTGCTAGCAAAACCAAAACTCCTGCCAATCTCCCGTGCCAACTCTTCTCCCCCCCCCCCAAACCGACTAAAGCGGCCATCCTTCGTCTCTTGCCCAACTCGCTCTTTTCTTTTTTGCCCTCCTGCCTTCTCTTGTCCAACTCTTCCTCCCTTTCCTTTCTTTCCCACTTCGTCCCTCCTCCCCCCCTCCCCCCTCACTCGCTCTCTTCCTCCTTTCTACCGCCCTTTCTTGCACGACGCCATCGCCATCTCCCTTCCCTTTCCCTCCTCCCCAAAAACCCTGGCTTGCCGGTGATCTCTGCTTATCGGCGGCCGCGCGCGCGCCTCTTCGACCTCTCGACCCCGGGACCCGCCCTATCCTCACTTCCTGCCAGTTTCGATCATGGCGCCCCCTCCTCCTCCACGCCTCCGCATCCTCTCCGGTAAGTTCTTCGTCCTGGCAGTTACTCGCAATTTCTTGATTTCTCTCCGATCTCCCCATTCTTGCCATCCTCCCAACCTCCCGATCGTTCCGACACTTCCAATCTCTGCTCGCCCAAACCTCCATCATGGGTCGTCCACTAATGAGAGTCTGTGCAGTCGGTGGAAATGCGATTTCGGCTTTCTTGTCATGGCGCCTACAGGCAACGACGTCCTGCGACGTAACGCTGGTCTGGAAATCGGGCTTTGAGTCCGTGGCTCAATATGGTGTATCATTTAAGTATGTCTGCGCCCGTGGTCGCCCGTTGGCAGGCCGGTTTACTGATACCTTGCTTTCTGTGACAGATCAAAAGCTTTCGGCAATGAGCGATTCAAGCCTCGCCATGGTAGGTTCTTTTATTTTTCTTTTCTGGCCACCCGGCTAACTCATCTCTCTTCGTGCTATGGTTTAGTTGTCCGAACACCCGAAGAAGCTTCATCTCGTGAAAATGCGTACGACTACGTGATTCTCTGTGTGAAAGCACTGCCCGACGTCTACGATCTCGCCGCGGTTATCGAATCCGTTGTCACACCCCAGCATACCTGCATTCTCGTAAACACGACGAATACCATCGGAATCGAGGCCCACCTGGAGCAACGGTATCCCACCAACGTGATTCTTTCCCTAGTCTCCAACGTAGAGATCTCTCAAACCGGCCCCAGCGAATTCGAGCACTTGAGTTCGAGCGAGATCCATGTGGGCGCAACCAACAAGCAATCCGCTATCCCCACATCCATTCAGAACGACATGGCGGCGGCATTGGCCATGACCCTCAACTCCGGGCAGGTCAATTGTCACGTATCGCAGAATATTCGACAGGAACAGTTTGAGCGGATGATTGGGTGAGTGCCTCGACCCGACCGTTCGAAGAGAGACCCCGGAGATCCAATTCTCGTGCTAACGACCGCCGCAGTCCTATCGCGTTCCATCCTGCCAGTGTTGCGTTCGAGACCTCTAACCCCACCCAGCTGCTAGAGAAAGTCGGAGTCCGCCAACTAGTGACCGGCATTATCGACGAGCTCTTGGAGCTGGCTCGAGCCCAGGGCTGCAACTTCCCCGGTGATTTCCGAGAAAAGACGATCGAGAAGATGACCGCATCAGACGCCCCGAGCACCATGTACCTGGACTTCCAGGCCCGCCGCCCCTTGGAAATTGAAACGTTTTTAGGGTCTCCCATCAAATTAGCGACCGAGTCCAACCTTTCCATCCCCCGGATCGAAGCTTTATACGCCATGCTCCACCATATTAATATTGCGAACCAAAACAGACCCCGACCAGGCGATTCCCCGCCTGCATCGGTCATGGGTCACCCACCACCCCGAATGTCCTCTGCTCCTCCTGCACAACGTCCGCCCATGAATGGTGCGATGCGAGGGAGTCGGGTGAACTCGAGCATGGGCGTACCCCCTCCCGGCCAACGAAGAGGCCCGCCCTCGGGTATGATGTCTCGAGGACCCGGCGGACCGATGCCCATGGGCCCCATGGGCCCTCAGGGCAGACCCGGCGTTTCTCGAGACACTTCGCTGGAAGGACTCGAGGAGTTCAGCCATCTGGTGGTCTACGATGAATCGGAGGGTGGAATGCCCATGCCTCAGGCCAACGGCAATGGTCATCCCGATGCAGCTTCCTCCCCCAACGATATAATGCTGCGGGAGCGCGAGTTGGCTCTTCGCCAGCGTGAATTGCAATTACGGGAGCAGGAGATGAGCATGCGGAGAGGACCTGGGCCGGGCGGACCTGGTCGCCGTGGGCCACCGTCTCGAGCACCCGCCGCGGCCTTTGACGAAGAGGATGAGGATTATTTTGACCCGATGGACAACATGGCGATTCCCCACATTGATCCCGATCAAGTCGACATGATGAGTATCACGTCACGCCGAGCCCGCAAGGCTCCCAGCCACAGCCAGTTCCGCAAAAATCCCGAGATGATGGGCGGTGGTCCTCCCATGACTCAGAGTCGACCCGGGTCATCATTTGGTCGCTATTTCGGCCGGAAACGCGCGAGTGATCGAGTGATGCAGGAAATTCCAGGCCTCCACGACTCTCTCATGGACAACCCGATGATGAGCTACTCGTCGAACCGATACGGAGCCGTTGACCGCAACCAGATGGGCATCGATTCAAGGGCCAACTCTCTAACGGCCAGTCATATGGGCGATTTCCCACCGCGACCGTACCCCCAGAGCCGGCGAAACAGCAACTCCCCCGCCGCACCTTTCCCCGGACCCCCCGGGCCATCTCGCATGGGTCGGCCCATGACTGGTCATGACCAAAGTCTTGGTCCCCATGGTGGATCTCATAATGGCCATCCGTCGCCGCCTGGAAACATGCGGACACCGGTCCCCCGGCACCCGTCAGGACAAGGCCCGGTTGGACCGCAGCAGCTTGAGCAACACTATGGGGTGAGCAATTCGTTTCCCGCTAAGGGTCCTCCCAAGAATAAAAGTCTGACCGGAAGTGCGAGTGCCAGTGCTGAAAGTGGTGATAGCGGAGCCAGCGCGAATCTTGATTCCGAAGCCTCTGCTCATAGCAGCCAAATCAGCCTAGGTGACCATCACGCCGTTCCGGCAGCGCCCGTTCGCTGAAGCTCTTCCCCTTTTTGTGATTTTTTTGCTCCCTTTACCATCACGGCGTGACTACTCGCACTCGACGAAAACTGGCGATCGATGAACGGATTCGATTTTTGTTTCCTTTCTGACGTTTCCCTCCCTACTATTTTCCTATCTTCCTGGACGCAATACCTCTCTCTCACCTCTTTTTTCAAGCTTTGTCATGTTTGGACACTTTTTGCATCGCTGCGTGGGTTGTTCTACGGGGGATTATTGTTTTACGGATTCCACCCCCGGTTTGAATGAGGCTATCGGTTAATACTCTGCTGTTCGCTTCTTTACATATACATGAGGGACATAGGGGTTCTTATCGCTTATTGGTGTTTCGTTGTTTTCCCCCTCTGTCTTTGTTCCGGAGCGCTGGGGATATGGGTTGTGTTCGACTGATCTCTTTCTTATACTTTCGTCCTCTGCATTGAAACTCAGTCCGGTTTCGAGGCATTATCGATTCTTTTTTCCCGCTCCTCTACTTTGCACGCCAAGGCTATTCGCACAGCCTAGACCGGTCATTCGTCGTGTTTCTGCTTTTGCAGCATATCGATATAATGCTTTTTTTTTTCCGGCCTTCCTCTATCATCCCGCAACAACAACAAACAACAACACTGCCTCAGTCGTAACGCCTTGGAAATTCTTCCTTCCCTCTCTGCATGACTGTACACTACCTGAACCGGCGCATTCCTTTTTTTTTTTTTTTTTCCTTTGGTTTTTACTCATCATACGTGGCTCGTATACGTTGCCCTACTGCTATCTGCCCGATCCGCGTTCTATCATCATCATTCCCATCATCCTGCCTTGGTCCCGGCATCACAACTTTCCTTGATTTGAAGATTTTTGATTTCTTTGCTGTCTCGACTCTGCCTCATCATCTGGCTGGTCTCATGTCTACGGTCTCGTTTCTTGAATCATTCTGTTTTTTTTTTTTCTACGGTCTGCTTTTCCCCTTTCCTCCCTGGCGCATTGCAAAAGAGCGGAATATTCGTTCCATATAGGTTCTTCCGACTGGTTGAACTTTGTCTTCATGGTTGGCTTGGGTCCACGCTTGCCGTGGAATCTAATAACGGGTGTGTTGCGGTGGTCCGGGCGAATCGGGATGGCCGTGCTCTGGACAGACACTGCTTTTTTTCCTTGTATCCTTCATGGTGCGCACGAACTGATAGAAATTCCCCGTTATATTATTCAAGTTGCTCGTCTGGCTCTTCTTTTTGTTGTTCTTGGTATCTCTGCAGTTTTACTTGAGTAGAATAGAGTGTATGAATAGTTGCGCCATGCCGCGAATGTATAACTGATAAACGGGGTCACGTGATGATATACGAGATGTAAACATCGGAAGTTTCCCGGCGATCTTCCTTGTCCGCAACCAAACTCACCTTACAACATCTCGTCAGGGAGCTTTACTCGAACAAGTATTGACAATCCCCGAGAAGAAAAACCGCAATATCAATAAATCAAACCGCAAAAATGCCCCTCAACCCCACCCACCACCGCACAGACTCCCACCCCTCCTACCCCCGCGCCACAATCCTCCCAAACTCAACCTCGACCAACCTCAACGCAACAACAACCCACAACCCCTACCAAAGCCAACACAACACTCAATATCAAAACCAATCGACCTCAAGTGGCACCGCCTCAATGTCCGCCTCAAAACAACGCCAATATGCACACCTCCATGCACAACTGGCACAGTTAAACGCGAACTTGGCGGATACGCAGAATCTCCTACGGATGACGGCGGTGCAGGCCGGGGACATTAGGTTTTTGGGTGGATACATGGGGGCGTTGTTTATGGGAAGTGCTAAGGTTTTGGGAGAGGAGGGGGTTAAGGGGTGTGTTGATGGTGGGAGTGGGATTAAGAAGGAGGAGAGCGAGGAGGATTGAAGAGCAGATTAGAGTGGTGGTTTCTCTTTTGACGGGGTTTAGGTGAGTTGCTTTTTTTACTGTTCCTTGGATGCGGATGCGCTTGGTTTGAGGCTGTGTCTATGATTGGAGAAAATTGTGGTTGCTGACTATTTACTTAGGGTTTATAGACGTGTCGAAATGCATGGGCTTTCTGGAGGGATCGAGGGGCGTGTGGGCCTTACTCGACAACGAACTGGCCTCCCAGGATAACTGCCGGTTCATCGATGTTGTGGTGTTCATAGCTAGGCAAAGATTCATCAGTCACGCCTCTGCAACGCGGTCTCGCATACCTGCCCCCTTCGACTTGCAGGTTGGCAAGTCCAGGCTATCACGAGGATCAAAAACTCACCTCAAAGTGCCGACGCCACCGGCTTCCAAAATTAACGAGGTCTCGTTCAATGGCTTGCCAGTCCAGCGCATAGCGAATGCGCGTAGGATGTGCCCGTGCGCCACGACCAGGACGTCCCCCTTGGGCTGGTCCGGGTGCTCAAAGCAGGGGCGGTGGTATTTTTCCTTGATCTCAGTGATCAGGGCATCGAGACGGCGGACGATGTCTTCGGGTGACCTGAAACGACGGCATATGTTAGCATGAGCATCACAAGGGGCATAGAGTAGTGTCCGGGTCAACTCTGAATGCACCCAAGTGCCGAATCACAAGCCAAATCAGAACCCCATTTCTGAATTCTAAACCGAACATGCGCAATTCATGAAAGACCCAATTCTCCAAGGCATAAAAACTTACTCTCCCCCAGGACACCCATCAGTCCATATATTCCACGGCCCCAGTCCCTTCTCCGCCCTAATAGCCCGAATCTGCTTACTCGTCAACCCCTCATACTCTCCATAATCCCACTCCCGGATCGCCTCCGTAATCTGCACCCTAGCCTCCGTCCGGATAGGCTCCTCTTCCTCGGCCTTTCGCTCCTGGTTCCAGGGAAGACGCTCGCGGCAGCCAATCTCGAGTAGTTCGAGGGTCCGTTGGGCGCGGGAACGCGGGGAGACGAATCTGATACACGCCATTGAGTTAGTACTCCCGCCTTATCGTAATAAATAGGAACACAGCTCGATGACTTGTGTTTCTCTGTCTTCACTTACACGTGAACTAGATTCTTAGGCACGATTAGCCTGTCGTTACCGACGAGGGCTTTGCCGGTGGCTTTGATGCGCTTCTCGCCGTTGGCGGTCAATGGGAGGTCCGTTGTGCCGGTGTGGCGACCGTTCAGGGACCATTCGGTTTCGCCGTGGCGGACGATGAAGCAGCGCGGAGCCATTGGGGGTATTTACTGCAGTGAATCAATGAGGAAGAAATCAAAAGGGCAGCGGGCAATGGATGGAGCTGTTGATTCTTGTGCGACTGGGTAAGCTGGGACCCGCGGGGTGTGCGTCATAGCTGATAAGCTGCTTATCGCTCTCTTACGAGGGTATTAGTTAAGCTTTTGCTTGAGCACAGTGATGGTGGAAAACTTGGCAGGTACTTGGCTTTTTATTCATTTGTTGCGAAATGGAAGGCAATGCTTAAATTGGAAGATGTGTAGTTATTGAATTTTGTACAGTAGAGCGCTTTCTGCTTGTTATCTAAAATGATCTCAGAGGTTCGAGTGCGACTATAGAGACTCATCGGATCAACGTACTCCGTACTTTGTACACACTCGTGATGTCCCGTTAAACTTCTTTTGGTAGGTTCTATGGGAATAATCATTGCCAAAAGTTGACCTAATTCCGATGAATTTAGTCTCTTGGTTAGAACAGCATGACCTTGGTAGTGATTCAACAGGTCGATTGGCTAGGGGAAGCACACACTTTTAAGCACTCCGTGAGAAGTCTCAACACCAATACTGACAGGATAACTTGTCTGAAGGAGAGTGATTTGCAATTGGGCTTTTTTGGTCAAAAGATGGGACTGTTAAATCTTTAAATAGTAGATCTTGACGTCTAGTCCTCTTAACCCAGATCTGTGATACACATATATCAAGCGCATGTCACATCAAAGCTCTTGATATGTTTCTTCCGTCCCGAGACTTTCCTGCACTTATCGTCAATATTCGAACGTATTCCATCCAACTTATTACCATGCCCACAATGGTCATCCTGATACAAATTCACAGAGCAAGCCAAGTCAATATGCCCTCTGAAGAATCCCTTGGCACCTCCATTTGAAACACCAGAGTGGCATGTCGATGAGCCGATTCCGGCAAATTCGGCTGATTTTCCTGTGCAGTGGTTGTCTTTGTAGAGTTTGAAGGCCAGTTGTGTTTTACTTTTGGTGAGTTGGTGGGGTTCGTCGGAGGTGCGGAAGATACGAGGCTTGGGAATGAGAGGGCGGTTAGGATAAGGATGTAGATTCCGGAATCGTTGAGCTTCATTGGTGCCTTATTCACGAATGGAGGAAGGTCGAGCTTTGACATTGTTAGACGAGAGAGAGGTTCTCTTGGGAATTGGTACAGCTCCTACTTGGAGAGATATGAGTGTCAAATGCTCGAGGCCGATTCGTTTGAGGGGTGAAGGGTATGTGTATGTGGCTTGAGGATGGATGTGGGAAATGTATATCGCACATAGTGTCTTTTGTCATTGCGTCAGTATGACAGGTATATGGGTTCGACTTTCGCAGTTGAGACATGATGAAACTACACAGGGCCAATACGGGAAAATATAGAAAGATGTGTATTAGTAGTGTAGATAGCTATAACCAAGGAAAAAGGAATCCAGTAACTATCTATTCATATGGGAAGATGGCTGTCGAGGGATGACCCACGAAACAAAGAGCGAGAGCGGTAGGAAGTGTAGGCCCTCCGGTCCTCAACAAGATAATACCCAATCTTTGCTTTAGAGAGGTCAAACAATTTGCTACGGTTGAGCCTGTTTCATCAGGCCGCAAATGATTCCTGTACCAGAAATTTCTCGTCAACGGAGTTGATATCCGATATGATCACTCTGCATGATGTCACAAACACAATGTTATGAGTCTTTGCTTTATCCTACGATTCTGCCTGGCGTCTTGAAGACGTTCTATATTCAAGAGATTATGAGTATTCGTAGGCTAAATGACAGTACAACAGGAGTTTCTTGCTCTTTCGCTTTCATGAAGGCTTTGGATATGCCATTTACGCTATACACTAGACCCAATGAGGAACAGTACTCCGTGAAGTATGCATCTCAAAGAAAATTGCAATTAGAGATACCCATCTACAGTAAGGAAATATATGAGACCTGGGCTCTCAAATACTTCAGTGATGCCATGCTCCCTTATACAGCCAGCTCTCAGATCGTACCTTGCCGTGCATGGCGATAGCATCGACCTGCGAACCAAATAAAGTCCCTAGAAACTTAATGAATGAGACAAGGCCCACTCAAGTTAATTCAAATATCCTGGTCAAGGTTTTACTCGTCCTAGAGCATATTTTAGCGAACAAGATAGTTTCCATTAAGCCAGACGCTGCGAGACATAACGTTCCATGTATATAGACACATGACAAAGATGAGCTCATATCACGTTCTTCTCCAGATTTTGTAACTCAAGGCACCCGAAAGCTATGAATTAAACTATGTTTTATACACACTTTCATGGCCAATTCCCACGGATCGTGCGTATAAATATCACGTGACAAATACACTTTCCCGCACATAGAAACATCGGGCAGCGCAGATGAAGTAGCTATATCCATTGCTGAGAGGACATGCGGCAACACTTGGCTTCAAACACCGTTCAAAAAATCTAAAGATTCATATCTGGATACATACGACTGCGGATCCACATTTTCGGGGCCGCCACTCGTCTTCTTCCTCGAGATGTTGTGTGAAATCTCACTTCAATGAACACCAGCAAGATCCCAACATGCCGAATAGAAAGAATGTACGCGACCTGAGCAGGCTCTCAGGGAAGCCTCTCAAAGAAACCTTAGAGTCAAGCAGTCGGGTACTGGAAACGGACTCGGATGGTTGGCTCACATCTTCAGACCTCAGCGAAGCTGGACTGTCATTCTCTCCAGGAAGTTTCTACGAAACTGCAATTTTCCTCATGGCCAATCCAAACATCACGTCAAGCCACTTGTTCCGCGCGGATATACTATTCGATAGCCAAGGAATCCTGAAAACACCTCAGCAGGATGAAGAGCTTGCTGGAACATCTGGTGCGGTTGCACCAGAAGTACCAGAGGCTACGGTCACGGCCAAGCCGGCAGCTCGAGTGACTGGCTTTGATCTGGTCAGGACCGTCATTCGAAAATTGATTCCTCGAAATCAAAATATCGATAAGTCAATTGTCCAAACTTGTCATTTCTACAAATCCCAAACTGCGTCGGCGGGAAGTGATGATGGAGAACATGCGAATAACGGTCCATGCTTACAACGATCAAGCGTGCTGACTATGACTCTTCCACATATCGAGTCTCAAGAGGACGTACCTTTTTATCATCCACAGCTGAGAGGTTTAGCTACTTTATATGACTTCCAAGGCTCAAACACTGGTATTATGTCTGTGCACTTCCTGCCATTCTCAAGTGATATCCCCGATCGGCTGGAGCGCACGTTGCATATCCTCCTCAATTTCTACGTTCGACTTACTCGTGGTGCTAAGGATAAGCCTGCAAGTGAAGACACGTCGACAAGCTCTTCCAAAGACAATCTCGTCCCTCGTCACATGGCTCAGAACACCTATGCACGACTCAAGACTCTATATGCCGCTGACCTTTGCGAGAACTGGGCTGAGAACACCGAACCAAGCAAGCACGTCTACGAAGATTTAGCCATCACTGCATTTCTCATCGAATTATGGCGAATGATGTACGGTGTCGTTCCGCCTAAAGAGAGTCCCACTGAGAAAAACGCAACGGCCAACAAATTCCCGGGATTCGTGGACATGGCGTGTGGAAATGGAGTGCTAGTCTACGTTCTTCTCATGGAAGGCTACTCAGGCTGCGGATTCGATGCCCGTCGACGGAAATCATGGAGCATCTATCCTGAATGGGTCCAGGAACGTCTCACGGAGAAAATCCTCATTCCCAAGCCCTTTGCAGATATCACTGAAGCTGGCGATATTGGTGTGAATATAACCACGGGTGATTTCCCGCGCGATACATTCATCATATCTAATCATGCCGACGAACTTACCGTATGGACTCCGCTTATCGCTGCTCTAGCGTGTCCAGAATCTCCCCTCCCATTCATTGCCATACCATGCTGTTCTCATTCGCTTGCTGGATCTCGATATCGCTATCCCCTTCCAAAGGGAACCAGGCCGAAGACTGCAACGCATGCCGTTGAAGAAGGAGGTCAACAGACAGAGCAGAATCCGCAGCCAGCCTCGGGCGATCTCAAGGCATTGCGCGCCGCGAAACAAGCAGAGAAGACTGAGAAGGGCATGTGGACATCCATGTATGGTCTTCTCACAGCGAAAACCATCACTGTCGCCGAGGAAGCTGGGTATCATGTTGAGAAGACTCTCCTTCGCATCCCGAGTACAAGAAACATGGGAGTGATTGGAGGTCGGCAATTAGTGGCCGAGCAGTGGAGGCAGCTAGATTTCAGTGGTACATCCACAGCGGCCAAGGATGGATTAAATCGGGCTTCCCAGGTCGTGCAGAAGGTTATGGATATCGTCGAACGCGAATGCTCAAGGGAGGGGGGAATACAAGCTTCTGCACAGATTTGGATCCAACGTGCACAGGGTCTCCAGAAAGATCAAGGAAAAGCCACCAACCACACAGAGGATGTTCAGATACCCAACTAGAATTTCAAGCAAATCTGATTTGACCTGGTCATGCAGGAAACGGAGCCGTCGCGGTTTAATTCCGGCGAATTTCCCATGTTTCTTCACAATCGGGTAAAAGAAATCTACGTCAGTGCCGACATTCCTCCGGGTAATACCCCGCTCCCCACGGGGTATATAAGGTTACATTAACTTGTAGCTTGAGGTAGTACATTGTGTGAATTTTGTTCGATCTCACAGCCATGCGCATCACTGTCTTCTTCCTGGCCGTAGGGCTAGCTGGTGCGTTGGACAATGGACTTGCACGAACCCCGCAATTGGGATGGGTATGTATGGCATGAAGAGTGAATTTGTCTCACCGATCAAAGAAAGAAAGCTCACCAATTTAGAATACATGGAATTCATTTGCCTGCAGTATGAATGAGACTGTCATTCTAGATGCAGCCAAGCGCATTGTCGAGTTAGGCTTCAAAGATCTCGGGTACAATTATGTCGTCCTTGATGATTGCTGGTCTGCTGGTAGAAACTCTTCTGGATACCTCGTTCCGGATAGTCAGAAATTCCCCAATGGAATCGCAGATGTGGCGGATAAGATTCACAATATGGGATTGAAGATTGGTATTTATTCTAGTGCGGGCACCATGACTTGCGCGCGTTATGCAGGTTCTCTGGGGTATGAAGATAAGGATGCAGCAGTCTGGGCAAGCTGGGGCGTATGTCGTCCTCGAACCTCGAGAGTATCGACCTTGTATTTGGAGTATCTACTGACGCGAGTATAGATCGACTATCTCAAATATGACAACTGCTACAATCAGGGTGAAGAAGGAACGCCCAAGCTTTCCTATGATCGATACAACGCGATGGGCAAAGCTTTGAATTCTACCGGCCGGCCTATCCTTTATTCGTTGTGCAATTGGGGATCTGATGGGCCGTGGAATTTTGCCCCGACCATCGCCAATTCATGGCGCACGAGTGGTGACTTGACCAATGTCTGGGATCGGGAGGATGTTAACTGCCCTTGTGCTGAACTAGACGGGCTGGATTGCAAGCTTCCAGGATATCACTGTTCGGTCATGAATGTCGTCAACAAGGCAGTGTACTATCCATCCAAGGCATATGCCGGCGCATGGAATGACCTCGATATGCTTCGTGAGTTTCCCACCCTTAAGACGAATTATCCGGTATTCGTATTCGCTGACCGTGAGTGCAGAGGTCGGCAATGGCGGCCTCTCTGAAGACGAGGCAATCTCGCACTTCAGCCTTTGGGCAGCCCTAAAATCACCACTGCTCATGACCAACGTAATGACCAAGATTGACGGCCCTACTCTTTCCATCTTGCAGAACACTGCTGTGTTAGCGGTTTCCCAAGATCCACAGGGATCGAGCGCCGTGCGGATCTGGCGTTATTACGTTGACGACGGTGAGATCCAGATGTACAGTGGACCCCTCAGCGGAGGCGATCAGGTAGTTCTGTTGCTGAACGGAGGATCGAAAGCCCGCGACATGAACGCGACTTTGAATGATATCTTCTGGGAGAATGGACCCGAGGGCACTGCATCACAGGCAAAGAGTAGCTGGGATGTATATGACCTGTGGGCTGGACGGATGAGCAATGACACTGCTAATGCGATCATCCAAGGTGGAGAGAATGCGACACGGCCGATTAACATGACGGCTGAGGTTGGAGCAAGCAAGGTCTATTCGCAAGTGCCATTGCCAACATCAAAGGCACTGATGGGATCAAAAGTCAGCACTGTCAAGTCTGGTGGTCGAGTTTCTGCACATGTCAAGCCGCATGGAGTCGCTATGTTCCGTCTGCGAAAGGTAAAGACGAATGATGAGCTTTGACTCTTGGCTATTCGAGTGGGCTTATAGTCAAAAAGTGGTATCTAAGACATGTATCATTCATGAGGGTGTTTCCACTTTCTATTAACTTGTTGACCCGGACCGAGTAGCGATTGGAGACTTGGAGGGAAGATTGTAGAGTAATGTACAGGATATTGAAAAAAAAACAAAAAAAACAAAAAGAACAGAGCTCTTCCTGACCGATTCTATTACTTTATGAGCCCAGACCCCAACGCCATGTCGAGTACGATGCAATGAAAAAAGGATATCCAGAAAGGCAAAAAGGCGAAAAACGAACGTGGTCGGCTATGTTTATGCAGACACCTTGCTGCTCATATCAGAATCGGCAGCCGAATCGGGTCTCTTTTGGCTGTCATTGCTGCTAGAGGATTGATGCGGGTCGTCAAACCCAGAGGATGTCGCTGAGGCGGCAGCGTTATTGGGGAATCTCGATGCCGTAGCAGCTGCGGCTGCGAAGGCGTTCTCTCGAAGTCGCCTAATACGCTCTGATCGGGCCTCGCCCGGTAAGCTTCCCCAAACGGGCTCAATGGAATCGGCACGCCAGTTGCGGTGAATATTGAGGATGCCCTGTCTCGGAGAAATAGGCGACAACGAAGTGCCACCAACTCCAGACTCACCCCACATGCGAACTCGCTGCAGTTTGCGAAGTTTGGCGAGGCCGTAGATGCAAACAACCCCAGTCATAGCGAAGCAGGCCACAGAGACACCGCCAAAGCCGAAATCAGACTCTTCAATAAAGTTTTTCAAATTCATTCCGTAAAGAGCGGAGAAGAGAGTTCCTGTAGCAAGGCCAAGGGTACCTATGCTGAACTTCAGATCGAGTAGCATGAGCGAATTTCGGTTTGCGTCGAGAATTGCTTTGACCCTGCATGGAATTAGATATGTGCGAGCTGAGGGGGTGGTACGGGGATCTTACACTTCCTCGGTGTTTCGAATGTTGGTGACGAGATTACCACTGGACTGTACAATTTCATCGCAGACCTTGTGGTATGACTCGAGCAGCATTTCAACCTCTTGGTGATCGTCTTCTTCGCGTTCCTTGCCAGTCGCCCGTTCGCTAAGATACATGGCCGCTAGATCATCGTCCGCCTCGAGGAGGTCGTCAATGGCATCCCGCACCAGGCGAGCCTTTTGCTCAAAAGTACCCAGTTTCTTGGAATAGATCAAGAGGTGTCGAAGCTTGTCGCGATCAATGTCCTCTTCGAGCGCACGGAGAACTCGAACGACAGGCTCTCTCACCCCATTGAACTCTTCTTCTAAGCCAGTGGTGACGCTGATGAGAACCGCTTCCAGAGCGCGAAGCTCGTAAGGAAGCGCCTGGCCAGCAGGGGCGACCTGAGACTGCTTCTGGCGCAACTTTCCCTCGAGATCATAGATAAAAAGCGACTGCATGTACGAATCGGTTGACCCGTATGCATCAAAAACAAGCACACGGTCAGCTTTGATAAGAACACGCAAATGCAGGAGGTTGATTAGAATCGCCCTTGGTCGGACGAGAATATGAGGCAGAGTCGAAGAATCGATCTTTCGGAGGTCGCGGGGGAGGAGACCGTACTGTTGCAAAAAAGTCAGACAAGAAGCTTCCATGTTAAAAGGATGCTAAACACCAACCTTGGCAATCAATTCTGACTTGCGGAATTCCCCATTCACCAGTGTGACATTGCCATTGTTGTCAAATTCCGTGCACCGAATCCGAAGCTCGTTTGAAGCTTTCGCTGCGAGTCCCCGACCAATGTTGAAAAGACCCTCGGTTCCTTCATCGGTCGCGGCAGGGCCCTGATTGCGATGACTCTTGAGGTCGCCAGTCTTGCCGCGTTTGAGATCAAATAATCTTCGGAGAAATGGACGGCGAGTCGTGGAGGCATGTCGGGTGAGCGCAAGTGGCTTTGATGAGAAACTGGTCTCTCGGACTTTTGGTCTGCTCTCGGATAGATAGGGTGATGCCGAATTCAAGGTCGTGCGGCTCTGGCATGCATCCTGACATGCCCAGCTTGAGGTACATCGGGATACCGACGTCAGGGCATCATGATACGGCGCCCGTGGTCTGGACCGTGCGCATGCTGCCGCACCACTTGAAAAGCCAGACTGGGAGCGCAGAAAACGCAGCAGGGAGGCTGACGGAGCAGACGACTTCAACGGAGACAGCATGTCTCCGTGGTGTTGACTTTTGCTGCACGGAAGAGCCGATGACTTCAGTCGCGCGGCTTTTTTCCCGCGTGTCGGAATAAGGTTAGTCCGGTAGGAAGTATCTTGACAGGATTGGTTCTCTGAATTGCCTCGTTTGCTGCCTAATGCTCCTGAGGCTACTGATTTGAGTTAATTTAGGGCCCTAGGATTCAATAGCTCTGTCAGATCTTTGCTGTGAGAGTAGGGCAAAGCTTTCAATATCTGGGGGCTTTGCTTCCTGCATGTGCCTCGAGATTATGCAAAAAGGCAACGAGATCAAACGGAAGGGAATTCCGCCAAAATCAATACTCCATCCAGTGAGTACTGGTCTTGACGGATAAGGCATTCTAGAGGTCTGATGTTGTTCATTGACAAAGTTGGAATTGACTATCGTTCGAGGTTCTCAAAAATAAGGACACTACAGGATGCATGATTTGAAGCCAGCTTTGAGGAAGCTACGGAACGTCCTAAGTCTGTATCAATGCCCTGCATAATGCACAACGTAACTCTGCTCAGTCGGTTCAGAGAGGTTCTGTGAAGGTACGGAGTACTCATGTACGATCGACATTCTCGAAATAGTGCAGTCTTTAGCCGACGTAATGGACCTATAGCCGTGACCGATGGGCTTACTGGCCGTTGAAAATGCTGGTCGTTGACAATGATGTCACCCTCCACAACATGAGCATGTTGCTAAAGTACTCGACACATTTGGAAGACAATTAAAATAAGCGAGATACGAGTCTTCGAGAAGTCGACTATGCAATCGTTGGCGAATGCCGATGGCTGGTTGACCTGCACCTAGAACATCGTGTAGAAGAAGCATGGCGCATAAGAATTAAGGCGCCGCTCGGAAACATACCCTAGAAAGGAAGCAGAGGAAATTGCAAGGCAACGTGCTATCAGATCCCACCAATTACCAAGCAAAGAGCTCTACAGCCTGCCAATCCGCTCTCTGCAGGCTAAACTGAAATGCCAGGCACGTTAGTGGCTCCTTAGCTATATAGCCGATCGGATCGTGCCTGGTGGGCAAGTGGCTATCCCTTTGTGGATAAGCGAATGACAATCTCCTGTTCCCTGCCACTGCCAACTGATCCGTTTGGATGAATCCATCCCGTTCAGCCTGCGCCGCCAATCAGTATCCCGTGCCGCGCCCATGTGTCGTCGGTCAAGTGCGGAGTCCGACTCTAGTTCGGTTGGGCTGGGTTTAGCTCGACGCGCCCCAGGCTTAGTTTGCTTGATCCCACCTACACGACTGATATGCCAATCGGCACCCCAATCCCCTTGCACGTGGACGACGTACCTTGTTGATGGTCGCTTATCAGCGCATGGCTGCAGGTTTCTCGTCCGTCGCTATGGCAGCTTCCCAGACAGATAAAGCCCGGCCGCCTCGCGATCGTCTGGATCTGCGATACGGGCTCCAATATCTCTCACCATGAAGGCTACTACCGCTTCTGTCCTGCTGGCGCTGTCCGCAGCCGTCAATGGCCGCCCTGTCGTCGATACCGAGTACGCCTACACGGGTCCGGATGTTCCAGTTGGCGATTGGGTTGATCCTACCATCAATGGCAACGGCAAGGGATTCCCCCGTCTGGTTGAGCCACCCGCTGTGAAGCCTGCCTCCTCCAACCCGACCAACAACGTGAACGTGATTTCGCTGTCCTACGTTCCCGACGGCATTCACATTCACTACCAGACCCCCTTTGGTCTGGGCCGTGCTCCGGAAATCAAGTGGGGAAAACACCCTAAGAACCTTAATAAGGTCGCTTCGGGCTTCACCCATACGTAAGTGCTCTACCAACGCGACATATATTCTCAATTGGCTTTTTTTGTAACTCCTTCCATAGCTATGACCGCACTCCGTCTTGCTCCCAGGTCAAGGCCGTCACCCAGTGCAGTCAATTCTTCCACGAGGTCTCTCTCGACGACCTGAATCCTGGCACCACCTACTACTACCAGATTCCCGCTGCCAATGGTACCACCGCGTCCGAAGTTTTGAGCTTCAAGACCGCCCAGAAAGCCGGTGACCCCAAGGAGTTCAGCGTTGCTGTCCTGAACGATATGGGCTACACCAATGCCCACGGTACTCACAAGTATCTGGCACAGGCTGCCAACGAGGGCGCTGCTTTCGCTTGGCACGGTGGAGATATCAGCTATGCTGATGACTGGTACTCGGGTATTCTACCTTGTGCCGATGACTGGCCCGTTTGCTACAACGGCACCAGCACTACCCTGCCTGGCGGCGGTGCCATCCCCGATGAGTACAAGCAGCCCCTTCCTAAGGGCGAGATTGCCAACCAGGGTGGTCCCCAGGGTGGTGATATGAGTGTCCTATACGAGTCTAACTGGGATCTGTGGCAGCAGTGGATGGGTGATGTCACCAAGAAGATTCCCTACATGGTTTTGCCCGGTAACCACGAGGCTGCTTGTGCCGAGTTCGACGGCCCCAACAACATCCTCACTGCTTATCTGAATGATAACAAAGCCAACAGCAGTGCTGCCAAGGACGCTCTGACTTACTATAGCTGCCCGCCTTCCCAGAGGTAAGAAAAGACTCTATACTATTTTGGTAGACGTCACTGACAGAAATTATAGAAACTTCACTGCCTACCAGCACCGTTTCCGTATGCCCGGTGAGGAGTCTGGTGGTGTCGGCAACTTCTGGTATTCTTTCGACTACGGTCTTGCCCACTTCGTCTCCATCGACGGCGAGACCGACTTCGCCAACAGCCCCGAGTGGTCCTTTGCCGAGGATCTCTCCGGCAACGAGACCCACCCGCAGGAGTCGGAGACCTTCATCACCGATAGTGGTCCCTTCGGTGCTGTTGATGGTAGCGTCAAGGACACTAAGTCTTACGAGCAGTACAAGTGGCTGAAGAAGGACTTGGAGAGTGTGGACCGCAAGAAGACTCCCTGGGTCATTGCTATGAGCCATCGTCCTATGTACAGCTCTGCCTACTCCTCTTATCAGCTGCATCTCCGCCAGGCATTTGAGAGCCTGATGCTCGAGAACGGTGTTGACGCGTACATTTCTGGGTAAGCCATAAAGTCATCGTCAGAGAACACTTGCCAAAGCCTCTGGTCTAACTCATCCTTAGTCACATCCACTGGTACGAGCGTCTCTTCCCCCTCGGCACCAACGGCACTATCGACACTGGCTCCATCATCAACAACAACACCTACCGCACCAACGCCGGCAAGTCCATGACTCACCTCATCAACGGTGCCGCCGGAAACCTCGAGAGCCACAGCGAGTTCAGCACCGGCCAGAGTCAGAAGAACATCACTGCCGTCCTCAACAACGTGGACTTTGGCTTTAGCAAGTTGACGGTTGTCAGCGCGACTACCCTGAAGTGGGAGTACATCCGCGGCCAGGATGGAAAGGTTGGTGATTCTCTGACGCTGCTGAAGCCGGCTAGCCACAAGTCTGGCAAGCGCATGCCCGCTATTTAATTGGTGAAAAACGCTATCTGGATGATTTATGTATGCATAGATGAATGTTGTATATATAAGCTGTAACCGATGATTTCAATACCTAGGAATATGCTTTTCCATATCGAACCATTCAAATATCTGTTACCAACTATTAGGAATCCGGTGACATCTCCGTTTGGCTGCGTTATTAAATCTTTTCCCGGAGAGATCTGACCAGTGAAGATTGAAAATCATCTAACGAGAAGAGGTCCAGTCGTGGCAAGGTTCTCTAGCATCGTCGTAATCCCGTAAAGGGCCGAATGCCATCCCTCCTCCGATCCCCTAACTGCCCGCAATGCCTGTTCGAATCACTACCATATCGGTCAAAATATTCACCATGAAAATTGGCCATCAACGTGGTATAAGATTTTCCGTTTATAGAGCTTATCAACTGCGAGAATTTTGCGAAGTTAACATGTAGCCGCTGAAATTACTCGCTGGTTCCTAATAAGTTTGAGATGCGGCAGCCGTTCCTCTAGCAGCTATGACTGCTGGCTTAGCTTTGTTCCGACATTTTGGCTTCCCAGTATCCTGGAACAAGACATAAGAAACTCCTGCATATGGCTCGCTGCTGATCCATGGTACTAGTAGAGCCGTTGGAGTGTACACAGTGTAGCTAGCTGGAAACGCAGGACTGCATCCTATCTGTTATAGTTGGTAGGTTGAGGGGTTATGTCCAAACAATCACCGACCCATCCAAGGAAGACAAGGAGCTCAATAATCGCTAAGGCTTAGATGAAGTCGCCCTGAAGGCCCAAGATGGTCTAGGAAGGAAAGCCTTATACTACGCTTTGGACTGTGTTTCAGCAAGTGGCAGTGGCCAATTTATTGGGAACTTATCAAGGCCGATGAGCGGGACGCAAAGCCGTGACGGTCTTACCACTGGGGATCAACTAGGTCCTCTCCATGAATATATCGGACAGCGTGAAGCGAGGCCCAATGAATGGAATCCCTGAGGGTGTGTTTGTCGTTTGGGCAAACATGGGCTTGATCCATGGCGCCGAGAAGAAATTTGGGTAGCTTTTCTTCCCGTGATAGGGAAAGGGGTCCGAGAAGGCTGGTTGATATCCATTCCTCACAAAGTTATGTCCAGGGGGTTGAACGGAGTGGCAGGAGCCCTACATGATAGGAGGGATGGATCGAATAGTGCGCAAGTATGTAATTCGGGTTGGAGATACTACGGGCACTGGGGGAGCTATTTGTCATGAATATATTTACAGAACTAGAAAGTGGTAAGAATGGCGCTTCCTGAATAAAAATCGATATAATTAATTCACATCCACATATTTTCATTCAGCAACCACCTCGATGGTGTCCATAATATGTGTCGCATAGAAGCCAAGGAAAACAGAAAATAACATAGCGCAGTACAGGAATTCCTCAGTTTTGAACCCGCGGCCAAGCTTCGCGAAGATTCTATCGGTCATGCCTTGAAAATTGAATCAAGAAATATTGCCTGAGATCTAAGCAACGGCTCACGGCACATTAAGGAAGATGTCTTGAAAGAAGGGTAACTGAAATGTATCTGATGGATCTCTTCTCTGGTATCCTGATTCAGACATTTAGAATGCCGCTGAATCAAGACCTTTGTATTCTGAGAATCCACTTGGGTGCTCACTATAGGTGACTTGGAACCGAGGGTGATGTAATAAGAATTTTCATAATTCGATGGATCGGGATCCCAAACCAAGTATAGTGCAATGGAAGGCAGACCAGCGAGCCATTTGTAGAGAGAATTAATCCCGATTCCGATGACGGGGTGCATGAAGGGAAGAATAAGGCCCATGGTGCTCAGTTACTGTCAGTCGTTGACTCTGCTCTCCACGCCCAGGGCCAGATCCAAGATCTATGGGGTTTGTGACAGAGTGGTTCATTCCCTCCTGGTAATCATAAGCTGGTGTTCTCACTGCCGAGAAAGGGAAGAAGGTACAATTTCCTTGATGAACATGGCTGGTACAATACCCACCAGTATTAGAAGCGGCGGAAGGCAGAGCAAGACTTTCCAAAACTTGTCGAAGCTCTGAGCTGCATACTGCACTGCTATGATTGATAGGGAAAGTGATAAACCCTGAGTGAGGCATACTATAGAAACTTGGCTCATGGCCAAGAGCCATCGATACTCTCCTGTTGAGTTCATTCTGAAAATATAAGAGATGATCATACAATCGTTGATAGAGAATAGTATGGCCAGGGCACGAGTATGATTCAAGTGCCAATAGCCATGAATAAAAAGGTCTTCCCCGCTACTCGGTTCGGTCATTACCAGTCCTATTTTGTCGTAGTCTCGGCTCAAATCAGGCCAAGTATATCCTTACTGGCAGCAAGAACACATACCCTTAGACATTTGACGGATCTGGATGGTACTCCTGGCAGGTCAAGGTATAACAGAGGGAAAGCACCATTCCTGTTGAGTCTGCTTTTATACACAAAGTCCTATTTGAAGCCAAGGAGAATAGAGATGTGGGCATGATTTAGAACGCGAACTCTACTGTTTGTCTCTTCGTTCTGTAGCCTATCCATGGGGTCTTTGCGTCACCAAAGGTAATGGCAGCAGGGTGGAAGATATCGCTTGATTATTGGCCCTCTTTTATTATCCTCATCAAATATCACACGTCCAATATTCATAAGATACAGAGCAGCTGAGTTGTCCACGCCAAGTAGTCCCTCCAAAGTCATAGTTACGGTGGTTGTTGTAATTGTTTCCAAAGATGGTCTAGTGCGATGTCATGGTCCCCACTTAGTGACGATAACAGGATCACGTGGAGATTACCATCCGCAAAAGGGCAGCCCAGATCACGTGTCGCACTTTAGCGAGGCGCACCACAATTGGACCCAGCAAGGAAGAACATCGCGATCCCCGATTTTCGACCATCACCAAACGCCAACCGACACCTCGTCAGCGCATCCACCGTCAAGATGCGTACCTACGACGACTCCTTCAGCGGCCAGAAGATCTACCCCGGCAAGGTGCGTTCTTAAATTCACCCCTCGTCGGCGTGTGGGAGGAGAATGAATGGGAATTGTGCGATTTCAACGACGACGACCCTCGACATTGCGATTTCACCAACCCACTCACCTACCTGCCTCACGAACCCACGTCCCCCGATTCCGCTGAAAACCTCGCTGCGCACGCGATATCTTATTTCTCTGGATTGTTACGGTTTCGCTAATGTTTTGTGTCTTTTTGCTCGTTATAGGGTAAGCTGTACGTCCGTGGCGACAGCAAGATCTTCCGCTTCCAGAATGGCAAGTCCGAGTCGCTCTTCCTCCAACGGAAGAACCCCCGCCGCATCGCCTGGACTGTCCTTTACCGCCGCCAGCACCGCAAGGGTATCTCTGAGGTCCGTTATCAACCCCCCTTTGGATTTTGTTCGGAAACATGTGTGGTGGAACATAGAAAGGCCGTCTGATCAGACGCACAATCTTCGACATTGCGATACTCTCGAACAGACGGTGCAAGAGGAGGACTTTATGATTATGATACCACGAGACATGGATGGACGGCAACTACTTTTATCGAGATTGGAAAATGCTGACCGGGTCTCGTTTCGTCTTTATAGGAGGTCGCCAAGAAGCGCACTCGCCGCGTCGTGAAGCACCAGCGTGCCATCGTCGGTGCCTCCCTCGAGCAGATCAAGGAGCGCCGTACCCAGCGCCCCGAGGCTCGTGAGGCCGCCCGCAAGCAGGCCATCAAGGACGCCAAGGAGAAGAAGGCCGCCAGCAGCGCTGCCAAGAAGGCCGAGAAGGCCAAGACCGCTGCCAAGGGTGGTGCTCAGCGCATCGCCTCCAAGCAGGGTGCCAAGGGCTCTGCCCCCAAGGTCGCCGCCAAGTCTCGCTAAATTTTAATACAAAATTATGACGAAGACGAGGTCTGGCAGTTTGGGAAAAAGAGAGATGTTTTTGTTTCTTTCGTGTTGACGGTTCGCGATATGATGGAACTTGCGGAACTCGGATGCTGGAGTTCGACTGTCTCTATGAGGACGGGGCTAACGGCCAAATCTACTTTTTTTACCCTTGATTCTGGAACATTGTTTATGCAGAAAAATGGGAATCAAAGGAAATCTACGAAAATTTTCAAACCACCGCAAGATATTGTGTTTCTCTTTTTCGAGTCTCTTGTGTTTGGCACTACGAGACTTTTGGTCCTCAGCTGTACGTGTACTGTCCGTGGTACTCTAGAATGCACCCACCGGGCCGTGCAGTGTGTAGGTCTACATCTGGAAGGCATCCTTGAGTCTTGTGCTCTCTCAAGATTTATGGTGGATGGGCAGTAACTGAACAATCCGCCATTCCAGGGATACAATTGGCATTGACTTCCCATGACGTAGTACTTTTGGAGATGGTGGAGCGTCAAATTGTCTGAAACGATTGATTTACATTTGCAAGTGTCTATTCACATCTAATTTCTAAACTCTTCCAGCCTTCTTGAGTCTCTCGGGCATCTTTCCTGATAGTCCAATCTGTGCAACGGTCTAACAAAGCCAACTGTCCAGCATCCTCAATGCAATGGCTAAAGTGACAGCACTCTCTGTTCGCATGCCCGCCATAGTATGCTCGAATAGAAAGAGGAGGTTGGGTTGAACCACGCCCAGAATCGATCACTCTGAGACTTCGGAGGACGATAGTTCCGCACCCACTGCGACTCATACCCCGACGTTTCCTTTCAGTCGTGTCCGGTAACTTGGTCATAAGCGGTAGGTGGTTTTGTTTTAATAAATCTATATAAAAATGTGGCGCATCCCAAGTACAAGCCCTGCCGGGCTGATGATTCGAATTCCTTGAACGCCGGTAACCCCCAAAATCCAGTAGTTGACACCAAATAGCTCTCTCTAAGCACACTCAGTAGTAGTGAGCCATCTCCAGACCGGCACGCTTGAAGCCGCACTTGACGTAGAAGCCCTCGTTGGCCTCGGAGCAGTCAAGGATGCTCTGGATAAAATTAGTATATTTCACTTCTTCATGACAAAAAAAGGGGAAAGATGGAGGAAAACGTACCTTGTAGCAGCCAACCTTCTCAGCAACAAAATCCAGAGCCTGGATAATCCGCAGACCCAACTTCTTGCCCTGCTGATTCTTCTCCACCGCAATGTCCTCAATGTGGCCCACCATACCGAGCGAGTGAATGAACTTGCGCTCTACTATCAAACTGCCAGTACCGACGATGTTATCCTGCCCGTCGCACACGACCAGCATATAATACTCGTCATTACGGGAAGCGATCCAGTCATAGCGCTGGTTCCATTGTTCCTCGCTGATCTCGCCGACGGTCGTCAGCACGCGCAGGACATCCAGATAACCGCGCTTGTAGTCGGAGCGACGCAGTGGGCGGATGGTATAGTCCGTTGGGAGGATGGAGATGATTTCGGGGGAGACCAGGGAGGATGAGAAGAGGGGGCCATCATTCTCGATGTCGACGGGGGTGACGGTGGAGTTCATGATGGGCTTGGTGTTGGTGGATTCGGGGATGGTGGTTGCTGTCACGGCGGGAAGGGTCATTGTGTGTTTGGTGGTAAGTCTATTTTGTTCGAGGTTGACTCTTCGAGGTAATTGGTTGTCGATGTGAGCGAGAGGGAGAGGGAGAGGAAGGAAAAAGTTCAGGAGGAAGAGGAATTGCGATCGCAGTGGGTTTTTGTGTTGATCGGTCAGGGGAGGGGCGAATGGGGTTGAGACGGCGGGGGTTTAGCGCAAGGGAGATCGACTGAGCGGGCAAAATTGGGCGATGAGACAGCGAATTGTTGGAAGGTACGCGGTAAGTTAAAAGAGTATTGAAGAATTGCAAGTGTCTAGAAGGGGAGAAAGGAAGATCTCTAGTAAAGAAAGGCCATTGAAGCCAAGCGAGGAGGACAAATCGTCAACAAGCAGCCAAACAGATTCCATGGTTCTGGTGGCTGAGAGGGTGAGACAAGCGTGGCCCTCGGCAGTGCTACTATTAATATCCTCGCGGTTCTTACGCCGCATTATAGGTCCTTTCTCTTTCCTAGTGGTTGATTGTTGACAGCTGCAGATGCTAATAGGAATTGTTTGAACAAAAAAAAAAAGAAAAATCAAAAAGGGATGCTGGTCATTCTGCTACCTGAAACCTCGTTTCTAGTACTCCGGTGGTCTTCGGTCGCTCTGTGGTCTCTGGCAGAACGCTTTCATGGGTGTCCGTTCTTATCATATAGCATAACAAGTAGCAACTTAGTTATCAGAATAGCTTATCTACGAATCCACTCAGCAATATGAGATCACATGCAAATAAAATTTTCAGTATACAAAGCCCATCTGGACTTGTCTATAGTGGCACATCGTTTCGGACACAACACCTTGGTGCGATCCGTTTACTTCTTCTCCTTGGGAGCCAGCATCAGCTCGGGGCGGACGTGCTGGTCGAACTCCTCGGAGCTGAGAGCCTTGAGCTCCATGGCGCTCTCCTTCAGGGTGATACCCTTCTTGTGGGCGTTCTTGGCCACCTTGGAGGCCATGTCGTAACCAATGACGGGGTTCAGGCAGGTCACGAGCATCAGACTAGTAGCAGAGAAGTTAGAGTTTGAACTATCAAACAAGGGGTCGGGGAGGAATGGAAGAAGGGGAAAAGGGTGCGGGTCAATGCGATGGAACATACCTCTCGTGCAGGAGAGAGTTGATGCGGGTCTCGTTGGCCTCGAGACCATCGACCAGGTGGCTACGGAAGCTGTCCATGCCGTCGGACAGGATGCGCACGCTGTGGAGCAGGTTGCGGATCATGACGGGCTTGAAGACGTTCAGCTCGAATTGGCCGTTCATGCCACCAATGGTGGCAGCGACGTGGTTACCCATCACCTGGGCGCAGACCATGGTCAGGGACTCGCACTGGGTAGGGTTAACCTTGCCAGGCATGATGGAAGAACCGGGCTCGTTCTCGGGGAGGATCAGCTCGCCGAGACCGCAGCGGGGGCCGGAACCGAGGTAACGGACGTCCTGAGCGATCTTGAACAGAGAGCCGGCCAGGGTGTTGAGGGAACCGGAAGCCTCGACGATGGAGTCGTGGGCAGCCAGAACCTCGAACTTGTTGGGAGCGGTCTTGAACTCGGTGCCAGTCATCTTGGTGATCTCGGCGGCAACGGCCTCGTCGAAGCCCTTGAAGGTGTTCAGACCAGTGCCGACGGCGGTACCACCCTGAGCAAGGAAGCGCAGGTGGGGGAGGGAAGCCTGAACGCGCTCAATGTTGCGGTCAAGCTGGGCAACGTAGCCGGAGAACTCCTGGCCCAGAGTGAGGGGGGTGGCATCCTGCAAGTGAGTACGGCCGATCTTGATCAGCTTGTCCCACTTCTCAACCTTGACCTGGAGAGCATCGCGCAGCTTCTGGAGCGAGGGCAACAGAGTGTTCTCGAGCTCGAGGACGGCAGCAATGTGCATAACGGTAGGGAAGGAGTCGTTGGAGGAGGCGGACATGTTGACGTGGTCGTTGGGGTGGACGGGCTTCTTGGTGCCCATGGTGCCGCCGAGGATCTCAATAGCACGGTTGGAGATGACCTCGTTGGAGTTCATGTTGGACTGGGTACCGGAGCCGGTCTGCCAGACAACCAGAGGGAAGTGATCCAGCAGCTTACCCTCGGCGACCTCGGCGGCGGCCTGCTTGATGGCCTCACCAATCTTGGGGTCTGTAGGAGACAGTTGTCAATACTGAGTCCTCGAATGCATTCACTGTCATATGATGTGTAAATTACTCACCAAGGCCGTACTTCATGTTGACAGTAGCGGCGGCACCCTTGAGAATACCGAAAGCCTTGACCACGGGGGCGGGCATGCGGTCCTGGGGCTGGTTGATGTCGAAGTTGCTCAGGGAGCTGGGTTCCAATCGCATATCAGCCTTCCTCCGCTCACTGTCTTTTATCCAAATTCGCCATCGAGTTCGTTTGGGTTCGTCTTACCGCTGGGTCTGGGCACCCCAGTACTTGTCGCCAGGGACCTAAATCGTCGCAAACGCCCAAGGTTAGCTATTGAATGTTGGGACGGATGAGGGGCAATCTCAGTCGACGTCAACTCACCTGGATTTCGCCAAAGGCATCGCTCTCAGTACGGGAAGCAGTAGACTAGAATCTGCGCATTAGTGACCCGAATCCAGTAGCTGTCAAGCGCGCCTTCCTTACCATGTTGACGGTGGTGCTGAAGGCTCTCTTGTTGTTGTTGAGGAGCTGGAGGCGGGGGAATTGGCCGAACTGACGGCTACTGGAGCTCAAAGCCCGGCTAGCAAAGACCGGGGAGCGAGCAGCGACCGACAGAGCGCTGCGCGCTGCGGGGTTGGTAGCTCTGGCCGCATGTGTCAGGGTGGCCATCGAGCGCACCGCGGCTCGGGAGGAGGCAGGGTTCATTGTGACCGTGGAATTTGTGAGATTGCCGGTGTAGAACAATACAAGATGTTAACAGGCCCAATTGGCTCGCTCAGAGGCGTCTGTGATGCTCAAGGAGGAATAGGGACCGCGAGTCTCCTTTAAGAAAAGGGAAGTAGAAACGAAAAGTTGAGATGCACTCGAGACTCCGATGAGTCCAGCCGAATCTTCCCGGTATCCGCATGACCGAGCAACGCCCGCCGCCCGAGCCAACTGCCGGTAAGTTTGGGGCAACCTGTGGTATCGCGGCGTAATGTATGGTTACGGCTGCTACTGTATACGGTCAGCGTTTATGAGTATTTTGGAACATGGTACCTGCACCATCTGTCTTTTTGCTAGGGGGAAGAAATACCGTGTTCCAGATACTAACGTAACTCCCAGCCGACCATACCCAGTTGTCCCGGTCACCCCAAAACACCATAGTAAATACAATATTTCCCATCTTCATATCTCAATACTCAAGTATTTCTAATATAAGACAATTACATGATTTCAAAAATCAGGTGGAAACATCTTCTCGTTGTCGATATTTTGGCACCTAAAATATCTTAGTAGGTATGGGTGTTGTAGGATGGACAGGGTAAACAGGGTAGCAGGGAATTACGTAGGTATACGTTCATCCCTAGATCAAATAACAACTCCATCAGCTGACAATTCTCCCACGATGAATCTTGACTTGTTTTGTTGTCCTGAATCCGCCTGTCTAACGATAACGGAAGCTATCTTCACGGCACCATAGAATGAGCAGATCTCTCCAACATGATCCTCTATGCGAGAAGCTCTCCCTTCATCGCCGCAACCACGCTGTGATTGTAATCACGCCCACAGTCCAGGATACCATCCAGTCCAGCAAATGTGTGTGGAGCACCATCGTATCGATTGATCTCGACTCGATTGCCGGCATCCTCGAGCTTAGCGGCGTAAAGTTCGCCCTCGTCGCGTAACGGATCCAGTTCCGCTGTCGACACCAGTGCCGGAGCCAGATTCGAGAAATTTGGGGCCAACATGGGCGAGATCTTCCAGTCCTGGAAGTGATCAATCAGACTGAGTTCCAAGAATCTGGATTCAGTGCCAGGTCTATACTTACATCTTCAGAGGGTGCTGGTCGAGGCACTCCGAGGAAATGTCGGTGAAAGTACGACATTCGCGCGGCTGGAAGAACAGCCGTGAACTCCATCTCCCGGTATGACTCGTACGGACAGTTCTTGCGATCGAAATCACCATCCGGGGTAAAGGTGCTATGCAAATCGCAGACTGGAACAGTCAATACTTGGAGTCGTAGAGGGATACCCGCATCGCGACAGAGATGAGCCACCACCGCAGCAAGATGGCCTCCAGCAGATGCACCGCCTACGGCGAATCGATCTGGGTCGAGATTGAATTCGGCCGCTTTCTGGGAACGAATCTGGCTCTGGGTATCAGTCTGGTAGCTCTTGGTCCTGGGAAGTTTTCAATCCTACACTTACCCAGTTGATTGCAGCCCAGCAGTCCTCCACGGGGATCGGATACCGATGTTCAGGCGCAAGCCGATAGTCTACATCAAATGCAACGATCTCTCCATCAAGGTCGTGGACGATTCTTTTGCAAAAGTCATGGTCAACCATCAGCCCTCCAAAGACCCATCCACCCCCGTGAAAATTCACATAGGCCGCTCTCTTCTTCAGCTGGCCTTGCGCATCCTTCTTGGGTGCAGGTTCAAAGATTCGAATGGTGATTTCTCCTCCCTGCACGGGACACTTTTGCTCTGAGATGCAGTAGACATCCGGGCCGGGCGCACGCCCGTAGGAGATCGTGTACCGAGCTGGGTTCTTTCGGAACTCTTCAATGGGTACTTCGTGGGTATGCAGACGGCCCACGTTATTTCTGTAGTAGTACTCAATGTAAATAGGATCGAATCGAGCCAGTAGCTCCCGAGGAATGCTGTTATGGAGTGGCTGAAGGATCTCGGGTGCTCGCCATTGATGCAGAGCTGGATCGCATTTCCTGGGTCTTTCTTGGGCCATTATGACGACGTGTCGAGTGTTGAGAGTGTAGGATCAGGGAGAAGTCCTTACGAAGCGCTTTGCGCCGTCCTCGCTCGTGAGGGGAAGGAGCTACCAGGCACATAGCTACTATCGACCTAATTGGCTCATTGATGAGGTGGTACAAGCAACGCGGGGTTAGGTATGATTCACGTAAAACAAGTGCTCTTCGCTGGATGAATTACTATGGAAAGAATAGGGCCATGTAGCTAGCGGGCATTGCACATTTGTGTAGCTATTTTAGTTCCCCGAGCCGTGATTAACCTTCCAGACATCCATAGATTGCTCTTCCTGTTTCCAGTGTCATGCGCTTTCCAGTCCACATCATTAGTCGCTAAGCAGGCTAGAACTCTAATTGTTTCGAAAAGTCTGTCAATAGTAGGCTCCGGTCCATATAATGGGCACTTTGGGTGCAAGTGAATGATGCAAATAGTTTTTTGATGTGGTGGTGCAGCGTGCAAAGGTGGATATATATCTTGTACATCGTGGTATCTGAAGCAGCACACACTGTGAGACCGAAGACGCAGCCTTGAAATTACACTAGTAAGTTAAAGCTCTATATAACAAGCGGTGGGATTACTAGCAGAAAATAGGGCTGATTAGCCATGAAGAACTCGATTAAAACATACAATACGCAGAGGCAGCGGATTTCAAGGCGATTCTCAATCGCTTATCATTTTGAGATTCGAAGAAGCTGGAACGGTTACAGTAACATGCCAAGACTTGAGCGAGCCCGAAAAAAGAACAAATATTTGAATGAGAATCAAGATATTCTATGTAAATGATTTGGAACTGGGACCGAGCATTAAGTACTACTGGTAGACAGAGTGCTATAGACCTCGGGAGTGAAAATTCCTTATTAAATCCCGCGGTTGAGAACATGATCTACGGACATGACATACAAATACGCTGCGGAACGCTTTGGGAGTACTGATTTCACTCTGATATTCCTTCAGAAAATATACTTGTGGTTCCAAGCTAGAGGGAGCAAGAGGCCTGAGGGGTACAGGGTAGAGTCAGCATGCATGAGATGACGTTCCATGCTTATCATAAACTTTAACCCACCCAGATCATCTCAAACTACGACAGGGTTTTACCTTTCTTCCATCTCTAATCATCACTGGCAAGGCTATCGACGGCATTTTGGACCTCGTGACTACCTAAATCACGATGATGAGGAAGTCCTGATTGTTCAAAGAAGATGGAGTACCGCTCTTAAGCGGTACTTCCCGCGGGGCAAAAAAAGTCCCGGGGAGGGCAGCCCTGCGATATCGGGTTGAGTCAGCGTCGAACCGATCTCCGAATTTGTTTGCCAATTCTATACTTCACAATTCTTCTCCGCAAAGCGATCAATTCCTGCGAGACTAAACCGAACGACACCCTCCCATTCCCAATACCGATCACAATTCCACAATGACCAAGCCTGTTCCTACCCGTCTTACCGTGGCCCCGGTGCCCCCGGACGAGATCTTCGCTTTGAACGCCGCCTACTTCGCCGATACCTACCCCCAGAAGGTCAGCCTTGGTGTTGGTGTGTACCGCACAGATGATGGAAAGCCTTGGCCGCTGCCGGTCGTTCAGAAGGCTGAGAAGGAGCTGGCCGAGGAGGATGATCTCATGCGACACGAATACACTGCGATCGAGGGCGACATTCCTTTCTTGCCAATTGCGCGGGATCTGATGTTTGGATTCACGGGAGAACAGGGTGAGGAGGAGGCCAAGGCACGCATCGCTACCGTACAGACCGTCGCTGGTACCGGTGCCAACCACCTGGGTGCCCTGTTCCTCGCCCACCACATGAAGCCCCCCACCGTCTGGTTGTCCAACCCCTCGTGGGCCAACCATATGACTATCTGGGAGCTGGCTGGCGTCCCGCGCAAGACCTACCCTTACTACCATGCTGCCACGCGGTCTTTTGACTTCGAGGGTATGATTTCGACCCTCGAGAATGAGGCTCAGGAGGGTGATGTTATCCTGTTGCACGCCTGCGCGCACAACCCTACCGGTCTGGACCCGAACAAGGAGCAGTGGATTGCGATTGCCGACCTGTGCGAGCGCAAGAAGATCTTCCCCTTCTTCGACTCTGCCTACCAGGGTTTTGCCTCGGGTTCCGTCGAGGAGGATGCCTGGGCGGTTCGCTACTTCTTCAATAACAAGCCCGATATGGAGATGTGTGTGGCGCAGAGTTTCTCCAAGAACTTCGGTTTGTATGGCCAGCGTGTCGGTGCTTACCACTACGTAACCAACCGTAATGCTACCGTTATCCGCGACGTTATCGTTAACAACCTTTGCCACTTGATCCGTGGCGAGTTCTCCATGGGTCCCCGTATTGGCTGCAGCATTGTGAAGAAGATCTTGACCAATGATGAGCTCACGGCCGACTGGCACCACGATCTGCAGGTCATGAGCTCGCGCATCAAGTCCATGCGCCAGGCCCTGTACGATGAGCTTGTTCGTCTGAAGACCCCCGGCACTTGGGAGCATATCATTCAGCAGGTAAGACTTCTTTCATGCACTCGGTTCACTTGGCAGATTTACTGACCCATGATACAGAACGGCATGTTCTCCTACACCGGTCTCACTCCCAAGCAAGTCTACGCCCTTAAGGATAAGTACCACGTCTACCTGCTGAAGTCTGGTCGCGCCTCAATTAGCGGCTGTAAGTTTTTCCCACCCTGGATTCCTCGCCATCGTCAATACTAATCTGGACGATTGTAGTGAGCAAGAAGAACGTCGCCTATGTGGCCCAGGCCATCGACGACGTGGTGCGGAACGTGCTTTAAACTGTTTCGGACTTGAGGATATGTTTCGACTGCACAGCTTTGCTCGGAAGAGAGCCTGCGGTCTTGCCTTGCGTATAAAAGCCTGATTTATTCTTGGCTCTTGAACATGCATTGGGAGGGTATTTTAGTACTCATTTACGACTGTTGATGATAGAATTCATAAATAGAATGATAGCTACTTTCGGTTCTCACCCAGCCAAGTACGAGATCTCAGAGGTTGATCGATGTCAAAATTTGCATTAAAACAGGGCTATCTACTATACAAACGAGCGGCAAGAGACAAAATCAGGGACGGGAATCGATACTCATAATCGAAGCCCCGACCTGTAACGGAAAGCGCCCAAACTCAATAGCATGAACCTGTACTGGATATAATCGTAGACGTGCCGTGGTAGACAGAAAGACGAGATGCAAGAACATTAGAGTGGAACTTCGTTGAAGTCACCCTCGCCGTCTTTGCCTTTGCCCTTGCTGCTTTCATCATTACTTGTGGGCCCCGAGTCTCCCTCGGGCAGATGCTGTGGAAGAGTGCTCTCTTCGCTTGTCTCCTGTTCTTCCTGAACCTTCTCATCCAGTCCACCTAGATCTCCTGTATCTCCATTCGTCTGCGGGGTTTCGTCCGCGTCATCGGACTCGTCCTTCGGAGGTGGAGGTGGTGGTGTCTCCTCTTCGTCTTCGGACCTGACTTCCTGGGTTTGTGCTTGTGGCTGAATGCTCATCTCACCACCTGGGAACGGCGTGAGAGGCGGTTCCACTGCGGCGGGATCTTCCTCCCTGATTGGTGGCTGGAGACTACTGGGCCGGCCCTGGTTGACTGTCGAAGATGTAGACATAGTCGAGGTGGTGCGTTGGTGAGAAGAGCCGTGAAGGGTGCCCAGCTTGCGCGCCTTGGGGTCTGCATTGAGATAGTAGTCACGCACGCCGACAATCGTTCCCTCGGACTCGCACGCATCCACCCATTCAGGTACAACGACCGGGATGTTCATCTCCACGGCTTTCTCCCAGAGGGGACCCCGTCCCTCGGCACAGACAAAGTGGGTGGTGTCGATGCGAACAGAGTCGATCATCTTGCCTCCGATGCGCTCCAGTGCATGTCCAAGGGCCTCCTTACGCTGCGGGTCGAGAACGCCAGCGGTCACAGTTATACCAGACAGATCGGTCATCTTGTGCGTCCGGCATGTCAACTTCTCCGACTGGTAGGTGCCGGCGGTTGTGCGCAAGACGAGGTGGAATGTGTACTCATGATGGACAGCCAGGCCGCTAATCTTGGTGCTGCGCGTCTCGAGGGGGCGGGGTATCGAGCCTGCCTTGGAGCCGTTACGATAGAGGGAAAGCGATTTCAGGGATGCGGTTGCCAAGTCGATTGGATCCCATTCGAGAACAAGGGAGGTCTGAGTGGCATTGCGCAGGCGCAGGATAGGAGGAGAGGGGGTTTTGACACCGTAGGTATTGAGGATACGCTTCTGGAGAGACTGGAAGGCAGATGCGTTGGCTGTCTCCGCTGCATGGTTGCGCGCAACAGTAATGTCAACAATGCTGCCAGAGGAAATGCCGTTGGGAAGAAGGACGGAGGGGAATTCAATCTGCGCGGAGAGAGTCAAATTAGCAAGCCATTGGGGTTGTATGCCTTGCGTAGAGGCGTCGAGGCGTAGAGGCGCAGAGGCGCAGAACCGCAGACAACATCCTCAATGCTTGGGAGGTCCAGGCCACCAGGGGTTGGGGCATTTACCAGGCGGTTGTCCTCGGTCAAGAGAACTGCGACGCCCGCGTCCACCTTGCCAACAGTCAGAGAGACCAGCATGGTGAATTGGAGGCTAGAAAAACAAGGGAGGTTGAAGGTGGTGGTCGGAGATGAGAGAGACTCGGTTGAGCAAAGCCCCGTTGTTTCCGCCAGATCGGCATTTAGCGAGGCTTGAGGCAGCGGGAGCTAAGATACGGCCGCTTCTATATTTACCTTCTCCGCCAACAAGAGGAACTGATACTGTACAAGGTGAATTCCTACCAATAGTTTAATGTTTATGATTGAAGAAATTTGAAATGTGAATTTGCGAGTAGAGATATTAATAATCGTACACAGGCTAATCGCAGCCCGCTCAAACGCCATGCAATGATGCTCCCGCCTTTTAATGTACAGGTATAGACAGGTCGTCGGTCAGTATAATACAGACTGGGGTTTTAAAAATTTGATCAAGAGGCTCCTTGAATACACTCAAGAAGATCTGCCTCTGTTTTTGGAACGCTCAGCGCGCCTTTCTCGCTGTTTCAAGATGCCTTGTAAGAGGAAGTCGGCATCTTTCTGCACGGCCTCGAAGCTCTGGTGTACACACGAGGGGCGAATGGTAACTTCCAAGGATCCCAAAAAGGCCTGCTTTTCCATCGAAATGGGTGGAGAAAGGGGACGCCCAAGTTTATCATATCCTTGGCGCCTGAGAGCTTCCTGGAAGGCAATGCGCGCCCTCCGCGCGCACCAAGATCGAATGGTCCGTTTGAACTGGTTTAGGTGTGATACTGAGACCCGCCACCAAAGTGTAGTTGGATCACGATGCTCATACATATATGCAATCTTCGGGTGAATCGGATGGACCGGAGAGCCCAGGTAGCGCTGGGCGACTGGAGGAATGACGGGCTCGGGAGAGTATCGGAAGAGCAGATTGCTCGAGGAAGCAAGGAACTTCATAGTGGGAGGATCAAGGGGAGTCGTAAAAATTCGCCAGGTTAGGCCAAGGAGATGTCGAAATGAAACAGCCCATCGGTATCATAGCGGAGGGAAACGAGTGTTTATTGAGCGCATCGGAGACGGCAGGACGGTACTTAGGATGAGAAGACTGGCTCGTGTTTGCGATGCGCTTGCAACAGGTACTGTGACGGCCAAAAGGGCAGGAAAAAGGTTATTCAATAGTCCACAGTAGTAGAACTATTACCCATGAATTGAGGCCTTCCTCAAGCCCCAAAGTGAAAAGTTGCCGCCGGTCATGGACTTCATCATCCTTCTGGTATCTTTTTTCTGCCCCTAACCATGCCGGGCGGTGAGACTCTGACGCTTGCAAACTCAGGCGACACCCGCCACCAGTCCCAACTTTGTGCCTGATTAGCTAAGCCACCAGGGTTTGATATATCGGCACAGATCTTCCCCCACCTTGCTTCCTTCTCCTTCTTCGACCAGACTCTCCGGGGATATCACCTCATCTTTCTACGTCGCATTTTGACGCAGAAACAAACGAGACACCGACACACTTTCAGACTCAAGTCCAGTGAACGTCGCACCCCGCCGCCATGCCCAAGAACAAGGGAAAAGTAAGCGCGCAAAATATTCAACCCCTCCTTATTGGAATGTGCCACCCCGCCACCCATCACCTGTCAAAGACCGAGCACCGGCAATCTAGCTTGATGGGTTTGCAAGAGGCCTCATTTCGATAAACTTCCTTGTCTTTGACCGCACATATGACCTTGACACAAATTCTGACTATTTTCATCAATAGGGTGGTAAGAACCGTCGTCGTGGTAAGAACGAGAACGACAACGAGAAGCGTGAACTCGTCTTCAAGGAGGACGGCCAAGAGTACGCCCAGGTCGTCAAGATGCTCGGCAACGGTCGCCTGGAGGCTCTCTGCTTCGACGGCGAGAAGCGTCTGGCTCACATTCGTGGCAAGCTCCGCAAGAAGGTCTGGATCAATCAGGGTGATATCATCCTTCTCTCGCTCCGTGACTACCAGGACGAGAAGGGCGATGTTATCATGAAGTACACCGCCGACGAGGCCCGCAGTCTGAAGGCCTACGGCGAGCTGCCCGAGCACGCCAAGATCAACGAGACCGACACCTTCGGCAACGAGGGCTTCGAGGACAACGTCGAGTTCGACGAGGACCGCGAGAGCGAGGACGAGAAGGAAATCGACGTCGACGAGCTCTAAGCTCACCCCTACCACCCCAGAGCTCGATGCTCTCTACCCTGCAAGGGCGCCATGCAGAACTACACCATGGTGCTTTTCACGTTCCGCCACCTCATTCCTACACCGCCACTCTTGGTTTAAGCGCCGTGATCTACACGCTCTTGATCAACTGCAGCTTCCTTGAATTCCTGAAGTACTCCGTCCCCGATCGAAAGGGCATTCTCAAGCGAATCTCGACGCCACTCCCACCGCGGCCCTGCATGGAGATGAAGGGCATCCCCCAACCTACGGCGATGATACGACAATATACCAGGGTGTGAAGACATCGACGACAAAAAGATCTCGACATTTTGCATGTTGGCCGGTATGGTCATTACAGACACACGTCTTACGATCCTCTATCAGTTCTTGCAGAGTTTTCGCGGTCAAGCTACAGAGCAAAATTGGTCGCAACACGCATGATGAAACTGCGTGCTGCATTGCATTGCATGCTATGTGCCTCTGTCTAGCTTTGCTTTTCATTCCTTTTCGAGTGATAGATATTACGAAAAAAAGGTCATGAGAATTGAAAATATTGCCTCACAAACTCTATATCTAAACGTACTTTGTAATTCTAGCAACTGACTGAGCTGTCATTTTGCCTCCTCGAGAGATCGGTCGTGCTCATCCGTTACAAAGGATGATTTCCTGTCATGAAGAGGCTTCCGAAACCAGATGCCAAGCCTGACGTCTTTCGTCGGAAATGCCATCTAGTCCCGTTTGGTTTGCATCTGTGGCTGAAATGACTCCTTGGTCTGATTTGAGGCTCTAGATACAAATCACTTATGCTCTCAATCCGAATGACAAGGACATTAATAGTATTGCCATCAGGCACCCAAGCTACCTTTACCGTTAGTCGAACCCTTCACACAACCCTCATCACCAAACATGGACTTCGCAGCATCTTGCCATACAGTCTCCCGTTGGAGATAGTTATCAATTGTATAAAAGCGCCGGCATTCTGCCGCTTCATAGACGAATTGCAGCGGAGTCTGATCATCGTCTGGATCATATTCGTTTCGTAGATTGACACTTCCACTCCAGGCAAACGAGGTGGCTAAGCTGGGAGATGAATCGTTGAATTTCTTCCATTCGTCATCTGTCAAGAGAGGAGAGGAGCTGCCCGTTGAGTTTTGGATCAGCTGGTTGGCTTGCTGGATGTAGCCGTTGATGTAGTTGATTCCGAGGGATTGGCCACCCTTTGTGCCGCCCACGCCTTGCATTGTGGATTCGTTGGGACGGCCACCGAATGTGATGGTGCGCACACCTTGGCGCTTCATAAGTTTGACGAAGAAGGCGCAGGTTGAGCCGCAATCTCCGTCGGTAATCTGATATCTAGCTGTCAGTCTCTGATTCCATTCATCCATAACCTGGGGGTAACCTATGAGAACACTCACGATAGCAATATTCTCAGCGGGAAATAGTGATTTATCGGGATTCAACGGAATAGGCCCATATCCGTTGATTGGATAGTTTTCACTGGAAGTAGAAGAATAATTGAAGTTGGCGAGCAAGCTTGATGAAGAACTTCCTAGGACCTCATTGGGTCCGTAAAGGTCCTCCCAGGAGCTGAATCCTGTATTCTGGTCTGGAGCAACCATCTCCTTGTACGCAAAGGTATTGCTTGAGTCCTGGGTTGTGGAGCGTGAAAATGCTTTAGTGAGGTACTTGGATGTATCGTGCGCTCGATATCGAGTTGCTGTATACGGGAAGGCATCTGGGAAGAAAATCCGGAACAGATCGATTCCAATCGACAGGTAGCCACCCGGATTGGCTGCCACATCAATCAAGATGTTCTTCTTCCCCGCGACAGTGGCGTTGTTCAGGAAATCTACGGCCACTTGAGCTGCCTGCCCGGGATTGGAGGAAAAAGTGGGCAGGAAGATAATCCCAGTATCCTCGAGTCCGGTAAGATTCGAGAAATAACCGGCAATAGTGTTTGCAGAATTGCGCCATTGTGTATCTGGGAGTCCAGGCAGAGAGGAAGCCTCTTCTGCTGTCGACGAAGAAGATTCGGCGGTAGGGAGCCCTCGGGGAATGCAGTTGACCTTATATAGACTGGTGCCGTTTGCGTAGGAGAAATATTTCTCTTTGGGAACGGCGTACTTCTCCACGGTCTGAGTGGTCCCATTGCCATACTTGAGAGTTACCTCGGAGCCATCACTCCAGTCAGCAGTGCTGGCCCATATGCCGTTCTGATCAATGGGGGTTCCAGTGACACTGCGAGCGAGAGCTGGGAAGATTCGGTTGTACCTGAGAATATTAGAAGAAGTATAACCATGTCTGGCGAGTATCTAACGTACTGAGCATCGCAGTCCTGAAGACTTTGGCCAGATGCATATGAAGCAAGGAATTCGGCCGCGTCGGTGCCGTTGATAGATACAAGGGGTGATACGTTAGTAGCACCGCTCTCCTGGAGTTTCGCATCGGCTGTGGCCCATTAGTAAATGGTTGACAAGATGTTGGAGGGCATCACGTACTCAATGTAAAGACCTTCGGTAGTTCAAGACCATCCGTTGAGATAGAAACGAGAGGCAGATCGATCTCATAGTTGAATATTGACTGTGAGCATAATTGGAAGGCCAGATGACTATCGTATGCTGATCTGATGAGATCAGAGACTTCCAGATCCATCTCGAATTGGCTGGAGTACCCCTTGTTGTTAGCCCTTTCCAGGATCGAATCGATCCCTCCCAGGAGATCAGTAAATGGCATCGTATAGCCAGGAGGAGGATCTGCAGTCTCGTATCAGTCACGTCAAAGGACAAAAATACCGAGTATTCCCTACCCTTGAGAATGTCCAGTGTCGAGTGGAACTCTAGATACTTTCGAGCTTGATTCAAGAACGTCACTGCCCGGCCGGACTCGAATGGCATAGACATCAAGCATTGCTGTGCCAAATCATGAGGCACTTTAGCGCTGACTGCGACCGTTAGTTCCATGACATCTTTCGATTCAACAGTCCGAGACGCACTCTGATGATCATTGGCATCTGCCACCAATTTGGAGATCTGTGCACATGACTCGACATCTCGTGCATTCTTGCTGGCCACAACAGCCGCCGCCAACGCGACCGGGGCCAACAGGGTCGCCTTGAAATGCATTGTCAGATGGGTGCGTGAAGCATCAGGAAGTCTGAAGGAGAACCCAAGGTTTGAAGTCTGATGAGTGTCGGTCCGGCTATAGGGTTCCTTCCCCACTCTCAGGGGGATTTCTTGTGGACCCTTGCGTATTGGCGTTTCTATTTTGGCCGATCTGCACCCAGGATCGACGCCAAGACGAAAAGCGATGGAGTCGTACAATGTTTCGGCTCTGGTGGCGTTGGGATTGAGCCCGGTTATCTCGGCTTGTCGTTCGTTTGTTTATGCTCAATTCAAAATTGTCAAATGCAATAGTTCCGATTTACGGATACGCCAGCTCGTGTATCCACATGATCTGGACTTCTTTTTACATGTACCATGCGCTACGGTGTTCCCTCAATCGTGTCATAAACTTCGTTGCGTGGGCTCTGGACAGCCTCGCCGTGGGTAATTTCCTTGATTTGATATACAACATGAAACAGCCTTCTAGTCATCAAAGACACTCTTGCGGAAGAAAGCAACTATCTTTCGGGCGGCTTCCTTTCCAACAAGTGGATCCAGCTGCTCTATGCTCATATTAGCGATCTCGTGCAGGTTCTCAGTTTCAAGTATGAGCCTGTCGAGGGCTTGTGGTGTCACCCCTGGTACAGCCCGGAGCATGTCCTGCGGCAGCAAATTAAAGGTTCGATGTTCGATGCCAGCCGCAGCCATGACATCACCGGCAGAGCCTGAGATATCAATATCCAGACCAATCTGAACGGCGCGAAGAGGGTCGGGCTCGGCGGCATTTTTCTTCAGTTCTGCGAAGATTTCAGCCGTCTGGTAGGGAGATGATGACCAGATGATTTTCAGTCGTGGGAAGGCGAGTGTCAGAAGCACCAACAAGTGCTGTGCAGACTTGGGGTTCGATGGATTAGTGTGTGCGCTGGTACTTGAGCTAGTCGCCTGCCCCGAAGACGAAAAGCCGTAGTCTGTCAAGAAGGTTGTGCCAGTGGAGATGGTTGCAAATGCATCAAAGGTGAAGGATTTGTTCTGGTCGAATTCAATCAACAAGAGCGGAGTCTTGTAATGTTGGATCATAGTCTCAGCCTGGTTATAGAGGCGACCATTGCGAAGAGAAGAGATCAAGTCACGAATAGATTTGCGCTCGACGCAGATATCTGGCGTCAGAATGTAGTCTCCGACGGTCAATTGGCATGGAATGACGATCATATTGTTCCCGTGCAGAAGAGACGGCAGAGCACTGCGAAACTCGCGTACATCGACCACCACCCGAGGAGGGGCTGCCGTCGCAGCTAGCCTTCCACCGCCAGCAATTCGAGTATTGACAGTCCGCAGGAATTGCTCTTGTGGGTCTTCGGCACTCTTGTCATGCGTCAAAGTAACCGCCATATTCTAGGAGAGTCAGGAAATATTCGACGGATTTTGAAGGTGTCAAGCTTACTCCTTTCTCCTTGATCAACTTCGAGAATGCATCTTTTTCTCGTCGCACAGCACTCAAGTATCGCTGCTCCTCGACAGACCCTTCGTAGGACAGGAAGTACACCTTTACAACTCTGCCCACGTGGGAGCTTCGATAGACTTCCACGCGGCGAATGAACGCGGCGTCCGGCTCATACATGATAATGTACCGCGGCCTAACCTCCTCCAGGATATGTTCATCCATGTCGCCATCGTATGGGTGTATGATCACCAGATCGTTCATCGCGTATAGCTCGTAGTAATCCTCCATATCTTCGAGGTCGTCAACAACAATCTCTTCTTTCTGTAATTCTTCTACCTCGGTGGGCTGAATCTCCTCGAGTAGATTGACAACTTGAGCTGGTAACTCGACCTGTGTCTGAACGCTACTGTCTGGAACGCGACTGGAGGCAGAGTTCACTGCTCCTCCACCACGCACTCGCCGACGCTTGTTTGGAGGAGGTCTGCCTTGTTGCTGGCCTGGCCTTGGTGATTCCGCAGGTTTGGCTCCTTCTCCAGGCTGTGACAAGTTTTTGTTGACATTGGATAAGGATCTTTTCCAATTCAGATAATCACGTAGCCGACGTCGCATCATCACTTCTGCAGATGATACCTCCTCACTCAAACCCTCTTTGTCCTCGTTGTCATTACTTGAAACATGGGCAACTTTGGCATGCATCGTGCCCACATATTCACGAAGCTGACGGCAGGTGCGTTGATCACTGCACATGATCAATATCGTACCGTTTGAATCTTCAGTTGGATTTGGTGGGTTCAGGTAGGTATCTTGCTCTATTTCCTCCAAGACTTCAGCCAGGACTTCCCATTTTGGCATTGGTTCAAGAACGGGCTTTAGCTCGGCCGAAAAATTGGTCGATGACCAAGAACGGGACATCTCGTCAGTCATTTTGCCCTGATAGACTCGTGACTTTGCCGTTTGAAAAAGAACGTGGGCAGCGTCAAGGAAAAGCCAGGGTGAATAGTTGTGTTTGTTTGAACCTGGCGGCGGCGAATGCGCTGACACGATCGTGTCGAGATATTTCATGAAAGATACCGCATCATAGGTAAGTAGGGCACTGGATTGCCCGGTTAGCGTTGGGAGACAAAGGAGGGGGACGAACGAACTGGAGAATTCCTCGAAGATCTGTCAGATCACTAACAATCTGCCTTGTCCTAAAGGTGACCCGATGCCAGATAGGATCGAGTTGCCTTCGGATCGAGACGTCAAAGTTCCTGTGCAAAGCGCTATCCAAGGTCCATTCTTCCATGTCCAAGCCCGTGTTGGATTTTCGGAGCTCGGCAATGCTAATTTCCACACACTCGAGAACGGCGTTCTGAATTTCTCGCATTTTTGCACTCATGGGAACCTCCAGTTCAATCACTTCTGCCTTACGGTTACCTTCCAAAGCCTCGGCTACAGAGACTTGGAATCTTGGCCATAACGAAGCTTTTCGCAAGAAAAGATTCCGCAACATATTGGCCAGTGGTGCGAACCCAGTCGTGAATGGCTCGGGGGAGTCGGAGAACGCCTTCAAGAATCCCCGCTTGTTCGAATGCCGGTAGATGCGAGTTATGAATGCCTCCAATGAGGTCGCCACGACTCTAGTATCAATGTGAGTCATCGAAACACATGTATCAAGGCGTATGCAGGACGTCCATACTTATCGGCATGTAGAATGATCATTCCCGTCACCTTCTCAGGATCAAGGAGCTCTGGAGAACTTAGCATGGCGCCGGACAAGGGCCAAAAAGCTCTCAACTTACTCGATAGCAAATCCACGACCAATATCCTAGATGTCACACTCAGGATACCGCCTTCCGCATAAATTCGTTCTCTAATGCAAGGATCAGCATGGCCACCGACACGACTGAAATAACTCTCAAGACGCACCGCATCGGCACTGTGGCTTTCTCAGTATTGATCACCTTCAACCCCCGAGCAAGCGGAGACTTGCTGGTCGCATAATGCTCCGCCAGTGCTGTGAGTCCCCGGATATGAGCGCCGGACAACCTGCAATCCTACAGACGGACCCGACCTACCTTCTCCAATCCACTCATTTTCGCGATCATCCGCACCAACCACCAATACTAGATTGTTGCCAGCCGCATCGTAGAAGTGAAGTAGATTTGTTATCAGGTGGAGAAGCCCCAACCCGCGGGCAAGAATGACCAACTCATCCTCGGCGCGTAGTTCGGTGAAGATGTCCTGCTGGTATTGCTAGATTTCCAGTTCGTCAGCGGATCCAGCTACAGATCTGGAGCTTGTCACAGACTTACCAGTGGCAAAGACAGCTTCACCGGCACATTCGTTCGTTCCGGCGGCATGAAGAGACCTTCTTGACGCGTTGATGAGAGAAGGGTCAGACACCTGTTGAAGCCGTCGCGAACGCACGTGACTTGTGATGTAATGGGTCAACTACCTTAAATAACTAACTAGCTAAGTATTATCTCTCGATCTAAGCCTGCAGCTATCCTCCATAGCATAGCTACTAAGACTTTTTTCTAATTTTATTCCAGATTCTGAACTTACCATTAGACTCCAGTGTGCAAGTTAGGCGGTGGTTAGCCACCAGATTGAATAACATGTACTATGCGAATGCGTGCGAGCGCGCGAAATCAAAGCAGCCTCGCCCAGAAATAAGGCTGGAATATACAAGTTGCAAGGCCCTTGATTTGTACAGTAGGAGGTATATACGGGAATCAAGGAAGCAAATATGCGTATTTCCTTTGCACGTGAAAAGTCATCTAATTGCACGATTTGTTCAGTTCCTTCATCCGGGCTTCAATCTCTTCCCTAGATGCCTTTGGCGGCATCTCTGTCCCAAAATAATTAGTCAAAGGCTAATAGCAGCTGTAGGGCATCCTGTTGATCTCTCACCGTCTGGAATCTGAGGTCCCTTGGAGAGATGGTCTATCGCCGATGCTTTCTCCCGTTGATCGCCTGGCTTAGTCTGGGACTCGGTGGAACCCTTCTTCGAGGCCGACGGAAAATCGGATGAGTCGGGGATAACAGGCATTTTCGAGGTATGAACTTCTGATAGGGGACAAGGCGTTTCTTGCACTTTTTCATCAATTTTCAAATGGGGTTGAAAAATATTTCTCAGATGATGAAGATTTGGCTTGTAGACTTGAATACAGGCAGCCACATATATAGATAAGTTATAGAATGACGTCAGCGGTTGGCTGCGGTCTCACAAGAGTCTGGGCTTCAACGGCCTGCCGTCATGGTGTCAGACCTTGGAGGATGTCACTTGTTTCACCAAAGTGATTCACGTCCCATATCAGAGCTTGAATCGGCTTACTGAAGAAGAGATACTGGCAAATACTCGAAGCCAAGGACCCTTGTTGTATGTTTCTGAGCTCGAACTAAGGCTCGTGAAGTATATGACCGAGCTATAGAACTACATAAGTTGAAAGGTCTTATGTAAATTGGTGACTTGATTGGCAGGGAAATCTAAGCTAGATTGAACATTACTCGACGGTTCAGTCTGCTATACTCTAGATCCATAAAAGCCTTGTCTGTGGTAATGGGGCAAGTGTTTCTGTGAAGCTATACGCAATTTCCTGACGGCATTTGTGAGGTCTACAGGCAACTAATATTGACCACGTACATCAAAGAGACAAAAAAAACTCAACCCTATTTTATGTCAGTACCTCCAGGCTCAAAGTGCGACCAGGCCGCTCCTGAGGAGTATACATCAGGGATACCACGTGCCTCGCGGCAGCCAAGCGCCCCGGCCAAAGTCCCTCCGACGTACTGCGCCCCCACCAAAGCAACCTCTCCTCCAATTCACCAAACCTTCCCCACGACTCTCATCCCCTCAAGGCAACCGCCGGTCGGATCCTTAACAATTATTTGCCTTCCGCCTCAAGACCTCCCATTTCCGCTGGAATCCCTCACTCAACTTCACCCAAGGGCCCTCCGTACTATCCACCCGCCCGTGCCCTATCTGTCGGTGTGTTGGGACCACACGTTCGAACCGCTACGCTCCGCCCTGTCTGCCATGCGCCCTCGACAACTTCAGTCCTGCCCGCGCCGTCACCTATAACTCCCTTTCGCTGTCCAACTTGGGCTTGCATTGATTCGCCATGCCCTCAATCCTTAGCGATGCCGACAAGGAAATTGTCAAGCGACAGGTGCCTAAGCCTGCCAACAAGATCCTGGCCGTAGCTGTCGCACGACTCTACGTTGCTTACCCTGACCCCCAAAGATGGACATACACCGGTGTACAGGGTGCGGTAGTGCTCTGCAATGATTTAGTCGGACGCACCTTTTGGTTGAAAGTGGTCGATGTCTCGGTGGGTGTCCAGAAATTCGTGAAGGTTAATGACTATAGTTGCTGACATTGGTTCCGGACCCGGCAGCCCGCTGGAAAGGGTGTTATTTGGGACCAGGAAATCTACGATAACTTCTCTTACAACCAAGACCGCACTTTCTTCCATACTTTCGAGCTCGAGGACTGCCCAGCGGGGCTTTCGTTCGCCGACGAGAAAGAAGCCAAGACGTTCATCAAGAAGGTGCAGGAGCGTGAGAAGCATGCGAGCAAGGACACCACCAAGACTCCCTTCGCATCCTCTCGAGGCCAAGGACCTGCACCGGTCACCAATGGTAAAGGCCCTGGGCGGTCTCTCTTTGGTAGTCTGTTGCATCGTTCGAGCCATGCCCCGAGTGCCGCTCTGCATCCAGCTCCTGTGCCGTCAACACCTGTTGGACCACCTCCCGTCTTGGCTCCGAGCGCACCGCCAGCCAAGGGAGATCTGCCATTCGATATCAATGACCCAAAACAAAAGGGACTCTTGGACGAGCTCTTACAGATGGGCATTACCGAAGATCAGATTGCTGAAAATTCCGACTTCATCAAGTCCTGGATTGCTCAAAAACAGACCGCAGCTGGCGAGTCTCCTGCAGCTGATGAATCGAACAAGCCCCGGACGCCGCCACCACCACCTCCTGGCGTGCCAGCTCCCAAGGTAACTACAATCAGTCCTCAGGGTACAGGAACTAGCTCGGCAAGCCGACGAGGGCCACCGCCGCCGCCACCAACTCGGAAAGGTCGGGCTGAGGCTGCAGATGAGGCTGTTCCTACCCCGCCTCGTGAACCATCTCCACCGCCAGCACCAACCCGGATGTTCCGAGCACCACCTCCAATCGCTGACGCTGGCAAGTATGCTGAGCCTGCTGGACCCGCACCACCGCGGCGGCCACGGGCGATATCAAACGCTACGCCGGGTCCACCGCCGCCCCCACGGCCTCCGAAGACGCCAATGGAAGATAGCTCAAGCCAGCCTCAAGGCCGATTTGGAGTACCCCCTCCATTTACTGGCGAACGCAAGGTCTCCGCTCCTCCTGCACCTCCAAGTCGCAGCCCCGTCCCTGGCGGACCTCCTCCACCCCCGCCTCGTACGGCTAGTCCAGCAGCACCTCCCCAGCTTCCCCCCAAAGTACCTAATGCGGGTGCACCATCTGGTCTTCCTCCCCCACCGCCAGCTCGAGCTCCGATTTCTCCGCCTCCGCCGCCCGCACCTCGTCCTATACCATCCACTCCTGCGGCTGCTCCCCCTGCTCCGCCTCCACCGCCTCCAAGAGGACCTGCTCCTCCTGCGACAACCTCAGTGATACCACCAGGGCCTCCCCCACCGCCCCCTGGACGTTCTGGACCAGCGATACCCCCGCCGCCACCTCCCCCTGGTGCAGGCTCTGGTGCACCTGGCGTGCCGCCGCCGCCACCTCCACCTGCTCCAGGTGCTGGTGGCTTGGGAGGTCCGCCTCCTCCTCCACCACCCCCAGGCCGTTCTGGGCCAGCGATACCCCCGCCGCCACCTCCCCCCGGCGGCTCTTCAGGAGGGCCTCCCCCCCCTCCGGCTCCAGGTGGTGCAGCGCCTCCCTTGCCTAAGAGCACCGGTGGCAGAGACGATCTCCTAGCAGCCATTCGTGGTTCTGGGGGTGCAGGCGGAGGGGGTTTACGGAAGGTGAGGGATTCCGACAAGAAGGACCGAAGTTCAGCAATGGTCCCGGGAAGTGCGGCCGAATCATCTACTGCCGCCTCGAGCTCCGGCGGAGGTCCACAAGGCGGATTGGCCGGCGCTTTGCAGGACGCATTGAATAAGAGGAAGCAGCGAGTCAGTGGCAGTGGTAAGTGACAACTTTCTCCAGGAAGTATTGAATATATGCTAACTGATGACCGTAGATGATGAGAAGGATGACAACGATGATTGGTGAGCTACTGGTGTCTCGATAGGGTTGGTTTATTTGTTCATGATACCTACTGGTTCCTATGGGCATGTTTTGCGGGCATTAGGCATTGCGTTCCTTTTCTGAATTATGTTGCAGCGGCTTGCCCAAAAGTTTTGGCTTCTCGCACACTCTTGAGGGAAAAGAATCATTGTGTTTTGTACATACCCTTTTTTCATTGCAGATGCAGTCAATGCAAGGGCGCTGGGGTCCTTTATATAAACAATGCTGTGCCTGTAGAACTAGAGTTCAGCCGCATGAGCAAATCTGTGCCTTCTTGTAGAATATCTCATATTGAAATTATTTGTCGGGCATGAGTGTAGGTACCACGTGGTGCCATTTTCCACCGCCTTGATATTGATCGGAACTTTTATACTTTTATAATTTGGAGATTTTCGTCTGATGTACGTAATACATAGACTTCGATATACATCGCCGGACGCATGGTCCGAGAATACCAGGATAGAAACTCCAGATAACTCATTGGATTCTATGCAACGCCTTATGAGATACCATCATCAATCAAGCAAATGGAATTTATGAAGGAAAGAGTGGTCACGCTGGAAAAGAAAACGACAGAGGCTCGCCTATCCCCAGGCGTACGTCTCCGATATGGTGCACTGCAACTATTCTTTCTCTCTTTTTATCATGGTCACATGGCATTTGGTCTCGTTCAAGTCATCGCATGTGTGCGAGTCCACTCCTTGGCCGTCTGGATGGCCGCGGGCTCGTCATCCTTCCAGCGCTGGGCAACGTCGTTGGCGAGCGGGTCATCGGGATTGGGAGCGCCGAGGAGAGCCTGGATCGAGAGGAGGATAGTGCGGATCTGAAGAGCGGGGGACCAGTTGTCTATATGATTGTGTTAGATATAACCACCGATGCGATTGAAAGGGGGTCTTTACTCTTAAGGACATCCAAGCAGATGCGGCCCAGACGATCGATGTTGGGGTGATAGATCTTAGTGAGGAAGCGGATCTTGGGAGGGGTCATAGGATAGTCATCGGGCAAGAACAGTTCGAGTCGGAAGATGCCACCTAGGGTCAAAATTGTTGGTAATTTGAGACAAATAAGGGAAGTTCTCAATCATGCATACCTTCATACGGAGACTGAGCGGGGCCGTGAATGGAAACATCAAAGTACCGCAGGTTGTCTTCGTGAGGAACGGCGTTGATACCGGGAACACTAGATAATCGAATACCGAGTCAGTCATGGATATAGAAACCAAGGTCAAGAGATCCGAGTATAGTCTTACGGCTCAGCCATGAGTCGTTCCGTCTCCTTGATAATGCGTTTCGGAAGGGCGGCCATGGCGACTATGAGAATCACACGGAAGCAGACGGCTGGAATGAAAGTCGATGGATTCCCTGGGGAACAACTAGACAACGAGGTGGTTATAGGTATGAATGTGCAACTCTAGAGCCACACCAATGAGACCGACTTGAGAGCGAACGCGATCGAAGCGCGACCCGTCAACAAAATCCACGACGAAGCCGTCCGAGGGGCACTGCATGGCGGGGTCCTGCCGACAGCCGTACCGTCATGTGGATGCACCGCCACACGTAGACTGCCATACTGCCGGATGAAGCACATCACTAGCCACAGACGTTGCTGTCCGCGTTATCGCAGCTTCCCCCTCGCGCACGCGAGTCGTTAGACATTAGTGCTTTCGAACCATCATCCGGAGAGAGTTCACAAAATGACAAAGCAAACACCAATCCAGTCCTCCCTCAACAATTAGTGATCTGATCTTGCGGTCATTGGGGAGGCCTGCATTGGCCGTGAGGGCCGATCGCAGCAGTCAACATGTCGAGCTCCATGGAACCCCGGCCTCTCACGTCGGCCTTCGAGAGCCCGACGTTTGACGAGGATGGCTCATTCCATGTGGAACAGCCGGTCGGATCCATGTCTATATCTCCATGTGGGCGCGATGTGGTCCTGGCGTCTAAGGAGGGCCTTCATGTCATCGATCTGGACTCGCCTTACTCCCCGCCACGATATCTCCCTCATCATACGCCATGGGAGGTCGCCGATGTGCAGTGGTCGCCATTTGCCTCACGCGACTACTGGGTTGTAAGTACTTCCAATCAGAAAGCTCTGGTATGGAATCTGGCCATGAAGACTTGGCAGAATTCTATCGAGTTTGTGCTGCATGCTCATTCGCGCGCAATCACCGATATCAACTGGTCAGCCTTCCATCAGGATATACTGGCGACCTGTGCGGTCGACAGTTTCGTGCATTGCTGGGATCTGCGCACACCTTCACGGCCCGCCATTTCGTTCTCGGATTGGTTCACAGGCGCCACGCAGGTAAAATGGAATCGACAAGACCCTCACGTTATTGCAAGTTCTCACGATCGATATCTCCGAATTTGGGATGATCGTATGGGTGCCTACCCGATCAAATCCATTGAAGCCCATGACACCAAGATCTATGGTGTGGACTGGAATCGAGTCAGACGAGGAGCGCTAGCAACATGTTCATTGGATAAGACCATCAAGTTCTGGGATTACACGACAAATTCCGAGGTACCGGAGAAGTTGATTCGCACACCATTCCCTGTGTGGCGAGCTCGCAATACGCCTTTCGGATGGGGTGTACTTGCCATGCCGCAGAGAGGCAACAGCGATCTCCACCTCTATAGCCGGCGAGCTGGCGAGGGGAGTAACCCTGAGGATGACCTGCCGCTGGTCCATAGTTTCCCTGGTCACAAAGGCCAGGTAAAGGAGTTCCTGTGGAGACCACGAGGAGGCGTAGTGGATGGCATTGATAACCGAGAGTTTCAACTCGTTACATGGGGAACCGATCGTGAGCTCCGTCTCCATCGCGTGGATCCCGAGATTCTGGAGCGTGTTGGATATGAGAAAGGAAAATCCTTCATTTCAACTCGAAACGTGACACGGTTGGGTGCAGTCTACCGAAGCTTCAGGGATGTCAACTCGGATTTGGACGTTGAGGAACTCGATGCGGCATCATCTGTGGGCCCTCATCATGCTATGACGAACCAGTACCTCGGGAGCCCCGGGATGAATGCCATTTCGGTGCCCCACGCTCGTGCCTGGACTCGCAAAAGCCATGTCGATACCCGTATGGGTATGCAGCCGCGTTCAAATCTCCGAGCCGATACCAACCCGATTGCATGGATGCGCGGCGTGAAGATCTCGGGCTGGGACATTGAGACCCTGGGAGACGAGATCAGTCATGTGGGCGAAAGGTTCACCAAGGTTGCATTCGAATCAGTGGATGTGCGACAAAGGAAAATTTCTATTTCACTGAACGGTCCTTGGGGCGCGGAAGGTGCTTCCTTGTTTCTCAAGGTTGACATCAAGTTCCCTTTCAGTTATCCCAAAACATCCATTCCCACCTTCAATTTCCAGAAAACGGCAGCCGTCACCGACGAGCTATCTCAGAAACTCACCGCTGAATTGCGAACTATCGCCGAGACCTACATGTCGAAGAAGCGGGGCTGTTTGGAAGGCGTGGTGCGCTATCTTTTGGGAGAAAATAGCCTTGAGGAGAGCATCGCGTGGATTCTGGGCGAGACCGGCGATAATGTCAAATCACCTATCAATGGTGAAATGGAGGGCGAGTCCAGTGATGAAGACGAAGTAGGCATGACGCAAAGCCAAGAACTGGGAATGAGTTCAGAACTACTTCGACCGGTCAATGCAAATGTGATGGTACCGGTTGCCAAGGGCTGCGGTGCGTTGTGGGCCAACGATGGTCGTCTGATCTGCTTCTTCCCACCGAAAAAGGACAAATCGACGGAGCTGTTTGACAACATTGGATTCAAAGAAATGAGTCGATTGTCCCGGACGGACAAGGTCTTTGAAGGCTTCGGCCGCCTGCAGACAAGCTCCCCGGGCCCGCGCATGACCAGCACAATCACAAGCACAGACGACGGCGCGTCTGATTACTCCGACGACTCATACTCTGAAACATCCAGCTCATCCGGTTCGTCTGATATTCTCTCCGGGTTGCCAGCCCGCTTCCAAGCACCTCAAACCTGGCGCAGTGCCGGTAGCATTGGTCTTTACAGACCACGGTCGACCGATAACTCCCAACGATCCACTGCCGGAGCCGTAGTAGCAAAGCTTCCCGATGTGCCTCGCAACATTGTGTCTATCCACGATTTGAGCGACATGTTGCCAGTCAAACGGGAACTTGCTCGCAAGTATCGTATCTGCGGCAAGGGAACAGATGTATGCGCTCACAATGCTGCCGTCGCTTTGGACGCTGGCTGCTACGAGTTGGCTCAGATTTGGGGTCTTATCAAATTGATTCTTCATGCCCGACGGGAACCGATCTCTACCCTGGAATCGCGGATGGGAATGAAACGAATTGCACAGAATTTCGGCAGCATGACCCCCCACCAAGCTTCTACGAAGGATGGGCTCCACAAAGACCTCGCGAGCAGTGTGATTCGGTGGGGAGACCATCCTATGGGGAGCCACTGGCTTGTCCCCGCTCTGTTTGACCATTTCGAGCGTATTGGCGATGTGCAGATGGTGGCAATGCTTTCTTGCGTGTTGCTGGAAGCGAACCAAGAGGGCCGGTCAGAGAAAGATGCCGAGCCTCGTCTTGAGGAGCGCGCGTTCTCTGTAGAGTTCTCATCAGTTGCGTCGACGATACAGAACAATAAATCACAAGCTGCTACTCCTGCTTCGTCTCTCCCGCGGGAACCTCAACCTGTGCCTCCTCACACCTCAGCGCGCTCGTCGAGTGAGATTTGGCGTATCGAATCTACTCCTCCTTACTCTACTGGTACCACGCCTCCTTTGGGTTCTTCCCGCCCACGAGGTATTGCTGCCGATCGCAAGGCTCTCAGCCATAACGTCTCGATAGCAGCATCGCCAGATCAACAATCACAGCCTCGAAGTGGGTCTGGATTTGGATCTGTGCTTGCTTCGTCATTATCGCGTTCCTTCACCTTTGGGCCTTCATCGGCTTCGCCGCCCGTGAGCCACCTGGGTAAAAAGAAGCCAAGCCCGGGCCAGAGCCCGGGCGCGGTAACTGTGCCGGCGGTACGTATAACATCATCTCTTCTTGCTGCTGCGGTTTCTGACTTGAGTAGGCCCCATCCGATACCGAGAGCGATCGTCCTCGGCCAACTAAACCGGCAGCTCGTTTCAAGGTCATTCTGAAGAATCAAAGTGCATTTGACAGCGAGGATGCCGCACCCGGATCTCTACTTGACCGTGATAAGGAATGGCTCTACCGGTCGTACCGCGCTGCATACGCCGAATTTCTATCCATTTGGGGACTTCCTGTCCAGCAGAGTGAAGTCCTCAAGATCGGGGCGGTGGTTTACAATGCGGATGATGATATGCATACCAGCCAATACTGGAGTAATCGCAGTTCGAAGACAACATCGACCCTTCCTGAGGTAATACCAAACGGTACCCCCTCAGGCTTCGACGGTCTGGATTTCCAGCGTCATTGTGCCAGTTGCGGCCATGCTCAGCAAATATCCATCTTTGCTCCACCAGCAACCCCAGACAACCCGTCTCAACGCTCCCGCCGGGTACAAACGGCAACCGCTCGATGCTCTAACTGCAAACCCCGCCAACCTCTCCCTACCCGATTGCCCTGCGTCATCTGCGGTGAAGTTGTCGATGGAATGCTGGTACCGTGTCTTGGCTGCGGCCACGTGAGCTGCTTCTCCTGCCAGCGTCACTGGTTCCTTCGAACGACCGATGGATTCGAGAGTCCGATAAACCCGCCCGAGGACACCGGCGCTTTGCCGACATGCCCTACCGGCTGTGGCTGTAACTGCTCCGAGTACGTCACAGCAGAGGTGCCCATGCCAGTATGGGAGGAGTCTCCCATGTCACCGCGCACCAAGCCAGAAACCACCGGTCCCGCCCACCGGAACGTATCACACGAGAAACGACATCGCCGCCGTCAGTCTGAGCCACCTTCAGGCCCAGACTCGAGCGGTCGCAACACACCTACCTCGAAGACGGGAGGTGGTCAGCTTCAAGATGAATTAGATTTGTGGCAGACATCGTCACCGTTTGCCTCGCTTGCGCGGGGTATGGGTGGGGGACTCAGTCAAGGTCTACCGGCAAAGGATGGCCGAAAGAGGAACCGGACGGCTGCAGTTACTACGCCTAAGGGCAGAGGGAAATGATCCTCTGATGATTGAGACTGGAAGTGGCAATGATGATATGATGTTGGGTTATTTTTCTTTTGGTTGATTTCTTTGGTTTCACGATGATATCCATTTTGTTTTTTGGTCTGTCTCAAATGTATTTTATCATGCTCTATACCATTGAACATTCATGTACACATTCACTATCAGTGACGTCAATCTTGACTATGTATCTTCGGATTGTAGCATCTCTTCCTTGTACTGGCGCTCCAACACCACTTGTGAGACTAGACCCGAGACAACAATTTACTAAATGCCGTAAAATCTCTCGACGGATGTATTTGAATTCGAGAACCGGCTCTTCTTGAGCCCCGAATTTGCCGATCCCCCCACTGCTTGCCGAAGTCCACTTCGGATCAGACCATGCAAATGATTGTTGTACGGACGAGTTAGTGCGAAGTGCACTGGCCTCCGCGTGGACGGACGATGGCGGGGGCACCAATCATAGGGAGGAGGTCCCTGACACTAATCTAACCACTTCATTATTAGAAGTACATCTACTGTTCTATCCTAAAATATGATTGATTGAATCCCAACGAACGCAACAATACAACGTTGCCAAGGCACTACAGCCATATTACTACTGGAGGAACCCAAGCATTTGTCATAGCTTCATTAGAATGAGTATTTCTCTATGATCGACAAGAGCAAAATATAGCACGTGGGCAATGACGTCTAAAAACCGAACTTGCAGCCGGGGGGGGGGAAAACTAGTCCTTCCCCAATCAATGACCCCTGTAATCAAGTGCGCCAGTCTAAAACCATAATCTATATTTGTAAGACCGCGATCATGCGATCACGCTTACAGCTGCTTGTAAACGTGGTCGGCGGAGGTAACCTCCAAGACGTTCTTGGCAGCCTCCTTGGCGGCGTAGGTGACCTTGCCGTGGTCGATGACGATGGCGTAGCGGTAGGTACGGCCCTCGGCGTCAGCCCAGCCGATGCTCTTGGAGAACTTGGCCTCGGGGTCGGAGAGGAAGAGCTGTGAAAGGAGAATGTTAGTCAATTGTCTGGGAGAGGAAATATATGACGAGGAAGAGGATAGAAACGTACAATGTCATCACCGGTGACACCGTTGGCCTTGCCCCAGGCGCTCATGACGTAGGCATCGTTGTAGGCCAGGACGGCGACAACATCGACACCCTTGGCGCGGAGCTCGGGGAGCTTCTGGATGTACTCGGGGACGTGGTTGGCAGAGCAAACGGGGGTGAAGGCACCTGTTGAGATGGTAGCGGTCAGTGGGGGGAGAAGCTTGGTGGATAGGGAAAAAAAAAAATGGGAGCAGCGGTGACGAACCGGGAAGAGCGAAGAGGATGACCTTCTTGTCGGCCCACTCCTTGGAGGCGAAGTAGTTGATGGGGATACCGCAGGAGGTGATCTCGCTGGAATCTTCGGACCAGGGGATGTAGCTTGAAGATGGTTAGTATGGAATTGTTCGTGATCTTTCGGAGTGACTTGGAAGGAGGGGTGGCGGGGTGGCGGGGTTTGGAGGTGGAAGTGCACGATGATGGCGGAATTTGGGGGGGGGAAATTGAGCACATACGAGAAGGTCACGTCCTGGGGGAAGCTGTCACCGGCCTTGAGAGACATGGTTGCGATTATTGGATGGGAGAGGTTGGTGGTGGTGGAAAGAGGAAAAAGAGTGATGGTTGATGAAGAGGAAGAGAGAAATTATAGATTGGAGATAAGGGATGAAGAACTTGGGACCGCCCCCCGGGGGCAAAGAGCGGCTTTAATATTCCGGGCCTGGCAAGTTGTGAAGGGATTACACATATCGGCCCATCGGGATGGTCCATATGACGATGACGAATAGGAGTGGGACTATGGGTACTATCATATAACTCATTGGGCCTTATCCATGAGGTGATCCGAAGCAGAAAGATACCGAACCGCATGGATTAGCAAAAAAGACCGCCCGAGAACTGGCCCGCTGACTGATTTGGCCATGACTAAGAAGTACCTGAACGGTAAACTCGCTTTAAGTGGCTTAGGGTTTGGTACTTTTTCAGTGGCGGGGCCGATGATAAGGCTATTGTTGCCTGGGTGCCTCGAGGGACAACAAGTCGGGATCTGGCTCGGTGTCCGGTTTGGATCATGTGACCGGTGGGTGGCGCTTACCAGTTTTGGCAATTTCCCTTTTGGGCAGGCGGGCATCTTTATGGCCTTAAGAGCCAGGCAATCAGGCAGTCAGGCATCAAACGGAAGTATATTCCCGACTGTATACCCGACATCCTCTCTTCGCAGCAATCTCTCGAAGTCGGGGGAAATCATGGAGACTCGAAACTCACTCAGACTACTATGTACCATTGAGGAACAGAAGATTTCAGGAAGTTCGATCTGCAACCTCACCGGAAGACGACCCTGGCCGGAGTCACCTCACCGCTGCTGTGCCGCGGTGGAGTGGAAAGCCAACGACGATGCACGATCCCATGCAACCTGCATGATTGTCCAGAAGCCGCCATGATATCTTCCTCTTCAAGGCTAAAGATCCCACAGATCATTATTGTCAACTGCCCTCGTGAGATCTGGCCATTATCAACCCCTCCATCGGTAGCATGGCCGAGTCGTCCCAACCACTGGCGGGATGCCCCACGTCCGGCCACCCTCCCGGCCATCATTTCTCTTCATTAGCAAACAGCTTCTTATCGTATCCGACCAGCTGATCGGGCATGATTACGCGGGAAGCTCGGATAGGCACACACGTACCATGGTATACCACTTTCATTCTTGGTACTCGAACCCCTCGCGATCTCGTCTGGCTTCCCCAGTCAGCCTGTCGGGCAGGTCCCCGAGGATGTTCCTCCAGATAACAAGCTCCAGATGATACCGCGGGGAAGCTGGATAGGCGGGGTCGTATCGATAAATATAATGGTTCATCTGGACTGGGAAGGGTAGCCATATCCAGAGTTAGACTCCCAAGACGCCAAATCCGCCGACTACCTGGCACACACAATGGCCCTTTCGTTTACTGGAAAGCCGAGTCCTCGTGTGGGAGAGATCCTTGTTGTGGGATGGAGTACACGATGTGCAAAAAGGTCGACAGGGTTCGCACTGAAGCAACGAAGATTCACATCCACGCTGCAGATCGCCCAAAAACAGACGGCACGAGAAGCTCCATCTCTTCCTCCTTTGTCTGTCCTGCCTACCCGTGTCCTTCTACGGTCTCTTCTGGTGTCGACTATCTCATCCAAATCATGGCTACTATACCCCTCTCTATGGGTTATGTCTATTCTCTCCAAGCCGAACCGAGGCTTCTTACTTAATGTGGACCGCAACCCTATACTCCACGGCATCTTGAAAAAGACCTTTTACGAACAATTCTGTGCCGGCGAGAATGCCGCCGAGACCAAAGCGACTATTAAAGAGTTGAAGGATATGGGATTCCGCGGTGTGATTATGACATACGCCAAAGAGACCGTTTTTGATCATCGTACCAATACTCAACAAGGACTGGGCGTTGCCGCTTTGGAGGCCGAAAAGAATGGTGAACAACTAGATCCTCGCCTAGCCCATCGTGCCAATATCGAAGTATGGAGGAAGGGAACAATGGAAACGGTGGAACAGCTTGAAGCTGGGGATTACCTTGCTGTCAAGTATGTCTCTCAACCGGGGTCTAATTGTCTTCCTTGTTGACAATCACTAACAAAATTCAACAACATAGATTGACCGGGGCTGGTCCTGCGGTCACCGAGGCCTTTTCGAAGGGTGACCTCCCCCCAACACAAATGATCAATGCCATGGATGAAATATGCCAGAGATGCAAGGAGCGCAACGTGCGGATCCTCGTCGACGCCGAGTCCCAGCACTTCCAATGGGGTATCCTCCGATTGACCCTCGACCTCATGCGCAAGTACAACCGGGACGGATACGCCGTCGTCTACAACACCTACCAAGCATACCTGAAGAGCACATCTGACACACTAGCCAAGCACCTTGCCATTGCCCAGCAAGAAGGGTTCACCCTGGGCCTTAAACTCGTGCGTGGTGCATACATGGCCTCTGACGAACGAGGCCTTATCCACGATACCAAGACCGACACCGATAACGCATACAACACCATTGCTCAGGGCGCTTTGAAGCGGACTGTCGGCGACTTCGGAACGACTACCCCCTTCCCCTCTGTTAACCTCTTCCTGGCGAGCCATAACCGCGAGAGTGTCATGGCCGCCCACAATCTCCACAAGCAACGCACCCAAGCCGGACTTCCCACCGTCCCCGTGGGCTTTGCCCAGCTACACGGAATGTCCGATGAAGTGAGCTTCTCCCTTCTCGCCCTGAAGGGAAGCGATGGAACTCCGGAGGTGTACAAGTGCTCTACCTGGGGTGGTATGGGAGAGTGTTTGGCGTATTTGTTGCGAAGGGCTATTGAGAACCGCGATGCGGTTCTGAGGACGAGTGATGAGTATAATGCGCTCAAGGCAGAGTTTAAGCGGAGGTTGAAGGGTGGATTCTCTTATGCAACGCAGAAATAAAGTATTGATGACAATGCCATTAAATGACCTCACTATCTTTGAAATGCTCTGGCTTTTTCCTGTACCCAACTGAGCTCTCATGCGGGATTGTAGTTATGTGTGACGATTTAGTAACCAAGTAACCTGGCGCTACTCTGTCTCCCGATCGAAACTAGTCGCATAGAAAATTTAGAGTCGTCATTCAGATGCTCCTACGGGAGCTCTGCCGAGTGGCGGCTGTGGGAGACAGGGTTCGCCCGCCGCATTTGGTAATTGGGGGATTTGGCCACCCAAATAGGGTTGACAAAACGCGGGGGGTCGATAGGCCAAATGGTTTGATAAGCGATAGGAAGTCGTTACTCTCTGATCTATCGGAGAGTCTAGGCCAAATCTACCCAGATTTGAAGCGTACTATCTATACATTATGCACCAACACGCCGAAATTGAGGATCCGCATGCCTATGGTCTTCATTGGACACCGCCGAAAGAGGTCTAACAATATCCTCCCTAAACTAAAGTGGAATTAGGCATCTACGGTTGATCAAGCATAAGCTTCTCTACTCACATTCCCGGCTCGGACCTTGTTCAATTAGTCTACCCTTTTACACTGTTCATATAATATCAAGACAACCACAAATTCAAGCAAAAAGAGCTTTTGAATCATACATTCGGTCTAGTCAAAATTTCAACCATACAGTAAAAGAACAAACAAACTGCCGCTGACATGCAATCGATCTAATGGTTACTGGGATACCTGTATCCAGTCTGGGGGAAGAACTCTTCCTTAATCAAACGGGGGCTCGTGAAGCGGCGGAGAGTGTCCGAGCTACCAGCCTTATCGTTGGTGCCACTAGCGCGGGCACCGCCGAAGGACTGCTGGCCGATCAGGGCAGCGGTGGTCTTGCAGTCTGGAGAGTGGGGATGTTAGTGACTCTGGCCGGGGTTATAGGTGGAAGAAGTAGTAAAGAAAACTTACTGATATAAAAGTTACCGGCAGAGTAGCGGAGGGCATCCTCAGCCTCACGAATAGCTCTGCGGTCTGATGCGAAGACGGCGCCGGTGAGGGCGAAGCCACCACCGTTCTCATCGACCTTCTTCAGGGTCGAGGACCACTCGGCGTCGGGGTAGACGTACACTGCCAGAACGGGTCCGAAGATTTCCTCGTTGAAGAGTTGGTGGTCGGGCGAGTCGACCTGGTAGACGGTTGGGTGGACGTAGAAGCCAACCGAATCGTCGTAGGTACCACCAGCAACGAGCTTGATGGAAGGGTCCTTGTTGCTCTTGTCAATGATGGACTTGATCTTGTCGAAGGACTTGCGGTGGATGACGGGCCCCATGAAGGCCTCCAGATTCTTGTCTGGGTTTCCGATAGTGATATCCTTCACACCCGCCTTCAATTGTGTGAGGAACTCCTCGGCTTTGGACTCGGGGAGGTACAGACGCGAGGTAGCAGAGCACTTCTGGCCCTGGTATTCGAAGGAGCCGCGGATGGTGTGGTTGACGGCGCTGGAGATGTCGGCGCTAGGGTGGACGAGGTGGAAGTTCTTGCCGCTGGTCTCGGCCACCACGCGAGGAAACTCGCGATAGGCTTTGTTAGCGACACCGGTGGCAATCCTGCCATACAGAGAGCGGAAGACGTCAGAAGATCCGATGAAGTTCAGACCGGCAAAGTCGTGGTGTTCCAGGGCAGCCTCGGTAATGGTCTCCGGGTCACCGGTGACGAATTGGATCACGTTGGGAGGGAGACCGGCCTCCAGGAGAATGTTGTAGACCAAGTTGCTGGCATAGACGTTGGAGGGCGATGGCTTCCAGAGCACGACGTTACCCATCAAGGCGGGACCAGCGATCAAGTTACCACCGATGGCAGTGAAGTTAAAAGGTGAAACGGCATAGACGAAGCCCTCCAGGGGTCGGTAATCCAGCCGACTGCAAAACAGACAATCAGCGGGTGTTCTCAAACTTCTGGGAAATCCCCAGTCAATGGCAGCTCATCCGTTACTCACCTCCACATGCCATCACTGCCACGAGTAGGCTGTCTCTCCAAGATCTCCGCAGCATAGTTGCAGTTGAGGCGGAAAAAGTCTGCCAGTTCAGCCGCAGCATCAATCTCTCCCTGCCAGATGTTCTTGCCCTGGCCAAGCATTGTAGCTGCGATCAAGTCGTAGCGGTACTTGGTGGTCACCAATTCGGCGGCCTTGAGGAAGATGGCAGCGCGGTCGACAAATGGCGTCTCCTCCCACTCTTTCTTGGCCTTGAGGGCAGCATTGATGGCAGCCGTGGTCTGCTCCTTGGTAGCAAGGGGGTAGTTGGTGAATGTAGTCGCGTGTTCGGCAGGAAGTGGTTGATCCCAAGACTTGAGACTCTGTTGGATCTTGCCATCGTAGTAGATATTGCTGCGGACGGGCAGTTGAGATCGAAGCTTGGAGAGAGCTTCTTCTAGCTTGGTACGTTCGTCGGAGCCTCTCTTGTATAGCGGCTAAAAGAGATCAATGTTAGACCAAATTGCAAGTCTATTTTGCGGGACATTTCTTTCTCACGTTTGGTTCATTGCGAGGATCGGGGAGGCGGAAAGGTGCAGTCGCCTTGCCTCGAAGCTGAATCAGAGGCCGAGCAGGCAGAGTCCGCAAACGAGGCGCAACGGACCGCGCTGAGCGCAGGTTCAGGAGTGATGTGGTAGACATGGCGACGCTCTGAGCTGTAACGCAAACTGTCTTACGTCTATTGTGTGTACAGACTGGAGTTTGTTGACGGCGACGCCAGCTTTATCAGGACTGGCCTTTGCAGAGGCATCGGATCCTTGACCGATGTCTGCCGAGCAATACCCCGCTGTAATTGTTTGTTGGAGCTCTGAGGTATGACGCTCTGGCCCTGTGGAGCCAGCGATAAAGCTGTCCCAAGGGTGTAAAGTGGAAAAACAGTATGGGAAAGTATGCAGATCTGACCACCGGAAGCCCTCCCGATGGTCGCGCCCCGCAGTCTGCCGGCACTTATGCGCGACTCGCACGAGACCAAACGAGGAAAGAGACCAGGGCGAACATTAGTCGGCGCTGAGAAAAAAAAAAGTATTATGTGTTGGTATTGAGGGGAGGACACGCCAACGAGCTGGTGCCAAAACTCGTGGATTCGAACACTATCACCATACCATCTATACGAATATGGCCAACCCACCGCCATCTCCTAGTACCATGCAGCAAAGTTCCACCAAGCGCCCACATCGTTGGAACACCTCGCTGCCCAGGCGATTAGCTGGAGATGTAGGTGCGGCAGCAGTATCGGCGACACTCATAACACCGATAATCACAGTCATTGACAGGTTAGCATAGGCATCTCTTCGCGGCACTCCCCGCGTCTAACGTTTAAGAATCCACTAGAGCCCTCGTTGAGAAGTCCTCATTCAATCAACCCATCATTCGTGGCCTACGAAATCATACACTTGTTGCCCTTAGGAATCCCGCGCGGTTTGTCTTCCAAGTGCCTTTTGGTCTCATCTGGACCTTGTACACAGCCACCTACGCGGTTGCAAATGGAACCGATACAATCGGCACAGAGCTGAAAGCTCCCGCGACGGGGATGATAACATTCCTCTCAACAACTATCGTGAATGTACCGCTAGGTGTATGGAAAGATATTCGATTTGCCAAGATTTTTGGAACACAAAAAGGCCCCGACAGTGTCGAGACGGTGCGAAAGTCGGTCGTGCAGAACAAAGGCATTGCACGAGCTGCGACGGCCATGTTCCTTGCTCGCGATAGTATTACTATCTTTGGTTCTTTCACGCTCGCTCCCAGACTTGCAGCTGTGATACCCGATGACTTGACTAGTCACCCGCACGCGAAGCCGGTAATTACCCAGCTGACCGTGCCGGTGTTGACTCAATTGGTTGCGACGCCGCTACATTTGTTCGCACTTGACCTTTATATACGGCAGCATCATGTGCCACTGTCAGATCGAATCGTGCAGTCTCAGCGTCATCTAGGGTCGACTACGGTGTTTCGATGTATTCGAATCATTCCCGCTTTTGGATTTGGGTGTTTGGCCAATATGGAGTTGAGGTCAATGTTTCATGGGAAATTAGAAGTAGGAACTTGAGTTGCTACGAGGAAAGAGAGTCGGTCTATAGTTGAGATCCCAGAGAAATCATGGAGCAAGCATTCGAGAAGTAATATCGACGGCATAGATGGTATTTTGCTTCTTCCAGTTATGTATATAATAATGGACTTAATGCCGAGTGTCATTCACATGCTCCGTGGTCTCCATAAGACGAGCCAGCGTCACTGCTTCGCGAAGAGCACGTCCAATATGACCCCGGACGCCCGCCTCTTCCATCACCATTAGTCCACCAATCGTACATCCCTCTGGAGACGTACCTTGGTCCCTGAGTACAGCCGGGTGCATCCCACTTTGGAGCATCGTGGCCGTTCCTTGCATGGACTGGAAAATCATAGTATGTGCCAGGTTCCGCGGCACGCCCACCGCGACGGCAGCATCAATCAGCGCGTCGCAAATTACTGCAAAAAATGCCGGTGTAGACCCTCCTACGGCAGTCGTCGCATTCATGAGTCTCGGCTCAATCTGCACGGCGCGCCCGATGCGCTCGAAAATTGCCGTCGTGAGTTTCAAGTAGGACTCTGGCGGAGAGGGCTCGGAGACCTCGATCGCTGTCAGGGACTGCGAAACCTGCGCCGCAATATTGGGGAGAGTGCGTATGACCCAAGCCCGGTCGGCCTGGTTGGCATTGGTGGTTTCGCTTCCGTAGATGGTTTCCTCGAGCTTTTGTCTGGTCCAGCCAGCTGCGATGCTAATTAAGAGTTTACGCTCCAACACTTCCGGCAGGCCTGGTTGCTTCAGAACATTCTCAATGTCGGCGGGGTCCACGCCTAGGATAATCACATCGGAATCGCGGGCGGCCTGAACATTGTTGCCGCGAGAGATGGAGAGTCGATTCTCGTGTTGGGGATATTTCTCTGCTAGCTTCTTCTCCGAGGCTTCGCTGCGGACACAGGCGATGAATCGACTGAACAATGGATCGCTATCTCCCGTACGGAGCAGACTGTTCAAGATGGCTGATCCTAGGTTTCCTATATTCAACCGATTAGTGTCGAGAATGCTCGCGGCTTCTCCATTCGCTTACCACATCCCAGCAGGCACAGAGTTTCCGTTTTCGCTGCTGCCATTGTGATCAGATGAAAGCGACTGCAAGATTCTATCTTGCACCTAACTCAAGCTTTGAAAAATGACAAATGACACCAAACAAAAACTCCGTGAGACAGTCAAGTTGCCCCTCGCAGTCAACCCTCATCGGGAGGGTGCCCGAGTGTAAGTGGAGACTGTCGCCTCCCGCACGATTTGGGCGGGCGCTTCCTCTTCTCCTCTTCTCCTCTTCGCCTCACCCTCCGGTCCACTCGGTAGGTCGTCCCGACTGATAAGGATGGGCCCCACAGTAGCTACCCGTGCTCGTCGCAAAAGATGCCGATCCTAGGAAAGAAATTGCGTATATGCGGGGTACATCGTGCGTATCAGGAGCAATAAATATCATCGGGCGGCGGGCACACCGACGAGAAATAACTAAGTCAAACTCGGGCTGAGTGACCATGGGCGTTTCCAAATCGGACGCTATTCTCATCGTGGGAGGCGGTGCTTTTGGCCTCTCTACGGCCTTTCATCTCGCGCAGAAAGGATATACGAATGTCTCTGTATTCGAGAGAGATGATCATATTCCCCCGCGCTACTCTGCGGCCAATGATTTGAACAAGATCGTGCGCGCTGAGTACGAGGATCCTTTCTACACCGACTTGACGATTGTATGTATGCACAATGGCGATTGGGGACTGTTTCAAATCTGCAAAATATTCTAACCATGGTCGGCACCATCTAGAAAGCAATTGCCGCATGGAAGACTCCCTTGTTCGCCCCTCATTTCCACCAGACCGGATTCCTCCATTGCGTGTCCGGCGATGCGCCCAAAGAAGCAATCGATACACTGAACAGATTCCGCGATTCGGCTGAGCGCAACACTCAGATCCAACCGTATGTGTCGGCTCTAGACGGAGAATCAGATATTCGTGAGGCCTGTTGGCAGCTGGATGGGCCTCTTCCGGGCTGGAAGGGGTACTTCAATCGCTTCGATGGGTATGCCCATTCCGGTAACGCTCTGGCTGGGATTTATCGCGCAGCTCAGGCTGCCGGAGTACGATTCTTCCTGGGTGAGCAAGGCACCGTGGACGAAATTATCTACGTCAGCACCGTCAATGGACGCAAGTGTGCTGGTATTCGAACAAAGAATGGCCGATTCCATTCGTCTCGCCTAGTCATTGTCGCAGCCGGCGCCAACGCGGGTCGTCTGGTTCCGCAGCTTGGACAGCAGGTCGTTGCCAAGTCATGGTCCGTGGCTCACGTCCAATTGAGTGATGATGAGACCTCGGGTCTCCGTGGAATCCCGGTGACTTATGCCCGTGATCTGGGATTCTTCTTTGAACCAGACCCGAAGACCAACTTGTTGAAGCTGTGCCCGATGGGTGGTGGATATATCAATACTGATCCTCAGACGGGCGTGTCGCTTTCACCAGAGTCATTGATAGAGAGCGCCTTCGTTCCGGAGGAAGACGAGAAGCAGATGAGGAAACTGTTAGCTCAAACCTTTCCATCTCTAGCCGACCGGCCCCTTGTCAAGAAGTCTCTTTGCTGGTTTGCCGATACAAACGACTCTGATTTCATTATTGACTACGTGCCCGATCTGGAGTCCTCACTCATGCTTTTATCCGGTGATTCGGGCCACCTGTTCAAGATGTTCCCCATCGCTGGTTCCTGGGTGACGGATCTCCTGGAGGCACCGGATAACAAGCAGGCTCTTGCACGTTGGCGGTGGAAGCAACCCGATCCCAACGCAGGACAGGATTGGGGAGGTGCCGTGAGCTGGCGTCTTGGTGAATCCAAGGAATTCTCTGCCATCCGGGCTCCAAAGGCCTCGAAGCTGTAAATAAGTCCCGATTGATGGTAATTTGATGATAACGTTGGTTAGGACGTCTTGCCGAGTGCAAGATGACCTTAAGATAGATTACATGGCTGACTTTTGCATTATTACCTGAAACACCTTAATCAAAGAATCATGTCAGCACTCCTTTCTACCGAGACAAAGAATTCAGACTAGACGAACCATGGAAATAAATCAGTTTCTTCAGATTCTTTCATTGAATGAGAACTCTCATGTGATCCGTCAGTATGTAGCTTTGTGAATCATTTCTGCGAATTCAGGCTAATCGTCCTCGAGTTGTCTAGTACCATTGATCTGGCGTGAAACATAGCATAATCTGCTTTGTTTTCCGAAGTTAAACCACCCCACAAAGATCTTCCCCTTCAATTGAAAAGAAAGGCTACGTCTCCAGAGAACATCAACAGAAACTCTCTACAACAATCAGCAACTCCTCCCTACAATCTAAGAAGTCCCCTCCAACCGTTTGACACTATCGATAGGGAAGCTGACACTACAGCGGTTTATGATATAACAACCATCCCCATACTCTATGAAAGGTAACACCATCAAGTGCTCAATCATAGGATCAAAGCTAACCATTCTACAGATGTGTCTCCTCGCAGTCTTGGATCATTCCAGCAAATTCGGCTGCGGCCACATCTTCATCGCCGGTCTCCAGAAATGTCCCGAATCCATTCAGCGGCATAACCAACAGCCTTGCATAATCATAGAAGAGACCTATTTCAAGCCTTACTCGGTAGTTTGGCACAAGTATGTGAAATACTTCGATCCTCGGAACTCTAAAGTGGCGGGTCCTTGTCAGGCGTGCAAGGATGATGGGTGGCCGAATTTTTTCTGAAACGGTTTGGACTATCAAGGGTGTCTCCATGTACGCGAGAGCTCGCGATGCACATTTCTATTGCATTGCACGTGCTGTTTGCTGGATACCACTTTTTAGCGCGGGTGAGAAGGGATTAAGGTGTCTCTAGCTTGCTGGCGACATGTTACAAATATTAGCATAAATTAAGGTTTTGGTATTATCAATGGAACTTGATAAGATTTCGATTCAAGCATTGTCATTTATTCATCAGCATCAATTAATCTACCAAATACTATGTTCAATCATCGCATTGGACATCCACTCCGTATCAATACCTTCTATAGAGTCCGCCACCGCCATAATCTGCGCCGCCGTCCACCCACTCGTAAAAATAGCATCGTCTCCCAGCCCAACATCGGACTCGGACATTAAATCATGGTTGATTACATGTGTAGATGGTGGAAAAGAGCTAGCCAAGCTCCCATGTGGTTGATTGAGGACATTGTTCGGGAATGATACCGGTGCTGAGAGGCGTCTGGGTTGATCGTGAGGGTAACAACTTAGCAGTTCATCTAGAAGCTGTAACTCGGAGCGTCGAAACTTGGCTATCAGGTTTCCATTTTCGATGATTTCTTCGAAGATTGTATATGCCTTTTCGACCCATAGTGGGTAGTTCCAGCGGATGTCGATGGCGGGTCCGATGAGAAGGACTACTGTTGAGACGAAGATGGAGTCGAGGTCGAAGGAGAGGAATGTTTCTAGGAAAGAATACGTCAATGACAGTTCCTATGGAATTAGGAGTCAATGATCAGGGGTAGATAATTTACCGAGGAGGCCTTCCGTTTGGAGGCTGTGAAGGATGCTGATGATTTGTTGGGAAGACTCCATGCACATTTGGATCAAGTTTCGGACGTTCCGAGACGTGTTCAAAGCATCCGTGCAATGTTGTGGCGATTCAAAGCGGATCTTCAAAAAACAAAAGAGAAGCGGTCGGGTTGCGAGCACGATGCACTGGTGATAGAGCAGGTGAAGGTATGCGGATGTTCTGGAAACCCCATTCGCCGATCGATCCGCTTGTAATGGGAAACTCTCTTGCAATTCATCGGCCAGACGTGCAACGCTTGCCAGAGCTGTTTTAGTCCGAAGCAAGAAGTTCCGATTCAATCGACCATCGATTGCATAGACAGCTATGAGAAACAATTAGTTGAATCGCCAAAAGGCCTGTATACCTGTGAGTACTCACTACTGTTTATCTCCGCAATAATTCGAGACATCTTTATTTGCATGCCGATTCCAGCGGTCTTCTGTCCGGCGCCGGGAAACGTGGGGAGAAGGGCGTTTACATGATCATCATTCAACGATTGAGGCAGGCCCATGAGTGAAGTCATCTCACGATCCATGATGTATACCGTCCACCAGATCTTGCGGCATCTTTGCACAAAGCTTTCTCCGAGGTACTCGATCGGCATTTGAGTGTGAAGGCCTTCGGCCATTGCCATTCGCATGGCTTGTCCAATCTATAGACAGCAATGATTAGCAAAATTATCTGTATGCATCATAAAATAGAAAAAGAACTTACATAGTTGTGAGCGGAAGAGCGGTAGTCCAAGGCTTGCAGATACAGCGCCACGCAGCACAAGATCTCCGTAGACTCAATAGGCTCCTGATGAAGAACACTGACGTCCGGAAGTAATTGAAGGGCCTTTACAAAGTATTCCGCCCCTGCTGGTTTATTCCCCTGCAGTTTATGCTGAACGAAGCCTTTGCCGAATGCCAGGATCAAAAGGAAGTGGATATACCACAGCCCTGCCGTGGCATTCGGCTGGGGGCCCGAGTAAAACTCGTGCAAATTCCTCATGAAATCGGTTTCATCATAGAGGTGGTAAAGCTGCCCGCAGCGAAACTTGACAACGTTGATGAGGTAGAGTGCGTGGTCGAAGGTGGGAACGGCCGGGATTTCTGGATCCTGTGGTCTGCGCAGGCCATTCCAACCAAGGTCATAGGTCGTGCCATCAAAGATCAAGGCTCCTGTTGGTAGAGCTTCTTGATAGATGTGTTCGTGCGTTAGACTCAGGACTCGGCGGGTGAAGGACCAGTTTGATGAAGTTCCTAGATAGACTAGCCCGGGACGTTAGAATGGCCCAGACGACCACCGTGGGTTGGCCACGTACACGTTCTTCCATTCTCTGCTGACATGAATGCCGGGGGTCCAGTAGAAAGGGGGTTCGTTAGTCCTGACGCAGGATCCTCTAGCTCATGATGGATGTCTTCGTTGTCGGTGGGTGTAGACTTGGCATTATCTGATATATCATTTTGGTCTTTGAGATCTACGATGCACCTATAGCATTAGCCAGGTAAGCCTGGTGAAGTAGGGAAATGAAACCGACCAGGCGATCTTTCCTCCGCATATTCAGGGCTGAGAGGACTGTGATTCACTCGGTCGCTCTGTTGGAAAGTAGCAATTTTCTGCAGTAACTCATCGATATACCTATACCGGGGTTAGTCACTCTTGTCTTCAAGAGCGTTGTGAGCTAGACAATCAGACACATACCCTCTCGTGACTAGAATCTTCTGATCACGATCATCAAAGATACAAGTAAGCTTGCGCTTATTGCAACCATCGCAGGGCTGCGATCCAGAACACTTGATCTTTTGCCTGCGACATCGAGTACAGCTATCGGCAGTTCGACAGCCATATTAGCAATCCCAGTCATCTCTTGAGGTCCCCTATAGCGTTCAAGATAGTACATACGCATTCAAAGATCGTTTAGCAACGCGCGGACCGCTCCCCGCCATGATTGCGATTGATTGTAAGTACCGGGTGTGATGCCGTTGAAGCCGGGAACTCGAAATTATCAATGGAAGTGAAAATGCGGGGGAATCTGGCTGGCGGAGCCGCCTCTTGGTGAGATAAGGGAGGGGGCGAATAACATTTGTAGAGCTGCTGCAGATAAACAAACTTTTGCCACTTATGAATATCTGGTCAAGTCTATGTAGATAAACCAGCAGGCTATTAGTCTAGTAGATTGATTGTCTCGAGCAAAAATACCTTCTAAATTAAAGAAACCGTGTACATTTTTTCACTTCGAATTGGCAGTTTGATTCTTATACTTTCTGCCCTCCACATCCTCTGCAGACTTTAGGACTATCCAAGCACCTCCTATAGAATAATGGTTATATGCTTCCTCTCTGGTATCTGACGATAGTCTCGGTACCATATCTCCATGATTCCCGCTACTCTTCCGTCCGCTTATCACGCAGGTGTTGCTCCGTCCACTGTGGGCAACCCTTCTCAGAGATAGTCTGTTCCCAGGTTCCAGTCCAAGGTTGACATCTGACATCAGTAGTCAGATAAGAGTCCCCATAACGGCGGGTTTCAACCCCAGATCTTCGTTAGCTGGTGGGGATCACACGACATCTAGTTCATGGTGCATCACCTACGGGAGGGTAGCCGGTCGTTATACACGGACCTCTACTGATAAGATTCTCCGCCGGCTGCCCTTCCGATGCCCCTCACATGTCAGAGGGATGTCATCTTGCCAGACCTGTTCAATTATCTATTGATCTATGGCTGTTATTTTCAGGGTCCCGCCATCAAGTAAATCATAAGATAAGCACATTCACGAAGATCACTTGACTATTCCACGATGTCGATCTGTAAGGTGTATATATGCCTGAATTCTAAGGCTGTGAATGCACCTAGATCATACTCCCGAGAGATTATCGTCCTCCCTTGTCAGTAGACCCCTGCATATTGACAGTCAATCGCTTTCTATGCCCTCGCTCCAAGTAATATCTCCTCTCATCAGTGCTGGGCTACCTTTTTAGCCCGTATGATGTCTCTCGTCTTACAAGGCTTTGCAAGACGTGGCCAATTCACACGGAAGTACTCTGGCACGAGTTGCTCTTGCGTGGTTGCTGGCGCAGGGACCGGATATTATTCCCATCCCTGGGTCAAATCGACTGCAAGAATGGATGAAAATCCGGCGTCGGCCCTTCTTCACTTAAGCGACCAGGAAGTGCAAGCAATTCGAAAACTGGTGGAGCGATTGGTGATTAAGGGGACTCAGTACCCTGCCGAGTCCGTTTCTTATTTTGTGTATTAAATATGTAGTGTTGACCGATCTCAAACCATGATGGCCACTCTGTACTCAGATACTCCACCACTAGACGCGACAGCTAAATAGATGAAAGCACGAGGCAATGCGGCTTACCCCAAAGTGGGCGAAAGGGTGGTTTACGCTGGAGATTGTTCATTTGATTTGGACGGCCGTGGCATGCGCGGTTTTCGCGTCCACGCGCAAAAGCGTCCCAGTCTGATCTCCCTCGATTAATTCAGTAACAATCTTAACTACTGGGTACAATTCAAATAAACTAACATGGATCAATTATTCGCGAACATAAAATCTCTTGATTCATCATAGCTATCATGTAGACTAAACTTTGAGCATGTCTTGTGCTCGTCATTCGGCGTACAGGTAACCGATAGTCTTACCAGGGTAGTTCAGAATATATACTTCCAAGGTGGGTGACCCGGTCTCAGCTGCCTGCCCCGAGACGTGCTCCAGGTAGAAATAACATCTTTGCATATCAAGACCTAACAACAAAAACTAGATAAATTCAACATAAATCATCACCAATGTTTTTGGCTGATAGGGACCTCGTCGACATCAACGCCGTCGACAAACCAGCGCCCGTCCCCATTCCCGTCCGGCCCGAGCAACAGATCGTTCCCACTCATCATACGCTTGCACATCTTCCCCGTCTCACGATCAAAAGTCCAATCCTCCAAGCCATAGCACCTCTTCCATCGCATCCCATCATCCGCATCTTGGTACTCATACCAGAATTGAACCGCGATGCGATCGTCCTGGAAAGCGAACAGCTCCTTGCGCAGACGATAGTTGTGCTCGCGCTTCCATTTGGCCGTGAGAAACTCGACAATGTCGTCCGTCCCCGAGAAGAAGAAGGTACGGTTACGCCAGATGCAAGTGGGGGTGTATCCTTGTGCGACTCGAGAGGGATCCCTTTCGTATGGTTAGTTCGAGTAGATCTCGGGGAGAGTCTGCTACGTCATCTCCATGTGACTGGACGGAGGGGCCTTCAGAGAATGAAGTCCACGACGGAAAAGATGATCAGAAGCCAGCATGGTTGGCCCGGAATAGGTATGCTCGCATGTGTGCAGGGTCTCGCACGGACAAAAACATTGGAGATCAGAAGAATGCAAGGGATGAGAAACCCTCGACGCCCTTCCTGCGGCCACATGGTCTCCGGGCAGGGTGCAGGTCGGGATGCGAGACGAGGAAAATGGAAATCAGAGCTCACTGGGTGTTCCACATGTTCTGAGCAGCCTTGACCTTCTTTCTGGCCGTCTCTTCGGTAAAAGGAGGCTTAATATCGGCCATGGTTGGATGGATTACTGTCGTTCGTTGTCAGACTAGGAGACGTAGAGTGGTTTAGTGAAGGAGGATAATTCGGTCCGTCGCGACCGTAGAACTAACTATATGCCTGTAAGCAATATATATCTCGAGTGGATGTACTAGTCCAGGCTGCAACAACTAGACCGCCCAATGTCTACGAAAACGCCGCGCCTCTCTATCCACTATTACAATCCTGTAGACCGCCTAATTGTCGTAAGCTGGTATTCGGGATTTGCACGATGACTGATTTCGTGTGGAATTTATCTTTTGGGGGCCCAAAAGTCGGACGGTACAAAGAAAACTGATCCCGAAGGTCTTTTGGCCCCGGCTTCATTGATTGGACGGAATTAAAGAGGTCTGACCAGTCAAAGATAAAGAGGTTTTATTAAGGTGCATCGCCTCTACTTATGATGATTTCTAGAGCTTTGAAGCTAAATCCCGTGTACTTTGCCTTGACCACGATACCGACTTCACCTTCAGCGCAAAAAAGCAAGAGAGCTCGGACGCATATCAGCTATGAAACGGCCATCAGTCAAGTCTTGTTGATAGCAATTGACCGCTGCATCGCCCACTTTCTTGCACTGAGAAGCAGCCAGGTCAACTCTCTGGTTGAAGCTTACAAAGAAGCCAGTGGAGGTTGGATGAATGCTAACCCCGACCAATTGATCACGGGCGCGATCGAATTGGTAATTTGGAAGTTTTCCCGTCCAATAGGACATTTAAGAGATCAAGGGTAATTAGCCTAGTATGGAAACTTGTCAGGTGTGGCACAAAATACATAACTATAGACTGTTGTGTGTCATCGGGCGACCTGATGGCGTATGTCCTCCTCCATGTCACCCAGGATGTTAAATTCGGACGAACCAAGACTAGTTACAACCTTGAAAATCGAAATGAACTCACATTTAGATTTGACAAGGACTCTAGGGAGAGGGAATGCCGATTGATAATAATGTGGGTTGACCCCTTGGAAGACGACAGCGCGATAACCCAAAGCGATAAGACGACAACCCCCTACCGTCGACTTGGAATGTATACACCAAGTTTCCTTTCCCGATGCCAAACAACGGTGAACAAATGATTGTTATGAGAGCCACTTGTTTGAGTGATGCTTTTTTGGCTGGTGGATGCACCGTCGATCTGCCGAAATTAGGTTCGAGTAGCCCGTGCTGGTAAACAATCAACAGGAAGCTATACACCTGCCAACGAAACCAGTATAGCCTCACCAACCGCCGCGTGTCAAGGCGACTGATCACAAAAAAGCCATAATGAACGGAAACATGAAGTAGTCTTATTGTACTGGTTTGATAATGTAGGATCGATTGAAGAGACGCTTAAGAAACTAAAATACGTAGAGACGAAGGTGGTGATCCGGGGGCATTCCAACTCGATCAGACGGCATCTCCTCTTTCCTCCATTCCACAACAGTCGTGCTGAGGCATGCCACTACTACCTCCCTCCCCAAAGTCTCTTCCAGATCTTTCTCATCTGTTCCCCTCACCCTGAAAGCCCTGCGACTGACTGGCGACGCGACTTCCTCACCTTCGTGTCGACTACCCTCATTGCATCGGCATCGGGTCCTCAGCTCCCGCTTTGCATCCTTTTCTCGTCGACTAAACCTTGCAATGTTGTGCTAGCCAGTCTTTTGTCACTCGTTCATTCTCACACAGATATTGCTGTTGTCGTTCTTTACCAACCTTCCCTTCATCTTGCTTTTTTGTACGCCCACTCCAAGCGAGTGTTTGCTTTCTTAATTTTACCCTCTTCTCGTGAGTCTTTGTTTATGTTGGAAGTCGCGACTTGTTACGTGAACTCTGGGCTAACAAGGTTTAGGTTTACCCCCTCATCAACAAACCACATATTGATGTGCCCAGTGTCCAATAACCGACCACACCATTCAGAACCATGGACTACGCCATGTCGGATCAGTCTGACTCTCATCGCAGGCGCCAGCCATTGACCGACGCATCCAGCAGAATCAATCATGCCAAAGCGGCCAATACCGAAACACCTCGTGTACGTGTTGAGCACAGGGACCATCTGAAGACTCCAGACCGTATGTCCGTCGGCACGAGTTCGACTCCTCGAGACAACAAAGAGAATCAACGGTTATCTGTAGCCACGGATTTCCAACCCGAGTCTGCCCGCAACTCGGTGATGTCTGCTGCGTCAATACTCTCCAACAAGGGCAAGAGAAAGACCCATGTGGGACCATGGCAATTGGGTCGAACCTTGGGCAAAGGTGCCACCGGACGCGTTAGGCTCGCCAAACATGCCTTGACAGGACAGACTGCGGCCATCAAGATCGTCTCCAAAAAGTCGGCTGCCATGGTGCAAAGCGAAAGTATTGCAGCAATGGACCGGACTGCAAGCACCTTTACGGGAGCTTCAAATGCTCGACAAATGCCCTGTGGTATTGAGAGAGAAGTGGTCATCATGAAGTTGATTGAGCATCCCAATGTAATCAGCTTGTATGATGTCTGGGAGAATCGTGGCGAGTTGTGCGTGCCCCCCTTGGAAATGCTGCCGCCATCTTTGAAGGGAAAATTGCTAATGAGAAATAGGTATCTCGTTTTAGAGTATGTGGAAGGTGGTGAGCTTTTCGATTATGTCTCCAACAATGGACCTCTACCGGAAGAAGAGGCCGTGCGTGTGTTCCGCCAAATTATTGCTGGGCTAGGGTACTGCCATCGATTCAACATTTGCCACCGTGATTTGAAGCCTGAAAATATCCTTCTTGATGGCAATCACAACGTCAAAATCGCCGATTTCGGTATGGCTGCGCTCCAGCCAGCAGGACACTGGTTGAATACATCTTGTGGAAGCCCCCACTACGCTGCACCAGAGATTATTTACGGGCGCAAATATCGTGGTGACCGGGCTGATATGTGGAGTTGTGGAATCATTCTATACGCTCTACTGACCGGCTATCTTCCATTTGATGGTGGCGATCTTGCCAATACGCTGCGACTAGTGAAGAAGGGTGACTATATGATCCCTCCCGAGCTGAGTGACGAGGCTGCAGACCTTATCCAGCAGATTCTACAAAAACGGCCAGAGGATCGCATTCCAATGCACGAGATCTGGCTGCACCCACTGCTCACCAAGTACGAGAAGCTTCACAATGCGATGGCTGACTACTACATTGGACCTCCTCCCCCTTTGTCCATCAAGGACTGTGGAGACCCAGTAACTTCTCGCCAAGACGTCGACTTTGACATTCTGCGAAATCTCCAGACATTGTGGCATAATGTTAACCCGGATACATTGATTGATCGAATGATGAGTCTCGAGTGAGTCGCATTCATCACCAGCTTTCAAGTAGTTCTCTCAAGATACTAACATCATCCGTAGACCAACCCACGAGCGAATGTTCTACAATGCTCTCGTCAAGTTCCGGGATGAACAGCTGGAAAACTACCAGGGTCAGCCTTTGGAGTATTCGGCAAGTGATTACCATCACATCTCTCGTCCAGGAGACAGAGTCCGCCGGGGACGGAGTTCTTCTAAGAGACGATCTCAAGTTTCCGCGGTCAAGGAACTTCATCGCCGGATGAGCGCAGCAAAGGAGCCCAAATCCAGTGCAAGCATCGAGAGCTACGATCCTTACAGATCACCCAAGGTTAGAACTCCTGCGAAGGAGGTGCAGTTTGCACATATCACGATCCACAAAGCCTCCGAGGTTGCAGAGCAAGGGCAAGTCACTCCTGCTGCGAAGCCTCCACCGTCTATTGTCGAGGAGGAAGAGCCAGAGGATATACATGATGTGACGCCATCACCGTTCACTGTCCTTCAAAAGCGCAAGCACAAGCCGAACTCGATGAAGTCATTCCAGTCATCGAAAGTACCTCATTCTAGTTCGCGATACCTTGGGTTGTCCACTCGATCAACCAGCTATCGGCGTAATGTTTCGTTCCATCACGTACGGAACAGATCCCAAGGATCTACCAAACCGAAGCGCAGAAGGACCGGCACAAACCAGCACTCTGACCTCAAACGTTCGCCTAGTGCAGCCAGCTTGAAAATGATCGCAGATGATCTCGTCGTACTGGATATTCCGAGCAGTCCTCCTCTTCCAGCTCAGCCAACTGTTGTCCGGCCTAGCAGTGCTAAGGCTAGGAACCTCGCCCGTGAGAGAAAGGTTCACCAGTCCGACATGATCTGGACAGAGGATGCTCGCAAGGTATCAAATGAGCTCGGCAAGATCTGTGAAGAAGCATTCAATGGTAGCTCCCTTACGACGATGCGTGTTTCTAGCTCTGCCACAGGTTACGAAACACCGGGAACACCTGTATCAGTTTCGAGTCCACAACAGCGAACAGTACTGCCGGTGACGGACACAGTGGCAGTTCCAAAGGAAGTAATGAATGAGCCTGGTCGATCCTACAGTATCCAAGAGCTAACCGAGACACGTCGGAAGCTGGTTGAGCACAGTAAGGGATGCAGTGACAATATCCCGGCGTATTTATCTGGGGTCATTGGTCACCTCGACCGCTTGATTGAAGAGGACCCGGGCCATGGTCAATCACAACGCAAGATGGAGGAAAGCACGTCGACCCTTGTGGATCCTTTCAGCGGAGGAACCGAAGATACCTCCCTGCCCGTGATTAATGAGGAATTCGCCAGTCCCGTCCGTGCCCCCAGCGAATACAGTCCCATGCCGAAGCCCCAGACGAAGGCGCGAGCATCCGTTCCCACGAGCCGTGCCAATGATGCCAAAACAACCATCCGAATGGTTCCCCATAGCTCGCTACGATCCATTGAAGAAGTCAAGCCATTGATGATTCGCAAGAAAGTCCAAATTAGTGATTCGGATGTTGTCAATAGCGATTCCGCAGAGGCCTCACGCAACTTCTCCCTGAGTTCCCGTCAAAGTCGCCCCCTTGGCGGGCTGGATCCAATTGAGGAAGTCCCAGTATCCCCGAGAAGAACAACTGACAATAGAAAGTGGTCATGGTTCAAGCACCGCTCGCAGGTCCATGACAATCCGCCATCTCTGCCGGTCATGGACACGAAGCCCATTATTTCGGAGAAGGGCTCAATGATCGTTAATCCGCCACAGGACCTTTCCCAGCCAGATTCACCCATGCCTATCATGTGTCCTGATGAGCAGAGAGTACCGACTCGCAAGTTGTCGATGGATCGCTTCGGTGGCGGCTTCTTCAAGAAGCTCATGCCAAAGAAGTCCAACAAGTCCCTCTCTTCCCAAAAGACGGGTATGTTCAGCTGTCTCCCACATCGGCACAACTTGCTGACGACCCATGAAGACATGGAGAAGCCCAGGCCAAAGGATATTCGAAATTCTAAAATGCTCTGCAACGTGCTCCCGGACCCGGAGAGCTCCGTCGACTCGGTCAACGACATCAATTCCCCTCGAAACAAACGTCTCTCGGTTGCCAATCAAAACTGGTTTGCTCGGGTATTCCAAATTAAGCCAGCGTGTCGAGTGATCGCCTTGAATGCCTCTAAACTCAAAGGTCGCAAGGAGGTGTATAAGATGTTGCGTGAGTGGAAGGAGTATGGAATGGAAAACGTGCACATGGACAAGAGTAACAGTGTTGTCCATGGTCGAGTCAGTGAGGTCAACTGTAAGTCTCCATCCCCCTATTCAAAAAGATACATTGTTGACGAAGTGCTAGTCCTTCGCCTTCGGGAGGTTGAGTTCGTCGCAGAATTCTACACCGTGCTTGAACATGGGCGCCAAGCCAACCTTAGCCTTGTACGATTCAAGCAGGAACGTGGCGCTGCATCGTCTTTCAACAAGGTGGTCGACACCGTTTACATGATGTTGAAGAGCCGTGGCTTAGTTGTCGAGGACCCTGTCCGAGCAAAGAAGATGGCGCGCGTTCTAGACATTGTCCCCTCTTCCCCTTGATCCCCCCATGCATACCTGATCTAAGCCAGTTCTTCTCCTCACTTTACTACCCAGTCTCGCGGTAACACCTCTCGCATTGCTGCGTTCCAGCCCTGCAAAAGCTTTCACCAGATCTCTTGTTTGATTTTACCGTCTACATTCAAATACTCACTCACACTCGCTTGCATTTCATTTTCCAACATACCAATTCCTCCGTCGAGCCTGGTCCTGCTCGGCAAGTCAGAACCTTCCGTTCATTCTCTCCTTCATACCTTTGTTGTGCTTGATTCGTTTGTTGCTGCTATTGGTTCCAACTTCTACACGTTCCCTGTTTCGAAAACCACATCATCCCCTTCTATGCATTTCGCATCTCAGTCTTCCCCATTGCACCCTTGTGAACTTGCGTTTCCGTTGCCTTTCTCCTACATGCTCATCTAGTCAGACACCTCTATGTAATTCATAATCGCAGCATGTCCGTCACTAGACCAGTTTGCTCGATTGATTCCTCTATTTTTGACACGCTGGGTCGAAAAGCATTGGAATCGATGAGTCCGTGTAGTTAGTGAAATCAATCAATTCAATATTGTTGAAACACGATGGGGAACTTGACGGAAGCTCCTTTCCCATAAATCTCATTCCTGATACCCTTCGATCTAGTCGTGAACACCCATCGGGCTCACGTGCAAACATGGAAAACCCCCTTCTCCCACCGAATACCCTGATCCTCGGCCATGGCTGGTCTCTGCAAAGCCAAACCAGTCTGCCTGGCTACGCCCTGGACAAATTCCCACTCAATTTCAACGTGACTAAGAGGGACTGGCACATATTTCGCGCCGAGTCACCCGGTGACGATACCGACACGGTTGCCCTGGATGATCAGCGCATTGCGTAATTCGATATCAGCTCTTACGGCATCGCCAATCCAACCCTTATATCCCCGGCGAAGTGTACGGGAGTTTCGCCTTTGCTCCCTGGCAAGATCAAGCTTCCTTGCGTGAGGAATGTGAAAGTCACACTCAGAACTGGTAAAAACGTGTACAGCAACCCAATCACATCGGCCGATGTACTGGTCGAATACGACGTTCAACTAGACACGCATTACTTCTGCCCCGACCCTGGTAAACGTGACTGTTCCTCATGGTTAGATGATCGTCCCATCTTGGCACGGACGGTCAATGTGGGCTCTCAACAAGTCGAATATGTCTGGGGAACCTACCGAGGAATCCCGATTAACACGCTTCCAGTCCGTTAGAGGCGGAGGGGGCGTTGATTCAACGACGAATGTGGATTTGTTCATTATGGACTACGAGTTTGATTTCATGCGGGTTGTTTATGCTTATCGGGTTCGTTCGGGGAATGATACCTTCTTGCAAAAGGTTTGGCATCGCATGTGTTATGACTATGAGCTATGCGTTGTCTAGGTCTTTGGATCAGAAGATTCAGTTGTTCGGTGCCCCGTATGGGAGCACTGGAGCCTCATCTGGCGAGAGGGGGCAGGCGCTTAGCCCTACTCATACGGTCTCTATAATCATGGGTCTGGAGCGGATGGACGAGATAGCACGCTTTATTGGTGATTATGATGCTGCGGCGTTCTACCAGGCACACAAGCTCAGCTCTCGCAAGATGATTTCGATACCCTACTCTGGAACGAGACTGCCGGTTACTATGCCGCAGCTTCGGGTGATTGTGGCTATGATCTCATGGATATCACACAGGTCCTCTTAGCTGGAATCGGCAGTGAGCAGCGTCAGGCAAGCTTCGTGGAAAAATTAGCCACTCTGCAAATTTCCGCTGGTTAAATCAATGGTACCCGGCCGAGTGCCCACGCCATCTGAACTGACCCACGCCGCATGGGGAAATTCAGAAGCTAGGCAAGATCGTGCTGAACAATAACAGCACCGGCTCAGCTTCAAGGAACCGTTGTTCCTCCTTTCCCGGGTCGTTACTTGTTAGGTACCAGGGGTTGTCGGGTAATCATACCATTGCAGGCGGTGCGACAGTGGTTATTGTGGAGGAATAGCAAGCGGGTGGAGACTCTTCTGTCGAGCTAATTTGCCCAAGACACCAGAAGTAGCTAACATAGGTACTTTCTTATTTATCCTACGGCCCCTTGGGACTAAAGACTACCCGAACAGGGAGCCGCAGGAAACTATCAAAGCCCTAGTCAGGTCCCGCTCATCCACTCTTCGGCAACCGGATTAACTAAAGTCAAAGTCAACCTCACCCGTTGCCTTTGGGCTAGCCATTCTGAACTAGTTCATTGTCAGTTGACTAGGCTGATTGGTGTGAGATCTTACTGTGTACGTGATAAGGGCGGTAAAAAGATAAATCGACCAGATAATCGCATTACACGATTATGACACCATCGTATTCAATCGATATCAGGCGCTTAACCGACGAAGAAAAAAGATATCGTCGAACATCAGAGCATATATAGAACGCATGCAAAGAACAAACTCATAAAGAAGAGTGATCAGACAGCCTCCCAGTGAAAACAACGCAAAAGCCGACCAAACGAAGATAAAACCAGACGCAAAGAAGAAATTCAAGAAATTTCACACAGCCAACCATCTTTTGTCGCAAACAAGGGACCACCAACGCGCGAAAAAAAATCAGACTGCCTTCCCTGATGGAGAATATAGATGTACGCGGGAAAAATGGCGCCAGAAAGTAGGGGAACGCAGAATGATGATAAGACAAAAAGCCGAACCGGAACGCAGAACGTTGCAAAGGAATTCAAATAACCGCCCGAAATTTGTGACAATTGAAAGAAAAAGTGTGATTTGTTGCCGCCCTGTAGTGAAGTGTTTTCACAGAGCCGAGCGGTGGTGTGTATAGTGTCGAGTATCATATCGGACTCGAAATCCTGCCTGAACAAGGTCGGGGTCCGAGTATAAAATCATACCGGCAAATCCAGGCTGATCTTTTCGGAAAACCATGTTGGTAGGTCGCTTCAGTGCTCTCGGGTCCTCCTTTCTCCTCGATGAATCAAAGAATCGAAAATGTATCAATAAAAATGTCGTATACCAATATCCAGGGCCTTGCGGCCTAGCCTTCTCGGTGTAAAACGTCGTGCGGCTCGTAAAGCTCGTGGTTCCGCGTTTTCTTTCGTGCCTTCGTAGTCGGATCGAATCAAATCAGCCAGACTGGTCGTGGTCCCATTTTTGCGCCCTTTTTCACATTTTCGTCGGGTTGCACATTCAAATTGCTCAAAAGGTCGGATTATTTGTCCCATTGATTGCCCGTGCAGGGCTATCGATAGCAAAGCCCCCCTGCGTTCAAGAGGGTGCGTGCGCGTCCGCAGGGATGACGAGAACAAATAATTCCAGGGCGAAAAATTGCTGACGAGCCCGAGCCCAACCGTATGGCTCCGATCAGACCACGCTACCTCTAAGTAATGCGCAATTCAACACATGGTCATTGCATCCGTGTGGCCAGCACACGGTCTTTGACCATTCCTCCGGGTTCCCCGCATTCCTGTCGCGTCCTGCGCGCCGTTTCCTCCCAGCAATTTCCATGTCTCCCTTCCCCTCCCTCTCCTCTGCAATAGCCTTATCGGGAAAGTGCATTTACCGAGGACCACGACGATTCAACTGGTTGAGCATATCGCTGTCGGTACTGGAACGACCTTGAGAGTCACCGTCCACACCGGGGTTCAGCATGTCGCGAACGTTCAAGCCACCTCGCTGGGAACCACCCGGAGTCGAGGTTGGAGGCGGTGTCTGGCCTGCAGGAGGGGCCGCCATTGGCGCATATGGCGAACCGTGCGGTGAAGTCGAATGACGTGGCTGCTCGTAGGCATAGGCAGCCTGCGGCGAGGTGCGCTGGTCGTGCGGGTGGCCATAGTAAGGGCTCGGGGCGGTGTGGGTCTGGTATCCGGGGGTGGAACTGGCGGGTGTAACGGGAGCCAGATTGGCCGGCTCAGGGTAATCGAAGCTCGTGCCAGAGCCGCGCCGCTGTCTCTGTAAAATCGAACAAATCAAAGAATTAGATCGGACCTGCCCGCCATGGAGGGGAATGACTGCCTTACCGGATCCGGCATAGTCGGCGCAAGGGGCGGTACGGGACCGTCGGTGGGGGGTCGGCTATACGGATGGCCGTACATCCCTTGGGGCGGCGGCAAGGTGGTGTCGGGACCTTGCACGGCCGAGTTAGGGGGTAGCGGCTGTCCATGGGCCCCGTAGAGGATTGTGCCGGGGGGAGGTTGGCCGTTCACATTGTTGCCGGGGCGCAGGTGCGGGTAAGCAGCATGCGCGGGGACGAAAGCTTGCGCCTGCGAGGAGACGGGAGTGAACATGCAGTCCTGGTTGAAGCGCTGGCAGTTGGTGCAACGTCCATCGGGGGAGTTCTCGAAACCCGAGCAACGGATCTAGAAATCGCAAAGGAGGCGTTAGTGTCTTGGGGACTGCATCGCGGGCCGCCATTTGTGGGGATTTTCCATGCAGCGCAAGCGAGTCAAGGCCCTTCCACACATCAACATACCTTGCGTCGACGACAGTAGCGGCAGGCAATAGCGGTTCGCTGGCGGGGAGCAGCTGCATGATATGGCATCGGTTGCTGTTGCGGCGGGGGCTGCTGATATGGATCCGGCCGGTAAGCTCCCGGAGGAGGCAGCCGATAATCCTGCGGCGCGTGTGGGTGAATGGCAGCCATGTGTGGCGGAGCAGGATATTGCGAAGGCGGAGGTGGATAGTATCCTCGATCGTGCTCTGGAGGAGCGGGATAGGACTGTTGAGGAGGATACTTGAAGAAAGAAAAAAAAGGCAAGGGATGATAAGTTTCCATGCGTTCCACGAGCTCTGGAAGAAAAAGGCAGGACGGCCAGGCCGGTCCCCCCTTTTTTAATCAATCACATACCGGATAATGAGGCTGCTCGTAGGGATAAGCGCGCGAGCGATTGGGGTCGTCGGCGGGAGGATATTGACTCTGGCGACTCGGATCTGTATCGGGGGGAGGAGGATATTGACCCCGGCGACTGGGGTCTCCGTCGGGATGGCGGGACATTGGGGTGTTTATGAAAGACGGAGAGGAGGAGAAGAGAAGAGGGGCGTAAGATGTAGATGAGATGAGTCAAGGAGACAGGGATGTGACGTTCGAGTTTGAAAGGGGGGGGGAGTCGAATAATCACACGGGCGACGCCAGCATAACGCGGTCACGCAGGGGAAAGCAGGACGATGCAGGACGATCCAATTTGGCGCAACGCAGAACGGTCCTGGCGACGACAGTCAAAAAGGAAGGAATCCAACACCGAAAGGGAAATAAATCACAGAAGAAAAAGAAAAAGAAAAAGAATCAACGAGGTGGAAGGGGAAGGAAAAAGGAATGAAAAGAAGACTAAAGAAAATGAGGAAAATAGAGGAATAGGAATAGGAAATAAGCCCAAAAGGAAAAAAAAAAAAGGAAAAAAGAAAAAAGAGGGAAAAGGAAGAAGAGCCTCGGCGACTATGACGTGAGCAGACAAAGAGTGGAGGCGGACGGGGAAACGGAGTATAACACGAGCCCTACGAGATCGAGTAGGATTGAGTAGTGATCGAGGTACGACACTACTGAAAGTACTGGAAGAAAGTACGAGGGAGAGAATAGAATTAAAAGAGAAAAGAAAAAAAAAATGAGGAATGAAAGAGGATGGATGACAAGACGACCCCACGACCCAAGATAAGACCGGGTGGTTCTACAGAGCATTTGATTGCTATCTATACTAATCACAACGAAACTTAATTTTTCATCAAGGGTACTCTCCCAGTAAATGAGGACTCCTAGTCAAGATTTCCCTGGATTGGATGATTCTGGTTTTTCGACAACCGATTCCATCCCAGACCCCCGATGGACTAGGACAATCCGACACTCTTCACCGTCATCCGTTGGGGCCAAAAAAAAAATCATTTTCATTTTTGTCACAATGACAGGAAAGCCAGAAAACCAAAAAAGCAGGACATCCCAAGCACAATTTTCTGATTGGCACTCCCAAGCAGCATTTTTTTTAGCACAAACGGGGTGGAGCCCGGGCAGGACCCGCGGGCTAAAGCGGCGCCAGTGACCCGTCGACATGGACGGCGGACCCTCCTGGACGCTAGGACGCTAGGGCATCAGCTGAACCAGGTAAGCCCCCGTGTGGCCCGCACCATGGGATACCCGTAGGATCTGGAGATTGGAGCAGCGGCCTGGTTGGGGCCCTCTCTCCGAACGTCGGGTGAGCACTAGACCAAGAAAGCCTGACTGAACTCTCTCAGTCCTCCCTAGCGCCCTAGTCACGGTTTTAGTGAGTAGGAGTGGGAATCCCTCGTTCCTTCTCGTGGCTTAACGAGGGGGGGGGGATCCTGGTTCTTCGAAGGTGCTCTGGGTTACCATAGGGTACCAGCAATCGGCTTGCTGCAAAGCCGAGAACGGCGACTGGTGGGCGCATGGGTTGACTAGTGCCCGCCTGCAGAGAAACTTTCTTTTGTGACTGGCCACTGGGTTGCGAGCATTCGATCTCCTTTTCGTTCCTATTCATGATGGTGGGGTTGAGGATCTCAAGTTAAGGCTTTCTCGGGAAGCTCGACTACTCCATCCAGACAATCCATCCGTTCACTCCGGACCTGATCTTACAGGATGGATGCTGTAGTCAATACATCAGCCACTGTTTTTAAAGGCCCCCCAACTTCGTGGCTCGTTCGTTGGCCCCTTCAGAACGGGGGATATCTTGGGAAAAGAATTCATGCTTCATCATGGCGCATTAGTAGGCTTTGGTAGATTTAGGCGACGAAGGGAGTCGCTATGAAAAAGAACCAGAAAAAAAAGACCTGACATCATCACCGTC